AGACCCGGCTGTAACGTCCACCCCACTGTTTGCAGGTCCGAGCAGGGCTGAGGACTCATCCGTCTTGCTTTAGAGTAAAGTAACACTGCAATTTTGCTTCACTCTTTTCAGAAAACCCCTCCTGGTTTAGGTGTCTCAGTGTCACACTCATCTTTACCAACTGCGTCAACTGAGCTGCTTTCACCTCCCTTGTGAATAACCTTATCCTCACCTGTTGTTTCTCTGTTTCCTCTTCTTGATCACCTTCCCTCTCAATGGGAACCCTCTAGACCTGCAATGATTTACAAAGAGCGTCCAACAACAACAAGAAGCTTACATGTGTATAGCGCCTTTCAGTCGGGAGGACATCCCAAGGCGCTGGACAGCGTACAGCATTTCAGGCCCGAGCTGGGGTTGGGTGGGGGGGGGGGGGGGGGAAGAGGGAAGGGAAGGGAAGGGGGATGACCGACGGCATGGTCGAAGAGAAGGGTCTTGAGGTGGGACTTGAAGGAGGCTAAGGAGGGGGCGAGGCGGAGTGACTGGGGGATGGAATTCCAGAGGTTGGGGGCAGAGCGGCTGAAGGCTCTCCCGCCAATGGTGGGGGCGGGGGGGTGGGTTGGGCGACGTGGAGCAGACCAGAGCCGGCTGAGCGGAGGGAACGGGCGGGTTGGTAGGAGGTCAGGAGGTCGCAGAGATAGGGTGGGGCGAGGCCATGGAGGACCATTTAGGTGAGGACCAGGATCTTGAACTGGATCCACTGAAAGATAGGGAGTCAATGGAGTACACACAGAAACAGGCCACTGAGTCCAACCAGTCGGTGCTCCATCCACTCCTTACTCCCTCCCTCAACCTTCTATTCCCCTCTCCCTCATGAGAAGCTCTTGCTTTCCTCTCGACTCCATCTACACTATCAGCTTCAACCACCGCAATCTCACTATCCTCTGCGTGAAGTAATTCCTCCTAACTTCCCTTTCAGATCCCCCAGTCGCTATCTTATACTTGTGGAAACAGCCTATTTATGTTAACAAACAGACTATTAATGCGTATATCAGTCATTTGATACAGTGCCTGGGTTATTATTACCCTACTCTTGTGCAAGGAAGTAGAAGATGTATCAAAATATCATAATATGTACTTATTTGCGTTATATATCAAAATTACACCATCTGTAGTATAAATAAAGCAGGAAACTTAGACGGTTCTGGTTTTCATAAGCTCTGAATCAAGTCTTAAAGTCACATTCGAGAACCCACAACTATGAGGCTCTCATTTCACACGGTGCTTTAAGGGATCGCCTGCCACATTTCAAAGTGGGGTCTTACTCGGCAATTTCCCGGCCACATTCCTCAAGTAATCCACCCCCCACCACCCGCGAAAAAAAATTCTGTTCAACTGGCTGCTCTCCTCATTAGCGTTTATGGGTCGTCATTGGTTTAAATTAGCTGCTGCGTTTGCCTGGGCATAACGCACGCAAAAAGATTTGGTCGCGACTGTTTTTGGGGACTCTGCCGTGCGCAATTGGCTGCGGCGATTCGCCCACAAAATATACGGTCAATCGACTTTACAACCTATTTTGTGAAGTGCGTTGAAACGTTTCCACGACGTGATAAGGCGCTGTTATCAAATGCAAGGATTATTATTGTTGTTATTGCTAAATTCAGGATTCTCTTATCATTCTGCATAAAGCGAGTAAATCTGGACACAGGTGGAGCTTCCTCACCCTCAGTGTTTTTATTTTCACAGTGAACTATGGCTTTGGCTGGGAAGAGCGAATGCTTTAGTGACGTTAATCCTCCCGTGTTCCTATTGCTTTTTTATCTGGAACATTCAGGATAAACAATGAATCCAAAATACTGAAGAGAACTGCAGCTCTATGGGTTGCAGTGTTCTTCTCTTCCAGTTTCAGGGGAGGTGATACGACTCTTCACAACAGGGAATAGTTTCTTGATCAAATGGATTGCGTTATGTCCCTCACGCTAACAGATTCCAAACTCAGCAACAAGAAATATCCTTCTCTAATTTATTCCTTCTGGGGTTTAATCCCAAACAGCTCTTACCCGGTGTGAAACGTTATTCCCCTCAGATCGCGGGTTACTCTGAGTGCTTAAAGTGGAAAATTAAAAGTGATCCGTCGAGCACGATAAAATATTATTATTATTTAGAGTGTTTATAATAATAATAATCCTAGCATTTGATATAGCGCCTTATCACGTCTTCCAATACGCTGTAAAGTGAATTGACTGTATTTTGTGGACGAAACGTGTTTCGTCTGCAGGTAAAGATTGCACGGACCTCACGACAAAAGCAAGCGATTGCGGGGAACAGGTGTAATTGAACATGGTGGAAGCAATAGTTTTATAATCGGGTTTACTGTCAGTTGAGGTCAGTTTGGAATGGAGCCAGGCCAAAGGCAGACCTTGGGTGTGGGTGGTTTATATCCGCTAGCATTACGTACGTATTCAATACATTGATCACCAGTGAAATATAGAAAGCAAGCCAGACTAATAATTTGTCCTTGAATTTATACAGGAAAAGCAGCATCTCTCTTAACCATTACAGTGTAGTACAGATCAGCATCCTTTTGCAGTCGCACAGAATTGCTCTCGCTACGTCTTAAAAATTCGGACGGGAGTCGTTGCGCATTTTCAGTCAAAATTTGCGTGTGTTGCTTTCGATGGTATTTTGAATCCAGGTTTTGCCTCCGTTTTCACTTTTCCTCCCCCAACACCCCACTCACCCACCCACCCACCCACCCCTCACCCACCCAGGAAAATTAAATTCTTTAGCGATTGCAACATGCCCTTCCACTGCCAGTGCCTCCTTAAAACTGTGTGATTATATTCTTTGGAGCATCAATGGAAAAAAGGTTAGGCGGTTCACACAATCAAACCACATGACCGCAGCTGCTTAGACTTATCGGCATTCCCAGACATTTCACATGTGTGCAGACGGCAGCTCGCGATTACTCACACAACCTTAAATTGATTCGAACAGCACACAGGGCCATCAAGCCACTTCTTACTGCTGTTGCCTGCCTGCCTGCCGGCCTGAATAAAGTGGGGATTGCACTAACAGCTTGAGCCAGCAGCTATTGATTGAGTAAAATAACCAATGCTCGGTTACTGGCGATGCAGTAGTGAGGGGAAGGGAGGTGTTTTCAGTTTCTGGTCAGTGACTGATCCGCTGTCAATAGTGCTTGATGCGAGCTGGAGTTTATCGTAAACCACAGTGTCAAAAAAAAATACGGTACGTTCCTGCTTAAGATACAGATGTTTGGCAGTGGTTTAGCAGAAAGTAACGGGACCGATTTTGAATTTCATACAGGTTTTTTGCACGAATGCTGCACGGCTCAGAACAAAGGAGCAGGAGATGGCCGATCTGTACCTCAACTCCAATCTAAACAAAGAGAAAGTTTCATCCTGTAACCGTCTAATCTCTTACGGAGCCAAACAGGATTACTGCGTGACGCAAAATCGGTGTAAATCCTCTGAAACTTGTGACAGAACTTGGACCAGGCGGTGAATTGAGGCGCAGCTAAAATAGACTAGTTTGGTTCGGCACATGTATAGTGCAACGGGAGTGGAATGTAACTGATGATGGACGTTACCGTAGATACAACTAATAGATCACATCATATAATTAACCCCTTCTGGTGCTTTACAGGACTTATTCTTATTCATAGAAAGCGTAATCTTTATGCAAAAAAAACCTGACCACTAGTTAAGTATTACAGGAAATAAACGTGTGAAAACAGACACTAGCTTCTTTGACTATGAGTCAATACTGGTGTCTGATTTCAGAGGCGCTCTTGTGTAGGACAACTGCACTGCATCAACCACACACAATGCTCACAGCTGAATTGCTGAGCCAAACTGTTGTAAAGTCATCCTCGCATTTGATCTCAGCCCATTTTCACTTCTCAAAAGCGCTTCTCTGGATTTTTTCCTGCAGTATAGTGACTGTGCGTTTGGCCGATTTGCAAAAGCAAAGTAATGTCCCGCAAACAGCCAGGACGCTGAATGTAAATTGAGTATCTGCATCACTGAGCACGGCGACTAATAAATAGATCACAGTACAAACAACACTCAGGTTTATAGCGTTTTCCAAGCAAGTGGAGCCTTATAGTTCTGAATGACGTGCAAACATGCTACTGTATAATTGACGCATTCAATAACTAATACAGGTACTATCTATTTTACCACTGTGCAGGAGTTAATGCAGAGAATATTCCCCTTGCCTCTCTGAGATGTGCTTCCAGTAAACCACGCATCAAGCCAACGCTATCAATAATTCTATTACTGACCATCTTTAAAATAAGATAATCTTCAGTTTAAAACTCCTGATAAACTCACCGCTCCAAAGGAAAAAAGGGCTCAGTGACAAGTTATCAGGAGTGACGATTTAGCCGTATGTATAAATACAGCGCATCAATTAATGCAGTCGGGATATTGACAGCATGATGATTTAAGTGGCAGCGACAAGTTACCACAGGGTTGAGTTACCAGGCGTTTACTGTACTTATATATATAGATATATTATAATAATAATCCTTGCATTTGATATAACGCCTTATCACGTCTTCCAGACGTCTCAAAAGTGCTTCACAGAATATACTATAAAGTGAATCGATCGTATATTTGTGGGCGAAATGCGGCAGCCAATTGGGTTCCTACTTTCTACTTGGTAAACAGAGGCGTGTGGAGTATGGAAACTTGCCCAACATTTCGCCCTGCCGGGAATCGAACCCAGGTCTTTCGCTTGCGAGGTGAATGCTCTAACCACTGAGTTACAGGATATATATACAGGATATTGGTCTCATTACTGATACATCCAAAGCAATGAGGGAACCAGGACTTGGTAATTCTGCTTGGGATTTCCCTGCCCTCTTTTTTTTTTGAGTTAAGATTTTTTGTTGCCGTTGACCCTTTCGCTATTTTCTTCCTCGGTTGAAATCACACGGCTACCACACTCGGTTCGTTGTACAGTATTTCACAGACAAAAGCATGCAGATCGGGTGAGAGTTTGTTTTTCATTAAAAATAGTGCATTTTATTATAAATTATCCACATTTTTTGTTTTTTTTTATAAATTAAAAAAAGTGTGCAAAATGTTACGGTAAGTCTTTTTGTCTCTCTCTTCCTCTCTTCAAGCTTTATTGTCCTTTCCCTTTCAGAAAATGGGGGTGGGCGGAGGGGATGGAAGAAAATCCAGCAAAGGTGGGGTGGGGAAGAGGAAGAGAGTGGAATTTGCTTGAGTTGGAATAAGTTGTAACCTTTGGCGTCATGGAGAAACGGGGGAAAAAAGAAACAGAAATAGTTTTATACTGGAGAGTCATACTCCTGTAGGAATTGTCTCACTGGCATAGGCAACCCGTCCACTTTGCCAGACATGTCCCCGGCCACGTTGACAGTCCTTCTGCACAGATGCTGTAGAGTGGAAACGCTGGAGGCCAAGGGTTTGGAGAGGATCAGAGGCACCTTTTCTCCCCCAGAGTAGATGAAATACCCTCGTTTCACATTGCCGGTGGCCGGCGACTTGGCAGACATGTAATGGTGCACCAGCTTCAGGACGCAGTCGAACTTGGGCACGGCCTGGGCGCTTTTAGAGTCCGTCTGGAGGAAGAAGGCGCAGTTCTCACACTGTATCCTTAGGTTTTTGGTCCCCGAATCGGTCTTGACGCTGAGCGTGAAGAAGTGCCGGTTGTCCGAGCTGTCCCTGATCAGGAAGGTCCCGGCCGGCTCCGGGCTGAGCAAGCGATTGGCCTCCGCACCGTTCATTGTACTCCAATAGAAACCGCTCTCCTTGAGCTTGCGCACTGTGTTGACGATCAGGTTGTACTCGTTTTTGGAGGCGAAGGTCTTGAGCCGATATAGTCTCTGGCCGGGAGAGTCGACAGGACGGTGCATCCCGCCAAACTTACTGTGTGTCACCATCGCAGGCGAGGGATTAGCAACTTGAAGCTCTCGGGCGAAGAGTTATTAGTTCCAAAGCCTTGGCTGGTGCATGCGAGGCGGATGGAGGTGGATTGTAGCTGCCGATTGCCTGTTTAAAAAGAAGACCAACGTAAGTCTAATACAACAACAATAATCATAATAATAATCCATAATAACTCAAGGCATTCCACTGGGTTTCCCAGCGCCTTGGGACATCCTCCCGACTTGAAGAAAGGCACTATACAACTGTGATTTGTTGTTGTTGTTGTTGTTTTGACTGATGGGGGTCAGGCAGTGCTGATTTTTTTTTTTGCTTTAACATTTCCCCCCCACCCCCACTACCAAAAAAAAAGTTGTTCTCCAGCCACCTGTTTTTGGCACTTTCACGAAACATATATATATATTATAATCCTAGTAATATTAACCCTTGCATTTCACATAGCGCCTTATTTGTGTACACAAAAGATTTACCCTCAAAGACACACACACACACACAATTACAACAGCGTCGCCTCTCTGTAGCCTTTATGACCCACAGGAGGGAAATTGTGTGACACTCACAAAGTCTCATCGTTCAAACTGAATGTCACTGCTTCAACATCAGCAAAAAAAAGCCACTGACCACACGCAATAGGGGAGGAACTGAGTGGGTCCATCCTCACAGGCACAATCCTCTCACTGTCCCAACAGTCACTCAGTCACTCACTCAGTCACTCTCACTCCACTCTGTCTGTCTCTCACACTCACTCACTCACTCTCTATCTATCTCACACACACACACTATTCTCACACACACTCACTCTCTATCTCACACACACACTATTCTCACACTCACTCACTCTCTATCTATCTCACACACACACACACTATTCTCACACCCACTCACTCTCTATCTATCTCACACACACACACACACTATTCTCACACACACTCACTCTCTATCTATCTCTCTCACACACACACACTATTTTCACACACTCACTCTCTATCTCTCTCTCACACACACACACACACTATTCTCACACACACTCACTCTCTATCTATATCTCACACACACACTATTCTCACACACACTCACTCTCTATCTATCTATCACACACACACACACACACTATTCTCACACACTCACTCCACTCTTTCTGTCTCACTCACTCACTCACACACACTCACTCTCATTCTCTCTCTCTCTCTCTCTCACACACACACACACACACTCTCACACACTCACACACACAGAGAGGCGTGAAATAACAAAAGGAGCGCAAAAAAAAAGCATATGCACCCACTCGGGTAAAAAAGGGGAGCAGATCGTTACCTTAATAACTAGGACTTCCTTTCTTTTTCTCTCTCTCTCTCTCTCTCTTCTCTCCTTTCTGCTGTCGCTGTTGCTTTGCTGGAGAGGACGAAGTGGTTGGGAAGAAGGTGACTGATGCCCAGATCCAACTGTCGGGAAACCAGTGTTGGAATCCACAGACAGAGAGACACAGACACACACACAGACACACACAGAGAGAGAGTCACTCCGGCTGTTTGGCTCCTGTTAAATCGATGCCACTTTTCAAACAAAATATATCTCGAGCAGTCGATGGGGTTCGGAGTGAGGGAGTGAGTGAGTGAGTGAGTGAGAGAGTGAGTGAGTGAGACGGTGTCTGGATCTTCCTTTCTCCACCCCCTTTCCTTTCTTTATTCTCTCTCTCTCTCTCTCTCTTTTTCTCTCTCTCTTTCTTTCTTTCTTTCTTTCTTTCTTTCTTTCTTTCTTTCTTTCTTTCTGGCAGTGCAATGCAGTGCAGTGCAGTGCTGATCAAACCTCTGCCTCTCTCTCTGATAAAACTTGTGCCAGATTTCTGTGCTGTGGCGGAGTTTTATACTGTGCGCCTCTAACTCCACCCTCTCTCTCTCTCCCTCCCCTCCCTCTCTCCCTCCCCTCCTTCCCTCCCTCCCTCCCTCCCTCCCTCTCTCCCTCCCCCTCCTGCGTTCCTGGAAGCGCACTCATTCTCGTAACCTTGATTCACTGAGAAGCTGCAGTGAACTATACAACTGGGCGAGTGGCCAGGAATTGGGAACTGCCCTTTTTAATCTCTTTATTTATATATATTTTTGCACATGATTTTATTTTTCTTTGGGTGGAGGTGGGAGGGAGTGGGGGGAGAGGGGAGAGGGGAGAGGGGCTGTGTGTTATTATTATTGTTCTTGTTGTTATTAATAAAGACAAAAGACCCCAAGTTTCTCACTTGGGGGCATTGGTTTTCTTTGCAACCCCACAACCCCCAACCCCCCCCCCACACACCTCTCTCTCTCTCTCTCTCTCTCTCTGGCTGGAGGTTTCTTTCCATGTGCTGAAGGATGGGTATTTTTTTTGTTGTTGATTTATGTACGTATTAATACCCAAGTTTTTGTGTCTCATTCCAGCCCCTGACGCCTTGGCTCTTTCTTATCTCTCTCTTCCACACACTCACTCACTCACTCATTCACCCACTCACTCACTCATTCATTCTCACGCTCATTCACTCAACTCATTCATTCTCACACTCACTCACTCACTCGCGTTCAAATGGTGATTTAGCTTCTCCACGATTCACAGAACACCTTTTTCTTTTGTCTTTCTCTCTTTCTCTCTCTCTCTCTCTCTCTCTGTCAGGCGTTTTCCTACCGATTTCTTCTTCCCCATTTTACCTTCAATTTACAATGCAATCCAACCATAAAAGGTGTGTGTGTGTGTGTGGGGGGGGGGGGGGGTTAAGTCATTTTCCAATAGCTTTATGAAACACCCCGTATTGCACCCCACCCCCTCCCCTCCTAACGATGCAAATTTCACCCCATAGTATTGTCCACCCCCATAAAATAAAATCAACAGCTTGATTTTCCCATCATCTCCCAGACCCTCATTGCTTTATATCCATAAGTGTATTTTTTTTGCTACTCAGAGAGAGAGAGAGAGAGATGGGGGTGGGGGGTGGGGTGGGGGGGGGGGATCTGCAGAGAGCAAGTGTGATGCCTAATACACTGAACACAGAGCCTGGAATAGGTGCTTCTTGAAACGGATCGATGTCCTAAAACGTGCATTTAAATCAATCCCTTGTCCATGGGTCTATTTTGGTGCTGTGTGTGTATTGGGGGGTTGGTGTGTGTCTGTGTCTGTGTGGAGGGGGGTGGGTGGTGGTGTGTGGTGGGGGAGGACGAGATTAGAATAAATATACAGTATAATCCTCTCTTGGCAGTTTCGATGAACTTCCAAGTAAAAAAAAAATTTTTCCCCTCTGTTATCATTGTAACAGACAGTGGCGCCATCCAACGTTCAAAACCAAACCCTCCAAAAACTCTATCAAAACCAACTCTTTTAAAACAGCCCGACATTGGAATCTTCTTTGTTTTTATCATTATTATTGCAATGATGTATTATTATTATTATTAATATGATGATGATGATGATTGCAAAGACCCCCCCCCCCCCCTACCCCCAGGTTGTTTGCAAACTATTTAGATAGGTGTTGGAATAACGCTCAGCATTGGGGGACAGTTGTTCTTAAGAGTTTTTTTGGGGGTTAATTAAAAAAAGGATTAGATTGATCGTTTAATTCACGCCATCTGAAAATCAGCTGCTGATAAAAATAAGCCTGAGCTCGAATTAACACACTGCAAGGAAGAAATGGTCAGCAATTGCATCTCTCTCTCTCTCTCTCTCTGTCTGTCTCTATCTCTCTCTCTTCCTTTTCTCACCAAAGGAGTTCCCTAAGGTAACAGCATCCTGTCAGAGGAAGAGTTTTTCTCTCTCTCTCTCTCGTTTCTCTCTTTAACCGCATATTAAAATTCGAGACGAAATGGGGTGTGTGTGTGTGTGTGTGTGTGTGTGTAAAAAAAAAGGGAAGGGAAATTCTGGTGTTGCCTTCACATCGCATCACTTTGGCGTTGTGAAAGAATCGCCCCAGTTTCCAGGAAGCAGCAATTTCAGAGGAGAGAGCAACTGGGAAAGAGATGTCTTATTGTCGAGATCACTTCGAGGGAACACAAAGAGTTTCCAAATCTCTTGAACTTTCGAAATCCACTGACAAATGCGCTTCTGGGAACACACACACACACACACACACACAAAAAAAATAAAGGGCAGCGACTAATAGGAATGGAATGATTCATTAAAGCTTTTGTGACATCTTGTGTGCAATAGAAGTGATTGCAGAGAAACTCTTCAGAACTTCTTGCGAAACTTCGTGAGACCACTCGCGGTGAGAGATCTTTAACCGATGGCTCGGAGTATTTTGCAACTGATTCCTTGCAAGGTGTACACCTCACCAGGCGAAAGGATGGGTGGGGGAGGAGGGGTTGGTGGGGGAGGGTGGGGGGGGAACTAATTCTGAGATTTTAGAGGCTGTCGCTTACGCAGTAAGTGGTGAAAACTCGCCTCGTGCACAGGGCGTGAAGCAACTCTTCCGAAACGCTGGGCAGATGTGGAAGTGGACATTCGAGATGCGAAGATGCTGACCAAAGGCGACGGTCGAAGAAATCCGATCAATAACTTGGTCACTCGATCCACCGCGGTTTGGGTGGACGGCGCTGTGCGCGTTTGGCTGCCCCGTTCCATCCACAAAATGCACAAGTCGCTTCACTTGACGGTGTGTTCTGTGAAGCGCTTTGAGACGTCTCGAAGACCTGATAAGGTGCTGTGTCAAATGCAAGGGTTATTACATTATTATTATTATTATTATAATAACCCTTGCAATTGGTAGAGCACGTTTTACATCGGGAGGGGGTTTCAATCACAATAATAATAAGGGCGTCTCAATTTGCTTTCCTGCAAAGTTTACGTTGGATTTCACGGCGAACAGATTTATCGTAAGGCACAAGGAAAGAGCTGCAATTTAGAGGGCTTGTTTTAACTTGTAATTATGGGTGTACTATACTAGTTTGCCAGGAGGGTAATTCCATGTTAGATATTTAAGGGTCACAATGAAATATGTTACACAGAGGAGTGTATATACTGTACAGAGTTGGTATTGGGCCAAATCATACAAAGAATATAACACTTTCAGCCGCCGCACACAGGCTGGGCTGCGTTGTTGGGAATCTTTGGATTATTTTCTTCACACAAAAACACAAGTCGCGTTATTTTCCTTTTCCAACTCGGTTGAGAGCCGGATGACAAGTCAGCGTCGTCATTTGAACTCGTTCCGACTGTTGCCAAAAACGCGATTGAAAACATCCGCGAGACCCTACAGATATTTGTAAAGATTCTGCCCCGTTTGCTTTTGTTACGAGTTGGCATTTGTTTTCTTCTTCTTCTTCTTCTTCTTCTTCTTCTTCTTCTTCTTCTTCTTCTTCTTCTTCTTCTTCTTCTTCTTCTTCGTCTTCTTCTTCTTCTGCATTTGCCCTTTGAAAGGTGGGGATAGAGAGGAGGTGGTGGCAGTCGGGTAGCGCCGAAAAATGTCACCGAGCAATCACACATCAAATCGGTCAACGTGAGGGAGCAAAAGCGACAGAGTCTTGTCGTGGCGAACTGCGTCGAGGCTTTTCACGGGGAGTTAGTCGACTCGGGTGTAAGGACTGTGTTTTTCCGGGAAGAACATAACGTCACGGTTCCCGACAACGCAGCCCAGCAAAGTGCGCGCGGCTGAAAGTGTCCTGTCGTACGGTTTGGGCCCAACACCAAATCTGTACAGTGTGCGTACGCTCCTGCGTAACACACTGCCGTCGCGTCAGCATCCGAAACAAACGTGTGAGACAGACTGAAGCCGCGCAGAGGCATTAATTAGGGTCTATATAATACATTAACATATGCAATTCATTAACGATAATGATAATAACCATTGCATTTGACACAGACGTCCCAAAGCGCTTCGCGGGGGGGTACACCGTACAGTGAATTGACGGTGTGTTGCGGGTTCGCTTGTAACGGGGGCGTCCTTCGTCCCTGCGGTCAGCGTAAACCCCGGGCGCTACACCCCCACCCCCCCACCCACTGCCCCCCCACCCACTGCCCCCCCACTCCCCCCGCGGCCGTTTAGGGGACGACGACGACGACATTACTGGGTGCGAATGGGTCGCCGTCTTCACCCACGAAAGACACAGTCACTACACCGTACCGCGGTGACGGGTCACTTTTAATGTTCAGGAAGGCGACTGTGCTAAACCCCGCCCCCCCCTGGCCACCGGCCCCGCCCCTTCACCTCGGCCCCGCCCCCCTCGCCGCCGACTCCACCCCTTCCCCTCGGCCCCGCCCCCCGGGCCCAGGGTGCACCGCGGCGGGCAAATGGCGGCCTCCCCGGCGCCGCGCTTCCTGTCCGGGGTCGGGAGGCTCCTGGCGGCGGGACTGACGGGGCTCAGAGCGGGACTGCGGCGGGGCCGGGAGCGGAGGTGAGCCCCGGGGGGCGGGGACTCCAACACACACAACCTGATGGGGGGATTGTGACCCCCTCTCCCCTCTCACTCCCCCTCCTCCTCCTCCACTCCCTCCACTCCTCCTCCTCCACTCTCTCCACTCCTCCTCCACTCCTCCTCCACTCCTCTCCCTCCTCCTCCACTCCCTCCCTCCTCCTCCACTCCTCTCCCTCCTCCACTCCTCTCCCTCCTCCTCCACTCCCCCTCCACTCCTCCTCCTCCACTCCCCCTCCTCCTCCACTCCTCTCCCTCCTCCTCCACTCCTCCTCCACTCCTCCTCCTCCACTCCCCCTCCTCCTCCACTCCTCTCCCTCCTCCTCCACTCCCCTCCACTCCTCCTCCTCCACTCCCCCTCCTCTTCCACTCTCTCCACTTCTCGTGGAGTCCTGTAGCTCAGTGGTTAGAGCACTCGCTTTGCAAGTGAGAGACCTGAGTTCAATTCCAGGCAGAGGGCGAAACCTTGGGCAAGTTTCCTTACTCCACACAGAGCCTAATAATAATCCCTTCCATTTTCAATCCACGACTGTTTGTGGGACATTGCTGTGCGCCATTGGCTGCCACGTTCGCCCACAAATATACAGTCAATTCACTTTACAGTCTATTCTGTGAAGCGCTTTGGGACGTCCTCCCGACTTCTCCTCCTCCTCTCCCTCCCTCCTCCTCCACTCCCCATCCTCCTCCTCCACTCCTCTCCCTCCACTCCTCTCCCTCCTCCACTCCTCTCCCTCCTCCACTCCTCCTCTCCCTCCACTCCACTCCTCCCCCCCACTGCCACTGCCACACAATGAAGCCTTTATTTACCGCAAAACCGAGCGCAGCGCTGACTGGAAATTATTATTATTATTATTATTTATAATCAGTGGCATTTCTGTGAAGGAGCCAATGTCAGAGAGGAGAGAGAGAGAGAGAGAGAGACACACACACAGAGAATGTCAGGCCATGACCCCCACCCCCACCCCCACCCCCACCCCAGCCAGGAGAGGAACTGAACCAACCCATCATCACAACAACTTGCATTTATTACAGTCCCCCCCCCCCCCCCCACCCCCTCACACAGGGGAGTGTCCCAGAGCGATCCCTTGACAGTGGCGGAGCAGGACACCGCGCTGCGGGGAGCACGGTGTCCGTAAGCAGCCACGGTCGAAGTTTGCTTTGGACGCTCTTTTAAGCGTGTGTCAATACGCCCACCCGGCCTGACCGCCCCCCACGGCCCCCCCAAAAAAAAGTCTAGGCTGGTGTTCCGGTGCAGCGCGTGGGGAAAGGCGCGTCCCTGGAGACCCCATCCTTCCCGTCAAGACGTTAAACCTAGTTGCCGTCCGTGCCCTGCTCAGCCGGACGTTAAAAGATTTTGCCCACGATACATACAGTCAATTCGCTTTACAATGTGTTAAGTGAAATGCTTTTGAGACGTCTCAGTTGTGATGAGGCGCTATAGCAAATATAAGGATTATTTAAAAGAAATATAATTTATATGGGGCTGTTTGCTGGGCTGCGACAGGCCCCCAAACGGCTTGAGAACCATTTATGTACTGTCCGTGATGTTGACTTAACTGTCAATGGACGACAATGCGGTTGTTCCAAGTCCCTTTTGTGGATTGTGAATTGTATTTCTTGTTTTTTTTTCCCACCTGCTTCAAGATTCCTGACTGCAAATGTCATACTCCCACCATTATGCTTTGTTGATGTTTGAGGAATGAAGCTTTCTCTGTAAGTGAAGACATTGAGGGCATTGGAACAATCCTAGCAATGTGCTTATTACAAGCGGATTGTACTGTACTGCCCACGACACTGAAGGAATGATTGGCAACCTCAGGGAGTTGCGGGTGACAGTATCCGTCTGTACCACACGGCAACAATAAGTTGGGTCTCGGTATCTGCCATGAGAGTGGTCCTACGAGTTAATTTCATAGGCTATTTAGAGAAATATATATTTAAATTGCTGATCGGTAATATTAAACCCTTTAATGTTACAATTTACATTCTCCTACCAAATGCGGTCACTACACTTTACAGGAAGTGTTGCAAAGCTCTTTGAGATATCCTTCCGACGTGAAAGTTGCTAGTAATCAAATTGTCATTGTTGATAATGATGATTGGGGTAGTTGGAAGTGATGCAAGTTTGTTTTAATTGAACAACATACCTTCATTCACTTAATTATTTCCATAATGTGGCAAATACAGTGCATTAAAAACTTCTGAACTGCAATACCTCGCTCATAAAACAATTTTTGTTTTAAAACTTATGTGTCTAGGTCGTCATACTTACTGTTGGCGCCGTTACTGAGTCAGGCCAAACCCCGGGTTGTGGGACAGAACTCTTCGCCTTCCACCTTCTCTGCAGGTGGCATTCAGAGGTTTCAGTGGATTGGGGATATCGTTCCTGTCTTCGGAATCTCCGGCAGTCAGGTGAAAATCCTGCATTCCCCCTCAGAATTTTATGAAACAATAAAGGTGAGGTTGAGGAGAAAAATCAAACTCTTTAAGTAAGTCTATAAGTAAGCAAGTGAGTAGGGTAAGTTTATCAATTGCTTAAAACTTTTTATTTTGAAAAAGGAACAAATCAAAGTGGCCAAGAAGAGAATAGTGATGGCTTCTTTGTACCTCGGAACAGGACCCCTGGAACAGGAGCTGGTGAGTAACAGGAGTGTAGAAATGAATGAAACTCCTAGATTGACTGTAGGTGTTTGCAAGTGACTTAAAGAAACGGGCAGTTCTGTGTGCTGCTGAGCCAGGCAGTCTATTACATCAGATTGTTTGCGCAGTGAGTGAAGTCAGAAAATGAATTGATAAGTTTTGCGAAACTACTGGGATTGGTCATCTTTCCATTCAAACTAACGCAGAGTGTGGCTTGCCTTCCTGGCTTTACTAGGTAGATTGCATCGAGGAAACGCTGGAAAGATCACGAGAGGCGGCATTGGCATCTGATCTCAGAGTTTCTATTCTGCTAGATTGCACAAGAGGGTCTAGAGGTGTGTAGGAGGTAACCTTTAAAAAACAAACCCTTTGAAAATGCCTTGTTCCTCATCAAATGAGTGTACTGTTACATTGAAAGGTTAGCAGTGAATGCGTGAATACTTACATTTATGTTATTTTGGTTCACGATTTAATGACATCTGCTTGTATTTAGTAAACGTTAAGCATACTTGTATCACTTACGTGGAACTTTACCACAATAGACCACTGAATATTGAGAATTTGGGGAAGAATGTGTGATTGTAGGATTACGTCAGTACTGTCAGTCATTGACGGCTGATCACATTTGCCCTGGATTTAACCACAAACAGCAGCCCATGATTCCAGCTTGGTCCTGTTATGGAAACTCCCAATTAAAAGTGCTCACGTCTGTTGGAAGTATAAGTAATAAATAATTGTAATAATCTGTGCATTTAATACAGCACCTATTAACATCAAAACCTTTCCAAGCATTTCACATGTAATTGGTGTCAACTGTAGTGACTGTGTGTTCATGGGCAAATACAGCTGCCAATTTGCACTCAAAAACAGCCATGATTTGAGTGACCAATTTGATCAATTTTGAGATAGTTGGCCAGAACATTGGAAGAAACTCCCTTTTTCGAATAGCGTCGCTGAATCTTGAATGTCCACCTGAACTGGCAGAGAGGACCTTGCCTTAATGTCTCAACAGAAGGGGGGCACTTCTGCCAGTGTAGGGAAGTGTGAGTTATGAGCTCAAGTCCTACAAGGGAACAGCGTTATTGAAAACATTGCCTTTATAATACCATCTGCAGTTTTGCACATATTTGTTTTGACTACTATTTGAATGATGTTTTTTACCCTAAAGTTTGCCCAGTCTTCCTTGTGTAATTGCCGTGCGCTACCCTTCCAGGGAAGAAGAACTCTCGGACTATGCTGATTCCATTGTTAAAGAGGTTTCCAAACCAAGTGCGTGTTTCGCTGTATCACACTCCGGATCTCAGAGGCCTCCTCAAACTCCTTCTTCCTGAGCGCTTCAACGAGACCATTGGATTGCAACACATCAAGGTCTACCTCTTTGACAACAATGTCATTATTAGTGGGTAAGTGTGAAAAGCTATAAGGCTCTTTGCGGTGTTTTAAATCAGAAACAGTTTTGAATTTATTTGTGGTACAGAATACCTGAGTAACCTTGTATAGCTGTGAGGATGCTGTCTTTATTGGCTTAAATAATTGATTTTTGTCTTAAAAACATCCTAGAGCAAACTTGAGCGATTCGTACTTTACAAATCGTCAGGACCGCTACGTTTTACTCAGTGACTGTCCGGAGATAGCAGATTTCTTCGATGACCTGGTCAATGCGGTCGGTGATGTCTCACTTCAGTTGCAGCAGGACGATACAGCTGAGGTGAAATCTGGAGATGTCCATCCATATATAGGTAGGACAGACACAATGTCTGTAAAGGCAGGGCTGGGCAAGTATCACTATTAATGGTAATTGCCAGTAGTTACTATCTTTATCTCCTGCATTGTAAGTTTCGTGGGCAGTGAAGATTTTGCAAACTATAGTTCCATTTGTTTTGCAGTAGTTGAAAAATGGTTTTCTGTGTTTTTAATTATCCCTCTCCCCCAGCAAACACATGTACATTGGGTTGTTCAAAGCTACATCTTTTGAACACTCTCTTGTGCATCTGCCAGCCTCAATTTCATAGCAACCACACTGCGTCTTTTTTTTTCAACCTTTTGATTTGAAATCTTGTCCGAGAACTGAATGCAGCTCCAGGAAGAACTTGCGTGTGAATTTATTTTTCAGGTGACAGAGCGGAATTCTGCACAGCAGCAAACAAGAGAATCATGGCAGTGGTTAACAACGCTCTAGAGAGGCAGCAGTACAGAGACAACGGTGATTCCGATGGAGTGTCAATATTTTTCAGCAGCTTTGACAGAGCTGCAAGTCACATAGATACCTGGATTTACCCCTTAATTCAAATGAAGCCTTTTGATATCAGATTAGATGAACAAGTGACTAAAGTTTTAATGACTGAAGCTGAGACAGATGCTCACATATACTTGACTTCAGGATATTTCAACCTTACTAAAGCCTATATGAATCTCGTTCTGGGTACCAATGCGAATTACCAGATACTGCTTGCTTCGCCTGAGGTGAATGGATTTTTTGGCGCTAAGGGTATAGCGGGAGCAATTCCTGCAGCTTACGTTTACATTGCCAGGCAGTTTTACGATAAGGTGTGCCAAAGTGGGCTGCAAGATAGAATTACTCTGCACGAATACTACAGGAACGGATGGACCTTCCATGCAAAAGGTAATAACACAGCTTAAAGCTTGGTGTGCAATCGATTTTAAAACCCTCCGCAACAAACATTCAATTTGTTTTTTTCTTCTCTTTTTTCTTCTTTGACATCTTGCACCTTCTGACTCGGAGTGCTACCAACTGATGTGTAGACATCAATGTGAGATCCTTAAAATGTTTCTGGCTGGGATCTCAGACAGATTTTTGATTTGTAGGATCTTGTTTGTATTCACCTTATTTAAAGGTTCATAATGATAACCACTTACTATGTTGTGGCAGCTTAATCTGGTTAATAGCTCTGACTTTATGCTGAACTATTTTTCTAGCCAGTACGCAGACTTTGTATGTATTTTGCCCCCATCAAAACCAGGCAAAAAGTGGGAAAGCAAGGCAGCAATGAGCAAGAAGATGACAGTGGAAAGTGAAAGAGTGAGAAAATCATTAAAGTTAGAAATTGTCTATTTAAATTGCTTTAAAGCAATGGAGACGATTAATTCAAAAGGACAGAGGTAAGGTCTGAAGATTGATGAAAGGGAGTGCAAAAGCAAAGTAAGACTGCTGTTTAAGAAGAAAATATAAGCCAAAGTAAACTGAGGAATGTTTTGTATTTCTTAGAATTAGTAAAAGATGGTGGATAATTGAACCTTGATCTTGAACCTAAAATCATGATCTAAAACCTGCTTCTTTAAAATTGGCTGAAAAATGGGGAAGCCTAAACCTGTCACCTAACTATGGTTAAAAAATGTTTTGACAAGGAAGTTACATTTAACAAATTTGCATAACTGAGTGTGTTCAAAGCTGGGAAGTGGGCGAAACCTGCAATTTAGGAGGCAGAGGGATGATTTAATTGAAGTGTTTAGAGTTATGAAGGGGTGGGACACAGTGAGCCCTCCACCCCACTCCAGCTATGGGTCCATCAACCAAAAGAAGTTGTGATCTTAAAATTAGGGTAATTTTATTCAATGAGAAGAATGTCTAGAATCTGGAACTCATGGCCTCAGAAAGCCAGTGGTGAAAGTTTTAGAAAGATGGATAGATACTTGGGAAGTAAAAATATAAAGAGATATCACAGTAAAATTAAATTAGGGGAGGATTGTAATATGCGGGTCATGGAATGGTTTGTGGTGTAGTAGGCTTGATGGCCAACTGGCTTTCTCCTGTTCCTAATTTCCTTGAACGTGTTTCTTTTAAAACGTGTGGAAGTTATGTTGCAGTTGGTTTGACGACTCTTTTACATATAAGCAAAAGGAGCTGTAACTAGAGTAATCTGTATAGAGTTAGTATCTTCCATCTCTTGGAATTATTGAAGAACATCATGGATTTTACAGCTTGTGAGTTACAATCTTCCTGTAATGGATTTCTATATTTGTATTTCATATTTCATCCATTTCCTAGCACAATTGTGCTGTGTATAATATCTTAAATGGGATTGCAAAAGCAACCCAGACCAATACTTTAGGATACTGTAGAACTAGGGGTCAGTCTTAAAATTAAGGGACAGCCCTTTTGAACAGAAGAAACTTCTTCACTCAGAGGGTAGTGAATTTATGGAATTCTCTACCCCAGAAGCCTGTAGATGCTCAGTTCTTGAACACATTCAAGACTGAGATTGATAGATTCTAAATGATAGAGAGATTAAGGGATATGAGGATAAGGAGGGCAGATGGAGTTAGGCTACAAGATCAGCCATAATCTTACTGAATGGCAGGGCAGGCTCGAGGGGCCGAATGACCTACTCCTGCTCCTAATTCCTGTGTTCCTATGATGCAGCAAGACAGTACAACAAGAGGACATAGGTTTAGAGTTGCAAAAGGCAATTTTTGGATAGATACCAGGAATTTTTTCTTTATTGAAAGGGTAATCAACAACTGGAATAGGTTGCCAGGAAAGATGGTTTGAGGCTAGAACACTGGTCTCATTTAAAAAGCAGCTTGATGCTATGAATGGGGAGGATGGTAAGTAGGGTGGGTGTTCTGGAAGGCTGAGATTGGTTGGACTGAAAAGCCTTCTTCATCCAAACCAATCTTGTGATCTTGTTAGAAATATCTGCCTAGGGCTGTTACAGCGCGATATCAAGTGGTTGCTATCTGGTACTGCAATATAACTAAATAAGAGTAGGGATTTGAGCGCCACATGGTGTGAAAAAATGGTTACAACACCTCTCTTATTAGAAGTGGAATTTCTTCAGATTTAGCTCCATTTGGAACAGTATTATGAGTCCTGTAGCACCTTATTTATACATCTGCCAATATTCTTATTTCTAGAAATAATGCAAGGGCTGGGAAATATTTTTATGGGGAGCGACTGAAATGGATATTGTATATAATGTCACCTATGTATATGGATATCCGCAAGATGGGGCTGTTTTACATTGTTATATATTCTTCCTGCAGGTCTATGGTATCACCTGTCACAAAGCAAGTGGCCTTGCCTAACGCTGATCGGCTCTCCTAACTTTGGATACAGATCTGTGCACAGGGACCTGGAGGCTCAGCTGGCAATTGTCACAGAAAACCAAGAGTTACAGCAGCAACTACAGCAGGTCAGTGAGATATGCTGCGATTCTCTTTACAGCAAAACAACTTCCATTTGATAATATTCACAGGCCATTACAATTATCAATTTTTTCGACATTTCATTAACTGAAATAAGATTTTTAAAAATTGTTAGAATTGTAACAGTAATGGCTTGTCAGCAAATCTCAGGCTGCTCTGTTAAAGAGGAAATTTGATAAAATGAATAGAAAGTATTCCTATTGAACTAGACGATAGAGGGCCTAAATCTAAGTTCATTACCAAAATAACTAAGAGAGAGGTGGAGATTTTTTTACATCATGGGACTTTAAGACATGAAATATCCTACCAAAATAGTGGTTGAAAAGAATCCATATTAGTTTTTAAAAGGAAATTAGATAAATGTTTCAAAATGAAAAATGCAAACAATTTTGGGAAAAGAGGAGAGTGAGACAACATGGAAAGCTCTCTCAAGGTGGCACAGGCCTCTTTTGCTGTATGATTGATTCTATTACACTTTCACTGTTATGTAAAAAGTTGTAAGAATGAGGGGGATGACACATGAAAATGTTTTCTCATCTTATAGGAACAAGAACATCTGTACGGACTGTCAAATGAGATTTTGGCTACTACATTTGATAAGCCAAACAGATATGTGAAACTCTGGGTGAAACTTGTAACACCGTTTATAAATAACTTTTTCTAGGAGTCGAAGAACCTGGAAATGTTACCTTTTATGGGATTAAGATAAAGATGATCTTCTGACTCATTCATTTATCCAAGTATTATGACCACCAGGGGGAGTGGAGCTGGCCGTTGATGTTTGTAAAGGGAGGCCTTGTGGCTTTCTGAATTCATGAGTTTTGAGACCCTTAATTATTTCTGAAACAGATCTTTTGAACAAATGGAGCATAGTTTAAAGAAATTCAGAAGTTTTTGCAGTTTAGGAAGTTTAGGAAGCAAGACCAGCTGATATTGAGGAAGATAAAAATGCATCAGATAAATTGAGTTTTTTTTATACTGGGAAGGAAGTTAATTAGATTAGGATCATGTGTTGGTAGACATTTTAAAGAGACTTTCATCGGTGATGACAATTTGAAGTTTTTTTTAATGTATATTTGGAGAGTGCTGCAAAAAGAAGAATTAAGAAAACCAGCGTGAGAATAGACCGGTCACTCTAAAGTCTTCAAATTATCTCTGCCTTTACTTGTTGGTTACGCAACACAAAATTCTGTGCGTTTAGATAAAACGTTCAAAAGTTTCTTGCTCAATTTTGCTGAATTTAAATTGATATACTTCAACTGTGGATGAAAGCAAGTATGTACTTTAATCAGATAGCTGTGAATGTTCAGCAAGTACATATGTAACATATTTCTGCTAATAAATGTTAAATGAAAAAAAATCATGTTTTCTTAAATATTTGGGAGAACTTGTGTCCAAGTGTTTTTTTGAGCCAACACCTTGTGATTCTGTGTAAGACATATTTGCAGTTTAAACCTGTAGTAAGATTGCAACACCTGCAAGGACCCACTTAGCTGATTTCTCCTTTGTTTTCATGTTGAACGTCCAGACAAAAGTTGGTCCTCTGATGCGGGTTTTATACACTGGGCATTCATAAATGTTTTTGGTTTCCTGACGATCAACTGGAATAGCTTTGATAAAAGTAACTGGCATCGATGGGGTGAGCTCCTTCAGTTGTGCTTCAGCAATGGCTCCGCTTGCCTTGTCCCAGCGTGCACCTTTAAACAAACAGTGTTACTTATCTGTTCACTGAGAAAGCCTTTTTCACATTCCCTATGCATATACTTTAGGAGGAAAATTAAGTATGAGAAAAATTAAATGTCTTCATGTTAAATTGACTCTTAGAACTTGTTTGATTTGCTTTAATAAAATGAAAAGGGGTTGCCTTGCAAAGAAATGCATGGTGGGGTAAACCTTTGAAATAATTTCCTCATTAATGGATACCTTTGAGGAGATAGCTAAAGGATTAGATAAACAAAACTTGTATTTGATAATATGTGAAATAGAGATTAGAGTAAGATATTTAACTGGATGGAATATTGGATTACGAAAAAGGAAACCAAAAGTGGTGATAAATGGAAAAGGATATGGGTGTTGTGGACATAACAGTGCAAGAGCTGAATAGTTCAGTCCTGAGGAAAGGGAGTTTCTTTCAACCAGTTGCCATCTAGATAAACCTCTTACCTTCCATAAATAGCCCATGGATATAGGCACCTTCTCTGGGAGGACTGGTCATATCTTCCTTGACTTTCTTAGTAACTTCCACAGCTAGACACATTTTGTCCAGTGGCCATTCATTTTTTCTGGCCATAGACTGCATTATAGCAGTGAGGAAAGACTGCGGGTTAAAAAAGCCAGCGAGCCACACTGCATTCGGCAGAGCAAAGTCAGCAGTCCATGTTTCCAGCTCCTAGAAATGAACCCCAGCAAGTGAAAAAGTTACAATATATCATAACATGCATTCCAGAAGCCTTTTCTGTTTTATACTGTATCACAGATTGAACTGAACAGTTTGCAAGTGCTATAGGGCCAAAGTCAATACAAGTCTTGTCCTTCAGGTGAGATATCAAACCAAAGTTCTATTTGCCTATTCAGGTGGATGTTAAGGATCCCATGGCACTATTCAAAAAGAGAAGTTTCTCCTGGTGTCCTGACCAACAAATCTCTCAAGCAAAATTGGTCACTCATTCCACGGTTGTTCATAGGTGCTGTGTTTCGGCCATAAAATATACAGTCAATCCACTTTACAGTGTATCCTGTGAAGCAGTTTGATGTCTCAACGATGATAACATTATTATCATATATCAAATGCAAGTATTATTATTAATAGTTTCTCTTTGCAAGCACTGATCTAAACCCAGAGGCTGTTTATTAATTATTATCATTTTATTAATACTACTAAGCATTTCATTTGAGTTTCTGACTATATATTTAGGTTCCAAGTGTATTTATCCAAAAAGGTAAATAATCAAATAACTTATGGCTCACCCTGATACGAAGGATGAGATCAGCAAACCATGTAGCTAAGCCAAAAAGTGATGGGTAGGCCAGTTGTGTCCATGTATCTGGGACGGAGTCGAGAAATAAAGAATTTGAAAGCTCTTCCATATCAGCTGTAATAGTCAGTTCTCCCTGAAAGACAGTGCAGTGTTACGACAGTTACTGCTGTGAATTCTATGTAGAATACAAAATAATTTTTTTTTCAAAGGAACAAATTACCTAAGAAATTATAGGTGCAAAATTTCTAGACATCACAAAATATGGGTATTTTACTTTTGACAATTAATTCTTAAATATAACCACACCTTCAATCCCAGATCCAGTTCCTTCAAAGACCGTTTAATCTCCGTTGTCAGAATATTCATTCTTTCACATTCCTGGAAAGCCACCACAATGTAAGGAGTCCTTTCTTCCACTTTAGCCATAGTTTCATGCATATTGAAAGCATCTGGTAGTTTCTCAACAATTTCATCCAAGATTGCCTTAAGCTGAAGACCAAAATTAGAGCATTTTAAGTTCTGTTTATATCCAACAACCTTACAAGATTTGTTATCCCTGAAAAATTACAAGATTCAATCCTCATAAAAGATGTGGCGAGGTTACAATTGGAATATTGTTGCTGCTTTGTCCATCCTATACTGAATTCTGACTGTGGTGTTCCGGATGAGCTACTGTTAGGAAGGCTAGTGAGGAGACATTTTGAGAAATCTAGAGATAACAAAGCCATAAATGAGGGTGAGGTAGGGATGGAAGCAAGTAGCCAGATATGTGGTTTGAAAGAGAGTTAACAGTTTAACAATACGGTTTGTGAGCAGCCGGTGAAGTTGATGTCTAGTTTCTAAGTAAACATATTATTGGCTCAAGTCATGATACGTGAGGTTGATGTTTAATCTGATGTGTTCTATGATATAAAGAGTATACCTTTTCCTCCTTAGTCAATCCAGCTGCACCTTCAGCGCTGGTCTCCTTCGGTTGCAACTCAAGCACTGTGCGAAACAACTTTTCAGACATGACTGTAAGGAATCCAATCTCAGCATTGGGGTGCAGGCCATACAGATATGGGCTCTCAGGAGGCAGCATTTCATCAACATAATTATGATAACCCTACCAGGAAGCAATCAGATTAGATTAATCTTTACACAGGCCTACATTAGTAAATTGCTAAATTGACAGAGCAGAATTGAGTTTTTCCATCTCCAACAATTACTTGATTTTAAAACCAAAAATTAACTTTTTACTGAATTTTACTCAGGCCTAACCCACTCAGTTGGTAAAATGATCATTTTTTGGCATGACCACTTAGCAGATCAAGCTTGGAAAATTAATATTCAACAAAACAATGCAATTAGTGCCAGTGATTCTATTAGCATACTTTTAAAAATTTGAACAATGATTTGACTAAATGAAGCCTGTTTTCTAACCAAACATTCTGAATGAACTGAAAAATTGAGTAGACTGAAAACTTACATTGTAATCAGAATTAGGTGGGATAGGAAAGCCCGGTGCCAGGTAAAGCTCACCATCCAACATTTCAGGCCTGATATATTCCTCTAGATAAGTCCGACAGAGTTTACGATCCCAGTCATCAGTGATGTGACCGCCATACATGATCTCACCAAAGAGATAGCGTAAGTCATCCCAGGGAACCTAACAATTTAAATAAAAAGTGAGCACAAATTTGTAACCAACCTAGGAAAGCACAGTACAACTCTTTTCTGAATGAGAACAGGCTAGTCAACTTAGTCCCTCATTGATCAATGATGCAAACAGCTACCATCTCCCTCTTTTAACACCATTTGTTAGATACGTATACCAAGGTAATAAAACAAACATTCTCTGAAAATTAAATCTAATACTGGGTTAAGACTGAATTTTTAAGATTATTTAGAAATTCTGCAACATCTTAAATTTTAACACAATGAAGGGTAAAACAATTCCAGGCCTTAAGTACTTATAACGAGAAAAGTGTCAATTCCCAGCGCTGTGATGTCACCTGTCAATGGCTTACCACAAAATTTCACCCAAAAATATTTGAATAAAAATGATTAAACACTGCTGTATTGCAGGTATTGTTTTAAAACTTTTGCTTTATGCAAAAAATTGAACCAACAAGAATTGCCATATTAATTCAGTGCCAGCTGTACCTTAGGGTTTGCTTCCAAGTAGTTGAACAGTACATTGACAGAGATGGTAAGATCTCCATTGTTAAATGGGTATGATCTATTCCATCCTTGAGCTCCAAATTTGCGCCTCTCAGCAACCACAGCGTGAAAGTAACAAAGAGCAAAAAGGACACACTTAAATTCTGATTCTTTCGTGCACATCTCCATTGTATCCTGAAATAATAAATAGCGAGCTTTTAAGGAACTCAACCATGAATAAAAATATTTAGATTATACAGTACAACAAAGCTAGATTAATTGCAAATATCAATAAATCTGCATTAATCAGTACGTTTAAAATGTATTGGTAAAAAACAATGAATAAATGTATGGCGGAGGTAATTCACCAAAGATTTACCTGTATTCAATGAATATAGATAAGGATAAGTAAAAATTACATTTGACCCTATTAGAAATCTGATTGTGGTGTTAGTATTGTATTAGATCTGTTAATATTTTACTTAAGACATTTAACAACTACTATTTCAACTACTGATGGATCGAAACAGAAGGTTAAAAAATGTCCATTAGAATAAACCCTTGCCCTAACAACAACAAATGACATTTGTATACGCCTCTCACATCGGGAGGACGTCGCAAGGCACTGGACAGTCAGGGATATGGACCCGAGCTGAGGGTTGGGATCAGGAGGGGTGGAGGGCAGTGAGTGTAGGGTGAATAGCCCTAAATACAAGTTAAAAGTAATCAGCTTTTATTTATACCTGAGTAAACAAATCCAGAGCTTTGTGCAGGTTGGCATGCATACCCGTTGGGGGCTCGTTGGTGATTTTAATGGAATTTTCCAGTAGTCCCTGGGGAATAATATGGGCTTCTGGACATCCTGCCGGCTCAGCAGTCATGAAAACACGATAACTGTCATTACTTCCTGTGCTGTAAAATTCCACTTGTTTATCCAAAGTATTTAGCCATCTAGCAACGAGATGAATGTTCTGCAAAAGATGAAACAGTTACACAAACCACTGCTAAACTATTCAGTAAATAAGAACATATACTTTTAGCATCCTTTGTCAACTGTATGGCAACGATCTAATGAAAATGTAATATTGCCAGACAGAATTTGATTCTAAACTTGTGTTTGGGCTAACTTTTGATTAAAGTAGTGATGAAAAAACATTAGTCCTATGATCTTAGGAATAAATTTAAGTCAAAAAAGGAAATATTTTAAGAATCGTGCATCTTTACCATTACGCTAGGTAAACTCCACCTTCCTTCCTGGTCAGGAAAATAGTGGGTTTTATGCCTAGGAAAACTGTGAGATGCTCCTGCTGCCATCAAGAAGTAAGAAATGTTTCCAATGTGTGTTTGCTCAGTGACGATTTTATAGGTCAGGAAAATATTCAATGTTTAAATACCTGCAGAATGACCCAGTGTCCTTCATCTGCTGCTACTTCTAAAGCGTTTTCTGCCACTATTTCTTGTCCCTGCCCCAGTGAGACATTATGAAATTTGCCGTTGTCAAGTGTAAAGCCCAGTTTCTTCCCTATCAGAATGTGGAGATAGAAATAGCAAAATGAAAGATTCTTGCATGGAGAAAGTGCATGTAACAACACAGTGATCCATTGATCACTGGGTTTGGGATGTCAAAGGTAAAGGTTAGTCTCCTATCATAAGAATGTGAAAGAACAAAAAAACAAATGCTGGATATTTGATACTAAAACGGAAAATGCTGAAAGTATAAGGTAAAACATCAGCATCGAAATGAGAAAAATGAGAAGGCTGGTTCCTTTGATTAAATAAAAGATCAATAAAGCCCTTCAACAACACACAAATAGTTAAAATGATCTGCTAGCATATGTCATTCTGTCTAAAACACCTACCCAGGGCTTCTACATCCTTCAATGGATCAACTCCCGGTGAAAGAATAAAGAAGATTGGAATTGAAGGACTGGCTTCTTCGTATGATTTTGCAAATTCAATACTACGGCCCTCCACATACTTAGCTCCCAGCTTCTCCTCTACAAAATGGCTGTAAAATTTCAAGCAAGAGTTTTACAAACTTTAAAAATATAGAGAATAGACGTATGTGAATTTTTTTTAGATAATATATAAAACAATATAGTACATGTGTAATTCCACTACATTCCAAGAGGGATAATAGTACCTGACAGCATAAGTCATTCTATCTGGCCTCATGCAACGCATCATGCACAGTTTCTCCATTGCTCCTTTATTTTTCCATTCTTGTGGAAATTTCTCCTTCTCTGGAGCTTCTGACTCAACTATCTTTTTCCAGCGGTTGGCTGATCCTTCAATGTCACTGTCCAGGTTCTTAAATTCATTCATTTCTGATAGAAACTTTGATAGACAATTCTTAGAATTAAACATTCCATTCCAACCAAACAATAAATATTTACATTCTGTACATAAAAGATCATATTTTATCAACACTGTTGCTTACTAACTGACTCTGGGTTTGAAATTCCGTTACATAAATATTGCAGGAGTAAAGAGATCTGGACAATGCTGGCAAATTTTTAGTTACACCAAGACCTTGTAATAATACGGTGTATTATTTCAGCAGATTAACTATTATTTTAGCATTCTAAACTCTTTATATATTTATTATATACACACACATATATAAAATAGGCATTGTGTTTAGTAATTTATGAATCTATTGCTACATAAAACGTGTCATTTTGCATACTCACCAGGATTCCACCCCATCCTTGATTTGAAAGAAAGTCAACAGGACTTATGAATCCAACTTTATATGGGAATCGTAGTAGAAAATCTAGCTCCATAAAGTTCACTTCCTTTTTCATAATTGAAACCTAGGAAAAAATCACTCATTAGCAATAGTTTCTGACGTGTATCTCATTGTTCAGTTCGGTTTGCCAAATTAGACTGGGACACGTACAAAGCATTGTAATCCATGATTAATTGGAGGTACCTTTTGAGGTTAATTTTGTTCTTAAAATATTAATGAAATACCAAACATGTAACACAAAATACATAAGAAACATTTTCTCACTGCTTTGATTAAGTATTTAAAAAGTCTAAATATTTGATTACATCTCAGCCAGCTGCTCCTCCCCAGAGATTGTAATGTGTATTTACCTGGAAAGCCACTTGAGCTGTGAAGATAAGTTTATGACTTTCAAATAGACCTCTGGTGACATATATAAATACTGAAAAGGTGATTTCATCTGTGAGGTTCACCACCCGCTGATTTACTTCATCTGCTGGCACTGATCGTTGGATGGCTTTCTCAAATACTACATGAAAAGCCTATATTAAATAAGAAGTGGTTGCATCATTTTTCTGTTAACCAGCACAACAAATAAAATTGAGTATTTTTTAAATACTTTTGAATTATCTCAAATTTCTTGAAACTTAAAAAAACTGCTCATATTTGCTATTGTTAGCAAATGGCAATCTAAATACTTCCAGGTGGTGTCATGGTGGATCAACTCAATTTATACTGCATGTCCGATGGTGAGCAATTACAGCAATCACCGCAAAACATCAGTATAATGCAATATTGGAATGTTTATGGAAAGCTTGTTGTTTTGGGCTTAATATTTACCTTGAGAGAGAACTGGTAAATGGGGTTGATCTTGTTGAGATCATTCATAATGAAGTAGAGTAAGGATGCTCTCATTGCAGTAGACCTGTAGTTTTCTCTTGCCACGTTTATCTTAATCTCGGTTATCTTAGCTTCAGCTACCTGCAACATCGTGAAAATACGTGTTGATATGTCACAATGGAGAAACCTGAAAATTTACTAGGTTACCCAATACTATAATGAAAGTTTCCTTTTACTGGAGATCGTGTTTTCACATACTGAGAAATGGTTTATATGAGAACATTACATCATCTATTTGCCACAAGGTACATACAAAAGTATCTAGTTTACCTTGTGTTCTATTTCAGTGGCGGTTTGTTTGGTTGTTTCCAAATTCTCTACTAGAGCTGTATCACCAAGGAAGTTTCCAGAAGCTTCCGATAGTCGAGCTAGAAGAGAGTCTTCCAACTGTTTAAGAAGAATCTTGAACTCATTCTGTTGTTTTGTAAGTTGTGCCTGAAAATACAAATAAACTGGTTTTGATATCCAAACATTTGCTTTACATTAAAAAGCCAAATGCCTACTTTAGCAGTGTGTTCCTTGATCTCTGATCTCCCAAAGACTATAAGAGCAGCTCAACTCTTCATTGGAGGACATTGTTAAAACATTTAGGAAGTCTGGCAGTGTTTGAGTTTGTGAATGATTATTCTGTTTTGTTCACTAAATTCATATTTGTGCACTTATAAATAACTAATACCATTTTAGTCACATTTGTATACTTGGACTGCAGTTATCAATACGTGCAAATTAACAAATTAAACTAAATTATCAAATGGAATAGCACTTTACTCACATCAACACATTTATTATAGTGTATTGAATGAATGCCACAGAATAAAACAGAAATGAACAAATTTGAATCTTTAAATGTTTAACTTGACTTGGTTATTAATAAATTCCTGTGATTACCTGTTTAGCATCAACTTAGCCTTTCTATACAAGTCTATCGTACACATACCTTCAAGTCCTCTAAATCTGGTCTTTCTTTAGCAACAACGGCAGCCAGTAGCTGATCTTCCAGACCATCTCTGGTTACAAGAAAATTAATCAAAGTACATTGAGCCTGCATCTCTGGTTTGTAATGGGGATTAAAATACTTGGTGTGAAGTATCAGCCGGAATTTGGGATGGAATTCAACTTCCTTATCTCCAATTTTTAGGAATCTAGATATGCATAAAATAATTATTGAATTAAAAGGGTTCATGAATTAAAGGGTAAAGCAGTTTTATAGTGTGTTGAGTAGGTACCAAATGATTTATTGCTGCAGTGGCTGGTTACTAAATTACTAAATCAATAAAAAAAAATTAAAAGCACATCTTACTTTCCCTTTTTGATGGTGTTTCTCCCCAGTAGAGGGTCTAGCACTGGATCCACTGACTCACCGATATTTTCAAGTAATAAAGTGTCTCCATTGGATATAGCAAGTTCAATGCTATCCAGATAACTGTATGAACAAAAGTTAATGAAGATATTGTAACTTTGACTTCACTACGCTTCCACAAGATTAATATTTAGAGTCCACAAAAAGCAAACTGCATCAAACCAAACTGGAGTAACATCAATGATTTTCATCAGCTATAAACTATAACATTAAAATAGTTCAAACTCTACTGAGGCCATGAACCCCTGAAAACAAAATAATATAATATAATTATTTAAATAGATAGGTTTATCCATTTGTAACTTTTAATTATTTGAAATGAAATATATTCAACTTTTCAGAAAATGTTGAATTTTAAGAGGTATTATAACATGCAATAGATGTACAAACCCTTTTTGTCCAAGTCTTATTGTTTTCAAATTATCACCATATTTATTTTTAATCCACTTGATACCCTGTAACTGTGCATCAACAATCAGGGGCCAGCGCTCTGTGTTACAGAGGATTGTTGCATTTTCACTTGATGTGCGATCACTAGGCAATCCCTCATTATTCCAAGCAGCAATGTCAACATCATCAGTAAGAAGGCTAAGAGGGTCTAAGCCTGGAGTAATCGGAATAGGTACCTAAAGAAAGGTTATTTCCATTGGTTAGTGAATTGGCATCACAATTATTACTAGCAGAAATAAGAGGGGGGTGGGTGGTGGAGCAAGATAGAATTTTTTTTCTACACAAACCATTGTTTGAATGTGTGATGTGTTACAACAATTCTTTATTCAAATTATGAACATTACTATTTTTTTCTTCCATTCCAAGTTTCCCCCCAATTTTTTGTTGTGCCTTCATGAACATCTTTTGACTTTTTTTTGCAAGTGGCATCACAGCCAAATCCAATGCTGTGCTAATTCAGTGGTTAAATATATATTATCATCAATGCATTCTGCTTCTAAACCTTAAACTTTATTTGACCAAATAATCTGTGTAAGAAAAGGAAAATACAGTACGCATACACAAACCTCTCCAAAATATGACAGTACAAAAAATATACATCAGCAATGCAAATTGTCTGATACCTTTAGTTTATTCAAGAATGGCATCCAGAAATCATTCAAAAGTTCAGTTCTATACTTTTTCGTGAAATATCCAACATAAGAAACAAAAGCTGTTATAAGAAGTACATCTCCGCTTATTGTTTTGTCTTGCTCCTTAAACTGAGCTATGGATTCACTCCAGCGGATTTTCTCTGATGCCAATCCTCCAACAAGTCTGTAAAAAAGATTTTAAAAATGGATTTGGAATTGAATGCCATTCACCGCCATGGTAGGGCAAAAGACAAAGCAAAATTGTATTTCCCATTTATTGACCCGAAGTCAGATGAATTGCCCGTTTAAATAAATTACGCTTGATTGTAAAAATACTACTTTGCATGAATGCCCAGTTTAATCATTTAGTCCTGATTTATGCTCTTTCTCACAAACCTATTTGCCAGTGAAATTGTTTGGTTGGTATGATCGGCTTCTTGTTGACATTTGAGTTTTTCAGCTGTGGCTTTTTCAAAACGAGCTGTCAGGGTGGCCAAATTATCATTCAGTTCCTGAAAATTAAAAAAGAGTTACAGGAAAATAATTAAAAGTTTGAAGCCCCACCTTGTGTTAATAACATAAACCATGTAATCAGGCATGACTCTGATTTCACATCTGAACTGAAGGAAACCTAGAATAGCTCATTCATGGCATGAACCCACATTCTCTGACCACGAATACCACCAACTGAGTCAAAGGACACAGAAGTGTGCATCTACATCCTTTCAGATAAATTCAAAAGCTACCCTGAAAATTAATACTGGTCCCAGTTATGGGTTAAGTTGATAAGATAGATTCAAACCATATAGAAGTTGATTTAAAGTTATTGCTTGTATTCAAATTTCTCATTAATTGTATAAATAATTAGGTTAAAGAAGTACTTTGTATTAAATGCAGACTTACATTTATCATACGTGTGATACCATAGAGCTTTTCTTGTGCAGCTGCCAATTCAGCATTAGCCTGAGCCAGAGCTCGCCTCTTTGGTGCCACTTCAAGGTAAACCTCATAGAATTTTACAATGTTTATACACCAGGAACACAAACCTGCTGCTGCTATAGACTTAGTGCGAATAAACTCAGGATCAAACATCTCATTTACTCTAAAAGGCCTATGAAAAGTATAGAAACAGAGATTAAAAGTGCAGAAATGATTATCTCAATCTAATGTGTCCCTAGATCATAAATTAAGTCACCCCTAAAGAAGAGGTGCCTGGAGCAAAAACTGAGAGCAGAGATAGGAACAGATGAAACTTCTGTGGATCGCTACTAATCAGAATTAAATAATGTAAATGTTGACCTTCAATTGAAGCTTTTAAGATTTTATTCAATTAACATTGGGGGTCAATAGAAATGTATTCTTGGAACTTTTACTTTTATTATTACCACCACTTGCTATTTTATATGCAATGAATTTTGCTTCAAAATACTAGGTAGTTTATTTACTTAACAATTAAACAAGCTAACAACTTTTAAATTGGTAGAAGACTCAGTATTTCATTCACATACTGAAAAGCTCTCAAAGAAGCTTCTGGGATGTGTTCCTTGTCATAGCTTATTAGTGTATCCAGGAAAGTATCTACTTTGGCCATCATGATTTTAGCAGACTTCCAACTCCTGTCCCTCGGAATTCTACCACCAGGTGCTAAGAGAATCATCACAGCCGCCATCACAAGAACCACGGCCTCTGGTGGGGAGCCAAAAGATTTGAGCTCGGTCAAATTGCTCTAAAAACAAAAACAGATTAATAGTATTTAGAAATTAAATTCAGATATTAAAAGATTAGAGTAAAAGTTCCACAACAATGTATGTTTATAGAGTCATAATATTTACATAGTTTTTCCAAGAAAAAGAAATGTTTCACTTTACTCATCTGGTCAGTATCTGGGGCCTTTGCACCAGTTGGCAGGCATCTAGCACAAAAAACTTTTCCATCGTGCGAAATAATTAAACAATGCCCAATAGACGGGATAATAATGGAAACAAAGAATCCAAAATCTGATTTTATTAAAAATATGAGGGCTTCAAGATAATAATAATCCTTGCATTTGAAAAAACCCCATAAACAAGACATCTCAAAGCACTTAACGTGAATTGTAAAGTGTAAAGTGAATTGACCGTGTATTTTGTGGGCGAAACGTAGCAGCCAATTTGCGCACAGCAGTGACCCACAAACAGCCATAAAGTGAATGACCAATTTTATTTGGTGGATTTGCTGGCCAGGGCACTGGGAGGGAGAGAGAAACTCTCTTCTCTTAGAAATTCACCAAAGAAAATGAGAATTCAATTTATTTTTAAATAATGGCATACTCGCTGTAAAAGAAGTTTAAGTAAATCAATGAGCATAATAGTTTCTATTAATATATTATCCTTTGTTACATTGGCAGTGTTACCTTATTTAAAGTGTTCAGAGCCTCCTGGGCTGCAACTAGAGCTGGCTCTGCTTTTGCCAAGTCCTCTTCACAAGACTGTTGCTTTTCTCTCACGTTCTAAGTATAAATGAAGTACAGCATTTTAATAAACCTTAGAGGTAAAAACTTACGTGGAAGTCTCAGGGAAATTGAATCTCAATTATTTTAATATAAAACTCAGAACCTCATTAATGATCTGCACTTTTTTCTCCTCTTCATCAGCAATTTTTTTATTTTTGTGGACAATATCGGTTTGTTCGGCAACAACTTTAATTAATTTGTCCGCGTCATCATTCTTCTGCTTCAGTTCAATTTCTTGCAGAGCAAGAGTCTCTTTCAGTTTATCTACCTGTAAAAATAAAGATGTGAAAAAGCCTCACGCATCTTTATTTCTCCATTACAATCATGATAATTCCTTTACAGGACAGCAGTCCAGATATATAGTTAACCAGTTAGATGGATGTATGGATATGCATACATATTCAATGAATATGTTTTCAAAAGTCTGAAAGTATACATCTATCAGTCTTTCTTCCTGTTATGCAATAATGGTTCCCAATGAATTACTACAATAATTATAAAAATGGTAAATTCATTATTAGGTTTATGGAAGTGTACAGAATGTTACATTTAACAAATCTACAAACCTGGGCAGCAGTACTGTGCAGTTTTTGCAAACCATTATCAAGTCGATCCATTTTAGCAATCAAGTCTTTCCTTTGGCTAAATAGCAAGTTCTGATACAGTTTAATTTGTTCCAGGAAAGTTTTGGGTGTTGTGTAGTTATAGCGCCTTTCAGTGGCTAGATAGGTCAAGGAAGTTTCTTGGACAGTTTTGTGAACATAGGCCATAAATTGGCTTATTGAGGTTTTTATTGAAGGCTGAAATATAATTGAGTAAATAAATATATAGTTTAATAGATTGCAATGCAAATAACGGTGAGTAAGAAATTCATGTAATTTAACTCTGGTGTGTCAACACATCTGTTTTCAGCTCATACTCTATGGTGGTAAATAAAATATTATTTACTCTAAAAAGATACTCAATCATCAGGAATAGCTTTGTAGCATTAATTCTTAAATCCAACCCACAAAGATGAGAACAGAAACACAATGCAGTGATTTCTTTGTTTGAATACCAATTGTGATATCACTTCTGAAGACTTTTATATAAAAGTTTACTAAAATACATTTAAGATTGCACCTTCGAAAATTGCCTCAATGTGGTTTGATTATTATTCACAATTTGCAAAATTAAAGAGATTTTTTAAAAACATTCCTACCTCAATGCCCTCAGTTTCCTCAAGGAAGCGTTTACTAACTGATATCAAAGCTTCTTCTGGCCATTCATGGAACCAGTTTATAGCAGTGCAGTTCACCAAAGCAGGGAACTTTCGAGCACGTATTCGTAGAGTTGAACCCACGGGTGAAAAGCAGAGCACTACCTGTAGAATAAAAGGTCTCAGCAGTGGACAGTTTTTTTAAAAAAATACATTGCTTTATGCACATAATACTGCTGTATTATAGTCATTTTAAAATGGTAACAGCAATTGAATAAAAAATTTATATTGCCTTGTTTCAGTTCATGGATAATTGACAGAATCCTTTATGCTAATTATTTGTGTCAGCATAAAGAATCAATGATTAATAAATCATGTTTGCAAACAATGGGAAGCCACTGGAGCATCTTATTTAAATTATTTAAGTCAATACTACAGAAATTCTTAAAAATGAACCATACCTTTAATTGTCTCCTCACTTTCTCTATGAAGAACTTCCAGCAAGTGTCATTGGTATCCTGCAGACCCACTGCTTTAACTTCATTTCTCATAGAGTTGATAATATTATCCACCTCATCATCCTGAAAGAGCCCTGGGATCTCACCAGATGCCAAAAGGTCATTAATAAGTACTAGGAATAACTCCTCTGACACTTGGGAGTCTGTCATCAAGAATACTGTTCCGTGATTTTTAACTCCCGTATTGATATACTGAGTAGCAACGTCTGCCTAATATGAGAAATAACACAAAATAAAGTGAACATTAAGTGCAAAGAGGAATGAACTGTGCAAAGCATAACTTTCTACTTGGTGAGAAAATAAATAATGGTTCAAAATAGAACTACAGAATAGAATATTATTTTGGTTCTTGGAAAATAATGTACATCTAAAAAGGAAAGAGAAAGAATCAAATCCAGCTTTTAATTTTAAGAATTAATTTGTACCTTGAGGTCGGGAACTGAATATCCTTTCCTAAGAGAGATTTGGAAGACATCTAAGGCGCTGATAAATGCTGCTAATCGGGAGAGGCTTTGCTTTCCACTTCCACCAACTCCTACAAGTAATGCATTTCCCCTCGGTGATTCCAAGATGCGGTTTATTCTACAGATGTGGCTCATCGCATCCTCAAACAGAACCTATAAATTTTAAGTTAGTTAATTATAATAAATATACAATGTAATAATTTGAAGTTTCATGAATAATTTTCAATCTGTTAAAAACCCAAGGATTTAATTTGTAGATTTTATTATTGTACATTGCCTGAAAAACTGTACAACAGAATTCATATATATTTTTCTACTGATAAATTGTAAGATTAGTTTATTTATTTGACTTACCAATTGCATTGCAGCATTGATTTCATTGTAGCTCTCCAAAGCATCCTTCAGTAGTTTAGTCAGAGTGTTCCAGTCTTGCACAGCATAATATTTAGGATCACCAATACCCATAGCAAAATGGCAATAAATATTGGGGGATTCAAAAAGAATGTTTTCATCAATTTCCTATCCATGGAAAAAAAATTTGAGATTTAACAAAAAAGTGCAATTGGTGAAAAACACAAATTTTGACTTGCATTGCATTGCATTGAAAATTTTCATTCTTTGAACGGAAGAAACCTTAATATATTAAAAGAAAATAAACAAACTTGGAAAATTAAATGGGCAACACTTCTTCTGCGGTTTCTGACATCAAAAGATCGTCTCAACATCAGAATATTGCCCATTTGGATCTTCCCTTCAAACAATGTAGAATAAAGAGTCACCTCTGGGTGAAGTGAAGTGATCAATTACCTGAAAGATTGCTCTGCATACATTTGCCTGAATTCTTGGAAATGATTCAATATCTTTATTTTCAACTAATTTATCGCCATAAACCCGAGAGGTTTCATGCAGCAAGAGTCGTATTAAATCAATAGTAGTTTTCACAGCTTCTGGTGTAGCAAAAAGTAAACCCTACAATAAAAGCAACAGAAAGGAAAATATAAACTATACCATTGCCTCAGTAACTTATTGGTGCAGGGTTAGTGAATAATAAGGGAGCAAGTATGATGGGAATGCTTTGTTGTAGCTTTTGAAATAACTTATCTATGGATACAGCTTGGATTTTCTATTATAACCAATAACAAAACTTTCATTCTTAATAATTATTACATCATAGACTGGCCATGGAACTTTATGTGTGTGTGTGTATTAGTATGAAAGGGAAGAAGGGGGTGGGGGGGCTTCAGTTCAAGATGTCATTGGCTCAGGGAGCCGAAACATAAGCATAAAAATACCTGGAATATGTTGGAAAGGTCTCTCAAATTGAACACATAATGAAATTTTATTGCAGTTGGAAGAAATGTTGCTGCGATTTTCTGATGCAAGACTATTGAGAGAGAATGGATAGTTATGAAAAAAAATAGGTTTAACATGTTGTAATCTTACTCTTTAAACTCTTCATAAGAATCTAATTGATCAGATAATTCCTCTTTATCAGCTCACTATTTACAGGGGTTAGAGAGGGGATACATTTAGTGATGGTGCATTAGAGTTGCAAGGATAGGGGATAAAGTTTCAGTCCTCAAATAAAACTTCCAGGCCTCAGTGTAGAACAGTGGATTGCAGAGGATGAGTGTATGTCAGATTGGGAAGAGAAAACATTGGTCATGGGTATTTGTGAGAGAAACTGAAATTAAAAGGAGGACCAGACAGATTTGCAATTGGCATATTTCTCCAATGATCAATATAAAAATAAGTAACAACTATAATCATCCAGCTCCAATTCAATAATAAGTTAAAGGCCAGGCATTCTATCAAATAACTCACTAATTCATACCCTATGTAAATCAAAGCTACTTTGCTGGATATGATAGAATGAACACTACTTTGCTCATGAAAAAGAAGAGTGCTTTTAAGAATTTGAAGATTGAGGATAGAGCCAATAATTATATTATTCTTATAGTACCTCCATTTTTAAAACTGTTGGCGAGTCTTCTAAACTAACAACAAAAAATGTTAAAGCAAAATATCAATGATGATACTGTTATGCCACATTCCAGAGAGCTCTGGAAGTCAGCAGGTCAAACCAATACATTTGTTAGGTGTTTGGGCATTAAACCGAACATTAATTTTACATACTCTTAAAGTGGATTGTTTTGCAACTAGTTTATAAAGGAGCAACTGAATTGTAATATAGTCATGACATTTTGCTTAGTAAGAAAATATTTGCATTTTGCAAAAGGCACCAAATAATACATTTAAAAAAAAAGTCCTGCTTCTATATTTTTTCATCTTTACATTTCTTTGATTATTTACCAAGGGCCACATTCACCACCTGTGTATGGAATTTTACCACCCCTGCTGGAAAGTTGCGCATAGATAAATGTTGATAAAGGATGGTACTGTAGATGGAATGAAGTGCATCTTGTCCGGGGAAACTCACAGCAAAGACACAGAAATGACGCTGAAATGAAAAATTAAAGTAGCATTGTGAGGTTTGCATTCAGAAAGTAAACATTCAATATTGTAAAATCAATTTATTAAAAATTTTCATATAATGGCCATCAGTGATACCACCCATGCAATTCTCTTCTCCAGACAAATGTGATTATCAGTCATATCCTGCTTAAAGAATTGTTTACTTTAATCAACCTTCAAATTAAACAAATATAGTTTCACTGAATCATATAATTTCCCTAGCAAGGAATTCAGTGAAACATAGAATGGAGTGTAGTGTTGCTTTATTCAGAGATCATACAAGTTAAGCAGTGCCACGTTCAGGAGCTGATACGAGTATATGCCAAAATGAATATCATCCATACCAGCTGTATCCACTCTATAAAGATGTTCCAAGTGGCATCTTCGTTGATATCCAGAACGGAGGGTTATTTAAGATCTGACAATGACTTTTCATGAACTGAATTTAAAAATGAAACTTTTTAACCATTATCACCTATTCCTTTTATTCTTATTATTCAGTACCTTTCCCTAAATTTTATTAAAAACAGTTGCTTTCAACATACAGTATTCAAATAATCATAGATTATTAGTAAGTACTAAAATGTGTACCAAAAAGTTGTTAGTTTAACTGTAAAATTATAGTTTCAATCACAGTTAAAATTGATTACCATTGCAAACTAAAACACTATCAACTGACCACTGTTCTGCCCAGCATATTTACCTGAAGTCTGGAATCTATTGTGAAGCTGCCAGCTGTGGGATTCATACAGGCAACATACTGACAATTATGAATATCTTTCAAAGTCAGCTTGGTCCTATCATACCTAAGATACAAATCTACATGTTAAGTGCGTTTAAATTAATTCAGCATATAAATTTCTGAATATTTACTTGAATATGTACTAGAATAAACTGATAACTTTATCCTATAATCTATTATTTTGCCACCGAGCATAAAAGATTAGGTTCTCACCATCAACATGTTCATTTCTAAAAAAAATCAGCAGCAAGGGACTATGCTAATTTTGTAACTTTATTACAAGAAGATTTACCAATGTCCATGGTCCATATGCTGTCGAATAAATGTATGAGGAGCTACAGTTCCATATTTATCCACTTCAGGCATGTTCATATCATCAATAAAATAGATTAGTTTCTTGGTTCCAGGTGGTGCAAAATTTCTTCCTGTTTTCTTTTCCAGTGGCTTCTCAAGAACAGCTGTAGGGAGTTCAGAATTAATAATGCAACTGGTTATATTGCTATTCAACAATAATTACACTGTGGGGTTTGGCCTTTCATCTAGGTTTTTCAGTAAATATTCTAACTGCTGTCCCTCAAAATAATTATTTCATTATTTTTCTAATCTTTTCAAAAGTGTAATTATTAAGGATTGTTGGATAAGGCTTTTTGGCAAACATTAGATTAAACTTACAAGTTTGACCTAAATTCACAATAGTGAATTTGTATCCCTTTATTGTACCTTGTAACATAGCAGAAGTTGTGTAAAAGTTGAAAGGGACAGACTGAATCACGTATTCTTCAGGTTCTAGACTGGTCAATTTATCTCCCATGAGTACAGTCTTTCCTGTTCCAGCGCTCCCTGCTAACATTATTGGCCGGCCAATTGCCATCAGAAGATCCATGAAATAGCGTATCCTTACAGTCTCTGTGGTATGTACTAGGGCAGCCTATATCATAACAGGTTAGAATTAGGATGCAAGTCATCAATAGAACAAAATGATGCTCACATTCGAAATTTAGTAGTAAGGCTTCTTTTATTTGGATATACAGAAGCATTTCTTAAAAGAAGATTTTAGAATGATTTACCTGGAGTGGAGAGTCAGCATCTAGCTCAAACTTGGGTAACCTTTCTGACCAAGATATAAATTTTTTTGTTTCACTATCAATGCAGTAGTCAAAGACAGTCCCCTGGGATGGAAACTTGATAGCTTTAAATTCATTCACCCACCATTTGCTGAATTCCACTCGATAGTCCACTAGCTGCAGAAGATATTTTACGGGTCAAAAACATACAACAGTATCAACACACAGATTACTAGGAACTGTCAATATTTGTTACTTACACCTCAGGTCATACCTGATCTTGGAACATGGCACCTCCAAAACCCCAAATGCAAGCAAAGACAAAATATAATTCATAGAGTTCTTTGGGAGAATCTAGAGGCACATTGGCTGGGGTCAGAAGGCATTCCATCAGGAAGAGAATTGTCTGCACCATAGTAATCTCGGGGATTGGAGTAATCTTCTTAAAACCTGTCCTCACTCTCTCGAGACAGGCAGGTAAGTATTTATCAAATAGTATCAACACATTTGCTTTTTCTGACTGAACATCACGATTTTCAATCCAGCTAGCTACCACACTAAAGGACAGAAAATAAGACAATTCAGTTAGCAACAGTGTCAAGTATCAGCTTGAGTTTGATGTCTTCCATGTCATGTATCCCATTTATGTAGTGCTCTTTTTTCAGAATAGTATCTCAGAGCGTGAAGAGTTGAGTGCGCCCATCATGAATCATACCAAGAAACGTCTGGTAATGGTAAACTGATTGAACTACGCAAGATGTTCAGGTTGAGATCTTGATCAATCAATTTACCACTAGACTTGGAACAGAAGGTTCTTGGTTTGAGTCACCCTCCATCCCCCCCTGCTCTCCACTTTCCCCGATCTCGATCCCCAGCTCGAAACATTGATCCGAAACACTGATTGTCCAACACCTTGGGACGTCTTCCCAACGTGAAAGATGCAATACAAATGTTATATTGTTGTTGCTGTTCACGTTCTGATACCCTACCCTGAATTGTACTATTTGTAAATTGAGTCAAGCAAAATACCAAAAGCTGCAACTTACGGATTCCAGCCAAGATCAGTGGGATTGATAAAGAGTATTCCTGCTCTGGACACTGTGGCAGGTGTGGCGGTTCTCAGATGACTAATTTCAAACACCAAACGCATTGTGGGATTCAGTGGAATTCTTTCATTGCTAGCAAGTGTTAACACCTTCAAACAGAAGCCAAATAAAAAATGAGACAGAAGATTTAAGGAATGCAAACGCTACAGCTATGAGAAGTTCTAGGGAATCAAAACAAGAAAATAAAAAGAAAAAAAGCTTTTTTTAAAAAACATGAAATGATGGGGAAAGAAATAGAAAACTAAAATAGAAAAAAATAAAAGGCTAAACAGAAATATTTGAAAGAAGAGTGAAACAAAATGAGCTTTATAAAAAATTGCTCTGGCTTACCAGAAGGAGTAAGAAATTAAGACAGTATATCTTGTAAATCAACAATGAAATAGTATACTTTGAGATTGAAAACAAGGTGGAGAGGGACTCTGCAGTCACTAAAAACAAGGAGGTTAAACCATTCAGTATATGCAGTGAAAGTGTTTCATTCGTAGAAGTAATAATTTCCAGTCAATAAAGTTAATAACCACAAAACTAATCAAATCCAAGATGACTTTTTCAGGGTATTTGACTGTACACGAAGTTATTCAAATAATATAGTGATCACTTGTGTGCATTTCTGGGCACCTACCAGTTCTAAACACTGAGAAAAAATAAAATATTCACTAACCTTGTTGTCGTCCATGACTGTATTAAGAGATTCAATCCACATAGGATCTATATCACCATCAAGTACAATCCACTTTGGACCATCATGTGCGATATTTGCAAGGTCACGCATAATAGTTGAAAACAGACCTATTGTATGTCAAAAACAGCATAAGTTAAGTATCAATGCTAACTATGCCAACACCCTGGCTGTCAGCCTTCCCAACTCTTCCCTCCACAAGCTGCAGATCATCCAGAACTCTGTAGCTCATGTCCATTCCCGCACCAGGCTCCATGACCCCATCACACCTACTCACACCCAGCTGCACTGGCTCCCCATCCCTCAGAGGATCGAGTCCAGAATTCTCATCTTCAAGGACCTCCATGGCCTTGTCCCCCTCCTACCTCTCCGACCTGCTAACCCCTTATCAACCTGTCTGCTCCCTCCGATTAGCAGGCTCTGGCCTGCTCCACGTCCCCCACCATCAGCAGTAGGGTCTTCAGCCTCTCTGACCCCACCCTCTGGAACTCCACATTCCCTTCGCCACCTTCAAGGAACGCTTCAAGACCTTCCTCTTCGACCATGCCTTCGGCCATCCTCCTACCCTCTCTGCCCTCCACCCTCACTGATCCCAACAACCCCCACCCGGGTTCTAATCCCTGACTGTTCAGCACCTAGGGGCATCCTCCCAGCATGAAAGGCGTTTTACAAATGTAATTTTGTATTTTTGTATTGTAAATGGGTAAACAGTTATTTCTGCTCATTTGACTTGAATATACATTTGTATTTCCTGGCTTAACTGAATACAAAATCACAATGTATATTTTACAGGAAATAACAGGGTTGACATTCAGATGTGCAAGCATTTATAGTTTTTCCAATGGTAAAATCTGATAGTCAGCATTTTAACAATACCAATTTGGATCATTCATATCCAATAAGCTTCTAGCAAACTGAAATTTTCAAATTGCCATCAGAATCATAGAAATCTACAGCATAGAAGGAAACCTAGTGGCCTGTCAAACCTGTAGGGCATTATTAATGTGCAAATATTTAGACTGCTATTTTATGAGTTATCCCCTCAAGAAGGTTTCAGAAAAAACAGTGTGCTCTATAGATGAGCAGAAAAGGAGTGGCAATATGGAGGAAATATCCAACACAAGAAACATTTAAACTTAATTTTGAGAATAATAAAAAGAAACAGGTTACCATCTTTCCATTCCCTTGTGGCTGGGTTAATAATTCCAAACAGTTCATCACAAGTCACAGCTTTAGGATCAAGATCTATAGATATGGCTTTTCGTTTCATATTCAAATAAGTACTTTTCAGGGAACGCAATACCTACAAAGTCAAAGAGAAAGAGGAGGGGATACAGAGTTTAGCCTGATGATAGGTACAGATTTGACTGTTCTAATATTGCTTGAAACCTTTCCGAAAATAATACAGCAGTTCTAGGACGCTACCGTGCGTGAGGAGCGCTATATAATGTAAGTTGTTGTTGAAATTGCTGTTGTAGTTTATAGCTGATCTCAAACACCACCTTTGGCGCTCAGAATGCTGACTCAATCTGTTCATATTAGTGCTGAACATTTGTTGCAATATATTTCGGCAGTCATATTTTAATCTATGAATAAACAATCTAATGTTTTAACAAATTTAAGTTATAAACCTTAGAATACAGAAACAACACTTATGCTATCCTTTTTTTTTACAATTTCACTATAGTATCTCAAAAATACCAAAGTGTTTACCTGGGATTTACCACTTCCAGCACTTCCAATGACAAACACTGAATGTCGCACTTGTAGTAATTCCTCCAACTGAATTATTTTCAGCACAAAATTATCCTCAGGTTGCAATTTGAGCCCCAATACTGATTGCTTAACAATCTGTGCAAACATGAGATACAAATCTGTTTACAATGAGAATTTGTATTGTTAAGACTTTTTAAATCAACAACACTTGAGCATAATGCTTCTTTTCTTGAGGGTTTATGAACCCAACATTTGACACTTTCAGATTTTCAAATAGGGAGAATGCCTCAAAGCGCTTGACAAATAGAGTCGGAACCTGAGCTCAGAGGCGGATAGGGGGCTATGAGGGAGGTGGCTGAAAGTGCAGTTCCTTAGACAGGGAGGGGATGAGGTAGTGGTATTTCAGAAGAGAATTCCAGAGGGTCAGTGCAAAGTGGTAAAAGCTTGATGGTGTCTCTGATACCTTTACAGTAGTCTAATGATAACATCCAATATTAAACACCAACTAAGAGTCTTAACAAGATTCAAATGCTCATAAATGAAATGTTAGTGATATGATAATCATTGGAAGAGAACAGCTTTTAAAGTATTTGAAAACCTGGTATAAAATTTGTGAAATTACATTACCTTTTCAAACTCTAAATCTCTTTTTCTTGGTACATCGAGTGCCGGAAATAAGTCTCCTATGAGCCCCATGAAAACTGGCAAATCATCTGTTATTATCTTTGGAATATTGAAGTCTCTCAAGGCTCTCATGAGAACCTGGTCCTCTGGACGAAGTGGATCTCCTCTTTTCAAAGAACCCGCCACAACCAACACAGATTTGATGGCTCGCAATCCCCAATCATAGTGATCCTGTAATTTAGGACTGCATTGTCACATTTTTGGTGTTCATTTTTTCTCATCAAACCTTTCTTTCATTAGTTGACTAAAATATATATTTTTTATGAAAATATTCAAATCACCAAAACATTTTCAGAAAACTAGGCAGATGTATTCTATTAAGTCATTCATCCTACTGTATTCAGAGTCTTCAATGGCAACACATTTTGATTTCATCTGTAAGGCAACTCCATCCAGTCTCAGCAAAAAGCTGATAAGCAGGATTTTTATTATTATTTCTAGGCCACTTACCCAGTTCAGAAAAAATAACTGCAAAGTAAAATAGTTGCGCCAAATAAATTGTGATTGTGGATGGAAATCAAATGTGTTGTCCAGATGTATGGTCCGTTGACAACAATCTACTAAACTAAACTATATAATGAGCAGAAGTTACCTGTTTAGAAAGCAGTTCTCTGCAGAGTGTGTAAAGAGTTATGAATTTTCTGGCAAGTAGTCTGGCATCAATAAAACCTTCAGCAACCAACATGATTTCACAAATTAGTTCAAAATCCGGTACAACCATAGCGCAGGGTCTAAAGAAAGAAAAGTAAGTCTTGCTATTGCAATTATGAAACATTACTCATTACCAGGGTTGTAATATGCGGTTATTAAAATCCCATAATCAAGCTGATTACAAGACTGCTAAAATGATATGTTATTATTTAATTAAAAACCACAAAAACAGGAAAACTACCTGAATAAGGCCTTCAGATTTTCTGGTAGTTCCGTACGTCCTGCATAACCTGGATTCATTGTAATGAAAATGCCAACTGAAGATACAAGTGTAATCAACTCTCCCAAAAAATTAAATTTTAACTTCTTGTCACGTATTGCATCTTGAATGCACTTCACCTGCAAGATATAAAATTGTGGCAACCAGATTCTAAAAGATTCAAAATCTCATGCAAAAAAAACATGGGATGACAAAAGTAAAGGTTGACAGAAAGGAATTATAAGATCAAACAGCAGGAAAATGCTGAATCTGTAGTTGTTGTATGCTAGAATAAAAGGTAAACTAACCACTGATTTTCTACAGGCAAAATAACCATTCAGAATGAAGCTGCAGCTTAGGAGAGTTTGAATTAATGCCATGAGATGGCTACATTTTCACGTGGAGGCTGAATGAATCATTCAATCAATGTAATGTTTTAACAAAGCAGAAAACTGAGCACTTTTAAATTACCTGCACTGCAATTACTGACAAAACTTCCACCGATATCCTGTTAAACTCATCAAAACAGCCCCAGGCTCCAGTTTGTGACAAACCTTTGTAGATATTACCACAGGACTATAAAAAAGGTAAATGTAGAGAAACAATTATGGAATTCTTTGATAAAAGAATTTGTTAAAATATTAACATCTACTGAGCTTCCCTTGTTCAAAGGTCTGTAATTTGTTAAAGAACTTCAATAAATTGTCTGTATACATTATACATTGTTATTCACAGAAATGCATTTGGATTATATTCATTGCAACAACAAAATTACATTTGCATAGCACCTTTCATGTCGGGAGGATGTCCCAAGGCAGTCTTTCGGACCTGAGCTGGGAGTTGGGTATGGGGAGGGTGGAGAGCAGGAGAGGGGAAGGAGGGTGATCAAAAGCATGGTCGAAGAGGAGGGTCTTGAGATGCGTCTTGAAGGAGACAAGGGAGGGAGGGAGCGAGGTAGAGGGACTGCAGGTTGGAGTTCCAGAGGGCGGGGGCAGAATGGCAGAAGACCCGCCCGCCAATAGTGAGGCAGGCGAGATGGGGGACATGAAGCAGGCGAGAGCCTGCTGAACAGAGGGAGTGGGCAGGTTGGAAGGGAGTTAGGAGGTCGCAGGTGTAGGGGGGAGCAAGGCCATGCAGGGCTTTGAAGGTGAGGACCAGGATCTTGAACTGTATCCTCCGTGTGATGGGAAGCCAGTGGAGTCAGGCAAGGATGGGGGTGATAGAGTCATGGAGCCTGGTGTGGGCGAGGATACGGGCTGCAGAGTTCTAGATGATCTGTAGCCTATGGAGGGAGGAGTTGAGGAGGGCGACAAAGCAAGGAGTTTGCATAGTTGAGCCTGGATGTTATGAATGCATTTACAAGGGATTTAGCGGCCTGCCGTGTGAAACTGTGGTAGAGCCGGGTGATGTTGTGGGGAATGGCAGAGGGGGTCATGGCGAAGATGTGGGGTAAAAAGGATAGTTGAGGATCAAACAAGACGCCAAGGTTCCGGAATGGCTTAGTAAGATGGAGTGTGCATCCATGGATGGGTGATTGCTGTCAGCACGTGAGGTGTGGAGGCACTGCAAAAACCATGTCCCCATCTTACCTTGTAGTCCATCTGTTCTGAGCAATTGAAGACATAAACCATGATGCCTAAAGCTCGGCCCAGATCTTTGGTTGTCTCTGTTTTTCCTGTTCCTGCAGGACCTGCTGGGGCACCACCCATAGTCAGATGTAGTGACTGTGTTAATGTAATATAGCACCTAAATAAGCAAGAAGATTTCACAATTTTAACATTGAACTGAGAGCTTAATTTTCCAATCACAAATCCCGGTCTGTGTCTGCTACGGTTGATGATATTAGTTACTATGGGGTAAAATAGTTAAGTTGTCAAGAGTCGGGTTGGTAGGATCAAAAGTGCTGGTGGTGGGTTTCATGAGGGAGATGAAAGGTAATTTATCCTTTGACAAGGTGTAGGATTGGGGGAGAATTTCCAGTATCTCTTCTTGTACTGAATTACTTGTGATGTTCCATAACTAAATCAACAACAAGATTCCATTTATAGAGCGCCTTTCACGTCGGGAGGACGTCCCAAGGCGCTGTACAGTTGGGTCAGGACCCGAGCAGGGGGGAAATGGTCAGGGTGAGGGGAGGGAGCGAGGAGGGGGTAGAGAGTCGAGAGGGGAGCTGAAGGCACAGTCAAAGACAAAGGTCTTGAGACCGGCCTTGAAGGAGGAAAGGGAGGAAGCGGCGAAGGCACTGGGGGATGGAGTTCCAGAGCCTCGGGGCTGAGAGGCTGAAGGCCCGGCCACCGATGGTAGGGCGGGGGATGTGCAGCAGACCGGAGCCAGAGGAACGGAGGGTACGGGCAGGTAAGTAGGGGGATAGTAGGTCAGAGAGGTAGGAGGGAGCGAGGCCGTGAATGGCCTTGTAGGTGAGGATGAGGATCTTGAATTCGATTCTCTGGGGGATGGGGAGCCAGTGGAGGCGAGCGAGGGTGGGAGTGGTGTGGTCGCGAAGCCTGGTGCGGGACAGTACACAAGCTGCAGATTTCTGAATGACCTGCAGCTTGTGGAGGGAGGTGCCGGGAAGGCCGGCGAGGAGAGAGTTCCCATAGTCCAGCCTTGTGGTGATAAAGGTGTGGACCAGAGTTTCAGCAGCGTGAGGGGTGAGGTAGTGCCGTAGTCTGGCGATATTCCGGAGGTGATGGAAGGCGGTGCCAGTTGTGGCGCGGATATGAGGGAGAAAGGACAGCTCATGGTCGAACAGAACCCCGAGGTTCCTGATGGCTTTGACAGGTGGAGAGTGCAGCCTTGGATGCTGATGCTGTCAGTGCCAGAGGTGCGGCGGCGCTGACGCGAGCCAATCAGGAGGGCCTCAGTTTTACGCACGTTGAGCTGAAGAAAGTTGTCTTCGTCCAGGACTCGATGTCGGACAGGCAGCTGTCAGGACATCAGGGGTCGTGGAGTTGAGGGTAGAGGAGGAAAGGTAGAGTTGGGTGTCATCCGCAAGTTAACCCCATGTCTGCGGATGATGTCACCAAGGGGGAGCATATAGAGGGTGAAGAGGAGGGGACCGAGGACAGAGCCCTGAGGGACACCGCACAAGACAGTGCGGGCCTGGAGGAAAAGCCGTTCGTGGAAACAAAGTGAAGACGGTGGGAGAGGTACGACCTAAACCATTCAAGGACAGTGCCTTGAAGGTTGAGGTGGGAGGACAAGCGGTGGAGGAGGATAGCGTGGTCGACCGTATCGAATGCTGCCGATAGGTCGAGGAGGACGAGGAGGCAGAGGGAGCCCTGGTCGCAGATGGTCAGGATGTCATTGGTGACCTTGACCAGGGCAGTTTCTGTGCTATGGGCAGCACGGAAACCCGACTGAAGGGGTTCGAATAGTGAATGGGTGGAGAGGAAAAAGCGCAGCTGGGAGGCGACAACTCGTTCAAGAACCTTGGACAGGAAGGGGAGGTTGGAGATGGGCCGGTAGCTGGATAGCTGCGACGCATCAAGGGAGGGTTTTTTCAAGGTGGGAGTGATGGTGGCGTTTTTTAAGGGAATGGGAACAGAGCCAGAGGAGAGGGACAGGTTGATGATGTCTGTGATATGTGGGGCAAGGAGGTGGAGCTGGGAGCTAAGGAGTGGAGTGGGGATGGGGTCAAGGGAGCAGGTGGTGGGTTTCAGGGATAGGATGAGTTTGGTGACAGAGGAGAATTCAGATGTTCTATACCTATCTGTAAGTGGAGTAATGACCAATCGAGGAGTATTGCCTAGATACTCATAAGAATATTTGAATTGAGCATCACAAATATTAGCAAAACAATGTTTCTGGTCATCATCCCAGCGATGTCTGAGCTGAGACTGCCAAGTAAAGGCCTGGATATTCTCCACCTGCAACAAAAGTAAAAACCTTCATCATTATGTTAATATTGAATACCTTTCTACTCCATGCATTCAAATGTGAATATTTAATCTTGTAAAGAGACCTTAACTTATCAAAAATCTGCAAGGCATGTAGTCAGGTGGAATACACCATAACATTCTCAAGGAACTGCAAACAATTAATACTTTTTAGAGTTGCATAATTACTGAAGGAAGGGAAGATAGTGAACACTATCATAATGTTCATATTTAAAAAAGGAGTAATGTATTAGCCTCTCAATGCTCAAATTACATAAGAACTAGGAGCAGGAGTAGGCCATTTGGCCCCTCGAGCCTGCCCCACCATTCAATAAGATCATGGCTGATCGCTTCTAACTCCACCTACCCGCCTTATCCCCATATCACTTAATCCCTTTATTACAAGAAATCTATCAATCTCAGTCTTGAATATGTTCAAGGATTATACAAGATGTTACTTTTAGTTAACTAAAAGTCACAGATATAAACTGTAGTAAATGTGGGTTTAGAAGAAATAGGTCAAGTTCTGCAAACCCACCTTTTAATATACACTAAAACTCCGGCTAGCTAGAGTAATTGGGGGGGAGAGGAGATCTGGTCTGGCAAGACAGAATTTCTTGCTAAGCGTAATTACAATGCCAGTACTGAAAAAAGTAATGTTGGCTGCTCAGCTCGATATTGGGGCATGCTCGGAGAGTTGGGCTGGTGGTAGACTACACATGGATCAACTGTGAATTTTTTAAAACAAATTGGCTTCCAGTCCAGTTAGATTCAAATTCCGATACCCCGAGTGTGGTAAGCTGGGGTTTTACTGTATATGTTGTCAATATACAACTTTTCACTGCTCTTTTTGAAATTTAGGAACTACCATCACACATAAATGTAAATGTGGTTTGTCTATCCCTATTTTATTGAATTGTGGCTTTATTACTTATGAATCCCAGCATTATCCATTATAAGAATGACTAACTTTATCTTTCTTTAACAGCAAAGAAATGCAAACAGAAGAAAAACAAGAGTACTTACCCTAGCTGCAATCATTTTGGCTACAACATCTCGAGCATGCACCTCTATTGTACAAATTGTCATAATCTTCTGCCTGTCTCCTGATGTTAAGTTGCCAATCAGTAGTGTGATAAGTGAGTTCAGTTGACTGATCTTTCACAAAAGCACAATTTTAAATACTTGTTTACAATCATATAATGTTATTCCAATATGAATATTATTGCAAATTACTTTTCTCAGTAGCTTTAATGTTTTTTTTAGAAAGCTACAGGGAAACTATGTTTCAGGGTGGATGGTGGGGTCTGATGTCTCAGTACACTGTAAGAATGACGTGAAAAAAATCAACACCTGGTCACCCCACCCAGCCCCAGACACACAAACACACCATTCTCACTGTCAATATTTGTGAAGATGGGATCACCACAATGGTCTTTTGCAGAAGTTTATATTTTAATGGTTGTGACATATAATGTCATATACAAAGTGCAAAACATAACATACCATTCCAAAATATGAAGAGTACATTCAATTTAACAAACCTGCTTTTTCAGATATTCTTTCATGGCATTTTCATAACCCTCTTCTAGTTTTCCAAATGTAATACCAACCTCTACAGTCCAAATAATCTGTGTACCAGTCAGAGTAATCTAAAATAGATATTGTATCAATATAAAAAATGTGCTGGACACATCATTGACAATAGTAAGATCGGATAAGTTCTGTAAATGGCAACTCATAACTAACAAAGTGAATTATAGTACAGGTAAAGGATCAAATAGATGCTCTAATAAATACTGTAGCATTTGCAATGAATGTTCTAATAATATTATAACATTGGACGACATATTTATAATTGGATATCCCATGATAAAGCTTTTAATACATATATCTTTAAAAATATAAAGAGAGAGACACTATTTCTATTTTAAGAAATAAGAGTAACTTAAAGTCCATCTGAAAACATGCAGATGAGACCCATGTAAAACATGAATTATCTTTCCTTAGAAGTACCTGTGCAGGGTAATCAAATATCCACTGCTCCCTAGGCTTATCTTCATAAGCCAAAATAGCTTCAGAGATTTCAAAACGTAATGTGGCACGCATTCTGTTCAACACTCGATTCAGCCAAACTTCAACCTTATGAAATTGTAAGAATAAAGTGCTTCAATATATGGCAGAAAAGTAAATTGAAATAAGCATTAATACTACATGTTTACAATTTGAGGTATCCACTGATAAAAATAAATTTTCAACAAAGCATGCACACCTCCAGTAAAACTAGGTAGTTAGCAATCAGGAACAGGAATGTTGACTTATTTTCTGCTCTCTAAACCGGGATGTTAAGAACAATTGTAGAAGCCTTACTGCTGCTCCAGTTGCGATACACTAATCTGTGAGTGTATGGGGAGATGCATTTAAGTTCCTGAAGTTGAAATGGCTTCAACAAGACGTATTGGGTGAAGCCAGGGGAGCTGTACAATAATTTGAGCGTAGACAATAGCTGACCAACTTGATCATATCAAGTTGTTCTCAATCTGGCAAACCCCAAAGGATAGGGTGGTCCTAAGTGTACTAGTTAAACTTACCAGTGTGTTGTACCTATATTGACATTACGATTACTAGCAGCATATTTTTGGACTCACCTGACCACTACAATCACAAGGCTCATCAAAGTCCACGTATTCATCTTCTTTGCTGTACATGCCAAGCGCAACTTTAATCGGCACACCATCTGAATCCAGTTTGAACTTCAGTTTAGCCATATTATCAAATAATTTGGACAAATGATGACTCACCTGAAACAAAAAATATGTTTTACTGAAGGAGGGTTTTCACACAGTTGGGTGATCCTATGAACCTAGAAGACAATTAGACAAAGTTCTGATAACACGGTATCTCTTTGTTAGATTTTTGCATGATTGACAGCTAATCTACAAATATATCCTGCTTAATGGATCTATGACGCTTCATTTTAATCAATGGGTAATGTCATCAAGAGTTAACCACTGCTAACAGCAAATGACTGTGTAATTAAGACACTGTTTCGGTGAAATGAAATGAGGAAAAGTGATTTTACCAAATGGTTCATGTTTTGGGTGAAAGGTTGAACAAAGGAATAGCATTAGTGGGTGATAAGGGGATGACCTAAATTGGAGGAAATTCAGCGCCAAGCTACCTTTTCTTATTTAAGACTTGTTTTTTTTTACAAATGCGGTCAGGATGCAGTCAGAATTGAAAAGGAATGTTTGAATGAAATGGTTTTATGGGATGAAAAAGTAAAATTGAGTAAATGATATCTGTTAAGAGTTGAAGGAAAGATCAAACAACCAGGTAGATATAAATGTACCTGTTGTAGCCACTGCTCTTCAGAACAGAACTGGGAAAAAAGAAGAAGCTAGCAAATAAAGAAGAAAGAAGAAAAGAAACAAAGACCAAAGAAGAAAAGATAAAGTGGAAGAAACTCCTGTAACTATTAATTCTGTTTTCTGAATTCGTAACTATACCTTTCTGTAGAATGCACATTGCTATATAAAGGTTTCTTAAATGGAACATCTCGTCTCTGTGAGCTTGATTAAAACGTGACAATTTAAGTCAACAAGGTCCTATTCCTACCTCAATAGGATTGTTGCCATTAGATAATATATCCAATAAGTCTGCGGAAGACACAAAATAAAATCTCGGAAATGCAAGCCTTTTTGTCTCCAGATATTCAGCTAAGGCTTTTTCACATATTGATAAACTAAACAGAAACAGAAAGGTAAATAAAACTTAATATAGAAACAGTTTGCAAAATGCCTCAACAATAATACGGAACAAGTTTTGACAGTTACATTTGCAAAGGCTACTAACCATGAACAGGAAGGACAAAGAAAAAACATAATTAATGTGATATATAAAAATAAATTAAGCAACAAATCAACAACTTGCATTTTGCGCAGTGGCAGTATCGTAGCCGATGAGGTCAACCGAGGCGCGATTGTTGCTTATTGAAAACTTGTGGAGTCCTGTAGCTCAGTGGTTAGAGCACTCACTTTGTAGTGAGAGACCTGAGTTCAATTCCAGGCAGAGGGCGAAACCTTGGGCAAGTTTCCTTACTCCACACACAGCCTAATAATAATCCCTCCAAAACCAAGAACAATAATAAATTGGTCATTTTCAATCTACAACTGTTTGTGGGACATTGCTGTGCGCAATTGGCTGCCGCGTTCGCCCACAAATATACAGTCAATTCACTTTACAGTGTGTTCTGTAAAGCGCTTTGGCTCGTCCTCCTAATGTGAAAAGCGCTATATCAAATGCAAGGATTATTATTATTATTACGTAGCACCCTTCACAATGTTGGAAGGCTTCACGTAACAGCCACTAACCTCCCTTGTATTTTGTCCAGCTTTTCATATAAACCTGGTTTATTTGTTGCTACAATTACATTTGGTGTCTTTATTGCATCTGCCACGAGTTCCTGGTAAAGAAAATAATCTTTCATTAGTCAATTTCTCTGGTTTAAATCATTCTTTAACAATCCTCCATCTATCACCAATAGTGTGCCAGCCCAAATCAGTATTTTCAGGAAGTATTTATAGTCATGAAATTACGTACTTTAAAGTCAGTATCAATGGCTTCAAAGCGTTTGGAGTCTTCTGGGAGCTGGGTTCTGATGTCCTCAGAGCCTATGAAAATGCTTTCAAGGTGAACCCAAGTTCTCTGTACCTCAAACCAGATGGAAATAATAGAATCTGCAGTTGAAAGCTTCTTCTGCCATGAGCTGACTTCCTTGAGGAAATATGCAATATATTTAGAGGAAATTAGGTTCTGTAGTTGAACTTGATTGTCCTCCAGGGTCTCCACTAGTTCATCACTTGCTTTCAATATCAAAATTCCTGTTCTGGCATGAGGTTCATGTTCAAATTCCATGATACTCCAAATGTTATCGAGTGAATTCAACACCTGTAAAATACAAAATTCAAATACGTCCAATTTTTGTTAATTTGCAATCTCTCAGATGAGACATCATTCAAGGTTCTAACTGCTTCAAGTGGGCAGTAAAATCGGAAAAAAAACTATTCAAAAAGAGAAGTTTCTTCTAGCATACTAAACAATAATGCTACAGCTGAATTAATCTTTCACCTCAAGGCTTTTTATGGAACTCACAACAGAGGTAGGAACCTAATAAAGCTTGGACACTATTAGAATTATCTAGAACAAATTGCTCATGTATAAGATTTGTCAGCCTGGCTCAGTGATAGCATTCTACTCAGAGTCAGAAAGTTGTAAGTTCAAGGCCCACGTCAGGACATTGCTGTGTGCAACCTGGTTGCCATGTCTTGCCCATAAAATATACAGTATATCCTGCGAAGCACTTTGAAATGTCTCGACGACATAAGGCGTTATATTAAATGCATGGATAATTATTATTATTGTTTGGAGTCAACATAAGGTGCAGTGATTAGACTTTAGAAGAATAGATTTGTCCATTTGATATATCCATTTGATTTAATTATATTATCAATATGCTGGTTCCAATTTGTGACTATCTGGATGCAATCTTGTCATACTCTAACAAAATATGCTGAGTTAGCATTCTACGCAGGCTTTCAGAATGAAATCTGAGAAAACTGCCAGTATGAAAGCTTTCCAGCGCCTTGGGACGTCCTCCTGACGTGAAAGGCGTTATACAAATGTAATCTTCTTGACCCATCTAAAAGTGCAACATATCATTTCTTTCAAGTCAACTAATAAATCAGTACCTTCTCCATTCCGGACTCTTTCACGGCTTTATCTACAATATCACGGACTTCATCTTCAAAGTTATGCAACTGCAAGCTAAGTAAGTCTGAAAGAGTTGTGTTTTCAGACATTGCAAACTCGACCTATGAAACAAATATTGAAGAATTTAATTAAGAAATGCTTCTCAACAAAAGCAACACTTTGATTTTAGAAAATCAATAGCTTTAGGACCAGCAGACTCAAAAGTCTGAATGGTCCCTTTATAAACTGGAGTTTCTATGAACTTAATTTACGGAACTATATTTATGTAATTTCAGAAGAAGGCTGGCCATTTGGCCCATCATGTCTGCACTGTGTTACCTCTATATCTAGACCTCTGTTTACTACCATAGCCCTGTTCTGTCTTTTTATATCTTCATACTTCCAACATGAACACAATAGTGATCAATACACAATAGAGCCCATAGTTTTCCCTTATTTCTCAAATTTCTTTCAGGTATACAGCATATGTATTAAACTAATTCAATAAAAGTATAAATCATAAAATTCTCATCGATAAAATCAAGTTGAAAAAGTAGACATTTTCCGATTATTTCCTTAATCTGCAATCATATTTGACATTCAGATTTATTTTAATCTACAAAATATTTACTATTTCTACCTTAGTTGCATGCATGAGTTGCTGCCAGTGGCGGTCCCTTATGGCTGAGTTCTGCAGTTCACTAACTGCTTTCAGTGAAGTTATTGTGTTCTTTATCATCTTGTCTAGACCTGTATAAGTATCCCATGCCCTTATCTCTTTATCCAGACTCCTTATATCTTTAGCAAATTTCTTACACTCTGAATCCATATACTCCACACTGATGTTTTTCCATTGAGTAGTCTTCCAGTCATCGATGGACACTCTAACCTGTGGATTTATGATAATTAAAATTTTGCCAAAGTTAGTTTTGTTGATTATATTATTAATAGAAAAAAAACTGTTAGACTGTCTATTACACAGTCGGATAAGAAGAGGTGGATCAAATATGATTGATGACTTGGGTTAGGTAAAGGATTCTTCACTTCTTACCAAAGTACAATCTTAGCAAGAATACTCAAACATCCCAGTTTACATTCTGTTATATGGATAAAGATCCATAACATAATAGAAGAAAATATATGAGGTATGGGAATAAAAAAAAACATTTCACCCATACAGTCAAACCACTTTACAGTACATTATGTGAAGGGCTTTGAGACTTTAACAACGTGATAAGGCACTCTTTCAAATGCAAGGATTATTATTATTGTAACATTGATGGAAATCTTTACTGATGATGGAATTTAATTCTTAGAACTTCCAAACATGCCAAACTGGTAAATATCACCCAAAGTATAACAAGAGCGACGAGGGTGCAACCTCATTTAATTATAACTTGTAAAACCCATATGAAGTACTATTAAGTGGAAAACTTACAAGGAAAATCATATCCCATAATTCCTTCAACAATACTATTTCTTTGCGGCACGATTTTAGCCGTTTACAATCCGGAATCGAAACTTCAAACAGATTAGCTGACTGCGAAAGGGCTTGTAATTCGTCTTCCATGGTGAGGATTTTTTTTTGAGCCTTAAAAAAAATATGAAAGATGCCTTAGTGTTTAAAATGTCTATTACATTTCAGAAATTGCCTGAGATATTGAATTTCATAAGTTGACTGAGAAGTATGCTCTCAATTGAAGAATAAACCTGAAGGTACTCAAGTAGATAAGCAAAGTTGCTTCGTAATTCCACTGCTCTCCGTGGTAAGCAGGAGTCTGATCCTGGGAGAAAGAAGAGTGGATCACACTCAGTCTCAAAGAATATTCTCACAAGATTATAATAATGGAATGGCCTTTAATTCTCCTGAAAGTGTTTTTTGTTTTCTAAGTAGTTGGATATGCACCTGGTCTGATTTATTGCTTGCCGTGTCAAAACAGTGTGAGGCAGCAAGGCAAATTGGATCCTGAGCTATATTGTAAAGTCAGTTGAATTCAGATCCCCAGAAATCATATACAAATTGTGCCAACTGGAATTTGTAGATCTACTCACCACCATCTACTTTGTAATTTGATCACGCTTGTTACATTGCCTAGATTCATAAGGTTGAATAAGTTTAAAATTTGGTTGAAAAAAATACCTTATCCAAAGCCTTATAAGGTATTTTATGGTCATAGTCGAAAGGAGCCTTTGCTTTAAATTTCTTTCTAAATCCATGTTGGTTGATCTGCACAGAAAAGTATTTAAAAAAAATTAAGCTACTATACCAAATAATTATATTCTCATATTCACGTGCATCAGAGACATTTAAATATTTATCAGTAATGAAAATAATGATAGTAATGAGAAGTAACCACTCAAAAACTCCAATTTTTTTTAGAGCATCCAACATTATTTTATCCTTTTCACTTAAGAATTATATTTAGTTTTGTTATCATACCTCAAATCGTAGACATTTCCTTCTAATGACATTAACTTCATTGGCTTGCAAAGGAGCCACAGCATGTTTACAATGAAGAGCAATTTTCTTTGTATTGTTCCATTGTTCTGGAAGTTCCTAAACATAACAACCAATGCACAAATGTATGAAACATTCCTAAGGAATAGTTTAAAAATATTTTGAAGAAACATTTAAAATGATACACAAACAACAAAGTTAAGGTTTAAATCTTACATGCAATTGTGCATGAACTTCTTCTGGCAATTCCTCATTATAGCTGTTCAGTAATTCAATGGTCTGCCTAAGGGGTTCAAACATGTGATCTGTTGTCATCTGTCTATCTTTTACACTTTTCAGATATCCCATAACTTTTATAAGCCCTTCCAAATCTCCTTCTTTCATTGGTTTTGTTAGTTCATCATTTGTCTCCTCGATGAAAGTCTTCAAAGTGCTCAAGCTAAAAGAGAAAGTGCATAATACCCATGATTACTTTAAAGTACTGTAACATGATTCATTATTATTGTCACAAATGACTATCCAAAGGATTTCTCAGGAAAATTCTTGACTAGTGTGTCTCTCATTCAGCATTAACATGGCTATCACAGCCCAAACATATTATATTCTAAATTAAATTATCCACATTATTTTGTAGAACTAAAATCCACAATTTCTATTTGTGTATATTTTTTCTCCAATAGTACAATAATGTTACCTGTTGGTTACATGGTTAATTAGATACTGTTTGAACATAAGGCTCCAGCGTTTGATGACATTCAGAAGAGATTGTCTGAAAGGTCTGCAATCAAGTTGAAACCAACCATGAAATAACTTGGTGCTTTCAAACTTGGCAACTTCATCATATATTTTCTCATATAAGTCAATCTACAGAAAACAAGATCCAAATATATTGTTAAATCACATCGTTAAAGATCCATAGAAATACTATACAATTGAAACCCTATTCATGGTGAAAATGTCAATGTAATCTATTTGCTTTAAAACACGATATTGGATTTTAGTACACTTAACTGCTGAAAATGTATTAAACTCACTGTAAAATTGTCTCTTGGTTAAATAAAAATCAGCACCTGACATAATATTACCTGGTTTTTAAACTGTTCCAGTGTAGGGGGTGATTGAGGAACGCCTCCTTCCCCATAGGACTCTATTTCTTCTGGTGTTAGCACGCGCCCATACATAAGAAATTCATCCAGAAATTCACTACGATCATCCACCCACAAATATGAATAACTATCAAAAGATGACTCGTAATCTGCAGCCATCTTCATTACACTTATAACCTGAGACATTATGTCTTCCCGCATTTCAGACAAATCTGCCATTTCTTCTAGATCTATCTGTAGTCATAAAAAAAAAGGTTAATCTTTAACATTTGAACCTTTTAAAACTTGTTTTTTAAACACACACCAAACTAGAATTCCTTCAATGGCATTGTGTAGTACAGCACTAAGTCATATAAACCAGAAGGTTACACATTCGGTTCTTGGACACACTTGGTTCCATTTGTGTCAATGTAGCTGGTAAATGCGAGAATAATGGAGGGTAGGGGAGCAGCGTTACGAGTTAGGAGGTGATTAATACGAGTACTGCAAAGAAATCTAAGTGGTTTTGATAGGAATCTGAATGGGACACACGTGAATGTACAACTTAGCCAATTATACGATTTATAAAAAGAAGACTTATGCGAGTTTTACTGTATTATAGTACTCTATCATTCTGTGTCAGTCTAACCTGATATCTCTTTCGAGGATGATGCTTTGCCAAACGTGGCACAAGACCCACTATATTATACACATCATTCATCAACCTTTCCATCAGGGCATAAAATTCACTGCCTATCCCTAAAGATGGTCGGAACACTGTGTCAGATTCGTCAAGCTCAAGACGGACTTCAAACAGGGGAGGAGTATGACCCTAGAGATATAAGACAATAATTGCTCAATTGCTTAGACTAAGGAAAACAATTAGTGTAAACAAATTGTGTTATACAATATTTACAGCCCTATGCAATGTGCCTGCACTATGTTGTGTGTTTCCTAACTCCAACCACATTATCTCATATTTATTGCATACTTTTAAAATGATTTATTCATAATATTTACATTCTGGAACTATGTAGCCCTGCATCATAACATTTATGGCAGGCTAAACCTGAATACATTTGGGTTTTATTAGAATTCAACTTTGCTTCATTGAGACGATCATTACAAACCTCATTCTCCATATTGTTGAGAAGATATTGTAGAGAAGTATGAACCACATTGTAGAAACCCTCTATAACTATCTGATCTACATAGTTCACATAATTTTGCCATGTAGAAGAACTTTCATCTGCTTTAAAATGAGTAAAGTTTTCCTGCAGGATGGCAAAAACACATACATATGGTTCAAATTATGTATACAATAAAAAATATTCAAAAAAAATTCTGGGGTAAAATGTGTTTTGTTCCTTACAACGTTCCTTAATAGAAGAAATAGCACCAGAAATGTGTTCCTTAATTGATCATTGCCATTAACGCTCACCCCATCTACTAAATGAAGCTGCAAGGCCTCAGCTCCCAACCACAGGCCCTGGGGATGTCTCTGATATGACTTGCCTACACACCACAGAAATTCTGAAAGCCTCAGCACAATGTTTTGCACAAGGAGATTTTAAAGTAAATTTTTGGTCTATTTGGTCTAAAAAGGGTCTATTTCTCCAATAGCCTGGGGATACATCCTTACATTATTTTTAACTAAACTGTTACAAAACTATTATTTATAAATTATCCCCCTTGCTACATTTCATCTACAATTTTCTGACAGCATGATTATTTACTTTGTTGCATTTAGGGAGAAAAATTTGGAGTAAGGTAGGAAATCTGTTATTCTGATTTTGAGCCACTAGACTTCTGAGGCAGACATTCCAATTGTCGGATGCTGCAGGGTGGCTGAACTTTATGAAGTGTTTGATGCTTTTCTTCTTTCTTTCTTGCAATATTCTGTTTCTTCAGATTTATAATCTATATAAAAAAAATACTGTTCCTGAAAGCACTTACTAGCACTGCGGTTCGCATGAGTTCTACATTGTTCTTGGCTTTCTAAATCCTAGACTCAGAATTTTTAACAAAATGAACATACACAAATTGAACACTGACCTTCAAATTGGAAAAGACTAACCAGTGAGTGAAGCTGCACCTTATATAGACACCATAGTTCGGGTGTTGCATGGAAAAGGAGATATGTTTGTTAGGCACTCCCAAACTGCCAGATCTAGGTAATCCTATGGTCTTTGGATGATTTTAAGAATAAAAAATAGCCAATCATACAAATAAAACAAAAAGTTCAGATTTTGGACATAAACTGAATGCTGTAAATCGTATACTCGTCTTTTTTACCTCTAGTAGCACATGAAGCTTAACACCAGCTTCTTTCACCAAAGTGTATCTTTTGTTTAACATATTTGGTCTTCCATCGATGTCCAAAAAGGAATCTTTTTTGCTGCCACTTCGCTCAAACAAAGGTAGTGCTGACCATTCCTATAATAAAATCAGAAAAACAATTATATCAACTCTACTATGATGAAAGCGATTTTAATTAACTAAAACTAGGTTCATAATAGCAATACTGTACAACACAAACATATTGGCTGTTCATACAGGGTACTACAATTTGTAAAAAAAATTATACTGTTGCTGAAAGCACTTACCAGCATTATGGTTTGCATGAGTTCTACATTGTTTTTGGCTTTCTGAATCCTAGTCTCAAGGTCAGATAATATATTTCTCATCTCCTCAATGTAAGACCAAACTAAAAATGTCAGAAATAATAATTTTCATGACTCACTGCATTATACCTGCCATTCTCAATATTTCAGCCACTCCTTTTCATAATATTGTGACAAGATTAGTTCAATATAAAAAATGTTCATTTGAAACTATAAGATCCGAAACCTACCTTCATTGTTCCATTGTAATTCAAATTCAGCTTTAAGCAATTTAACATCTATTTGTTCCAGTTCATTCAAAATCAGAGGTAATTCAACATCAAGTATTGTTAATCTTATCTGCAAATAATCAATAATTTTAAAAATTTTAATTTAACACAATAGATAGTTGTCTATTTTGCACAACACTGGAATATTTCATCCTTTCAATTTTCTGCCTACTACATTGGACGCCAACAAACCTGACATGGTGAGTACCTCCATGTTATTTTCCACCAATTTACTAACTTTGGCAATTTGAGTTTAAAATGAAAATGTTAAATCACTAAACTAACTTTCAAACAAATTCTTACAGCTTTGAAGGGATAGTTGATACTTTTAAGGAAACCCAAAAACATCTTGTTTACACTAACTCAAAAAGGTTATTTCAGTTTAAAAGACCAAAATTTTGCATTTCTAAACTAGATGTCTGCTTAATTCGTTGGACAGCACTTTCATTGATGAGTCAGAAGTTGTAGATTTGATACCAATTTCTTCTTAATAAATAAACCATACCTTATTATACCATCCAACAAATAGATCTAAGTTGTCAACAAACTTTCTGAAAGTTTTAATTTGGCCGTATATATTCTTTGCACTCTCTGGGATATCTGTTCTTTCCTGAATGTTCATATATTTAACTTCTCGAAGTACTGCAACCAACTGTACATGAAAAAATATGAAATGACCAAACACAAGACATTAGAATAAGGAATTTTCCTACATGAAACACAAGGCAAGAAAAACATAAATTAAAAAACAAATTAAGCTTTATTATTCAGGATATTTATTTTTCATGTTGCTTGTTTTCCTAGACACTTCAATCCATACACAATTCCAGGCTAAAAAGGCATTGAACTTCCCACCACAGGGTATCAATTATTGTACAGTATAATAATACACTTGCAATGGAATTTCTTAAAATGAAATTATTGCTTTAGAAATCCCCAACACTATGGATCTAATCATTTGGCGATGCTACCCATTACAGAATATCCTATGAAGCGCTTTGAGATGTCCTTGCAATGTGTAAGGCATTAATTCAAATATAAGGATGATTATAATTTATGTTGAAACAATGACAAATAATTGGGACGCTTTCATCCTATAATTAAACAAATAGATCCTAAGTTGGAGTACTGACCTGTTTAGTAAAATTAACACTGATTAGGTTGGTCTTTTTATTACGAATCAAAAGCGGTTGATTTAAGTTAAATTCACAGTCCTCATCCACTCTCAAAGTCCACTCTGCATATACCTTCTCACAGTATTTCGCAAGTAGAACAATCATTTCATCATATTTCTTAAAAATTATTTGAGCTTCATCACCTGATGTGCAACTGGCCCAAAATAAAAACAATCGCAACATGAGGATTAAAGAACTATCAACAATGTTTTCAAAACAGTTTCAATTAGACTGCAAACATACAAAGTAAAGTGTCAGGAGATTGAAAGTGGCACAAAACGAGTTTTTATCAATCTAGATCATCCATCCATATTTATTTATTATACCTAACTCAGGAATGTAATTGTAAAACCTAATTAAACAAACAGGCACAAAAATATTTTTGGTAAATTGCTATACTTACGGATGATCAACAGATTTGAAAGCACTTAATACAGTATCAATCCTGGTCCTAATCTCCTGTGCCCATTTCAGCTGACCAGCTACAAATGGCATGTTTTTGTTGATGATGGGGATGCTGCTCTTGCTTTCAATCAAAAACAAATGCTCATCGTAAACTAGTTTGGCATTGTCTAATTCTTCATTAAGCATTTGAACCAGACGTGGGAATTTTGAAGCTACTTCTTCCATTATCAATGGACGTTTGCTCAGAGATATAAACATATGCAACAGCTGAAATTAGAGAAATATATTATATACATTTTTAAAATCAAACAGATTAAACATTATTTACTACAGGCAGGAATAGTAATACAAGCAAATCCCTAAAATTCCTAACCTCAAACCATTTTTCTGTAGTTCTGTTTTACCTTTACTGTAGATAAAATATCTGCGCACTCATCATATCCTAGACAGATGATAGTTCCCAATCTTCTGTCAAAGTCTTTAATCTTAATTTGAAATGTTTCATAGTCTTCAGCAAATAACTGTATGTAAAATGCATCCAAATAAAACAATTAAACGGAGGGAAAATAACTTAATTTACATAAATATCTAAGCTTAATGAAAAAGATAATTTCTTAGTTTCTCCATATTAGTGATGAAAACACTATAGTTTACTTCAGAGAAGCATAGGTCTACCAGCCGTTATCAATTGAGGAAGCACATAACTTGCAATAAGTACAATCCCAGTTAGCAACTCTGCTGCAAACGATTTAACTATCTGGTATTGGCAGAAAATCATCTGGGAAGCTGTAACTGTGGTGTGCAACCTTGCCCATAAAGACGACTAACTATATCAATTGAATTTAATTACAATTTCCATTCACAGGATCACTGCATGAGGAAAGACCCTGAAATGCAGTGCTGAGGGAGCGTTGTTGGAGGTGCCATCCTTTGGATGAGATATTAAACTAAGATCCCATCTGTCTGGTCAGATGGATGTTATAGATCCCATGGCACTATTTGAAAAGAGAAGAGTTTCTCCAAGTGTCCTAGCCAACAACCCTCCAGATAAGACGGTCATTCACATAGTTGCTGTGGGATATTGCTTGTGAAAACTGGCTACCATATTTGCCCAGGCTAGTTTGAACTTAATTGTTTGTATCCATGTAAAGAAAGCAGAATAGGCTCCGAATGAGCAAAGCTAGGTGTAAGTGGCAGGGCCAAAGAAAGAGGCTACCGAGGACATTTGACAAGACAATCAGAAAATAGATGACAGTGTAAGAACTAAAATCTAGTATTTTATTACCACTAAGTGATTTTTCTTACATGTTCTGCTGGATCCAAAGGATTATACTTGCAGTCCGCAAACATTTTAAGGACATCTAAAAACTCATCATAAATCTTCATTACCATCTGACCAAGGAGATTTCCTTTAATCCCTCCAACTTCAATTTTTTCCAGCTTTAAGAACTCAACTCCAGTGGTAAACACATCCTGTAGAAATCATCTAGTTAGTTCAGCTTTGCTGCACAATATTAATTTATATTAAAATCTTAGATCCATTCTGTTTTCTTCATACAACTACTTCCAAACTTCTTCCTGTGAGCTAGAAGCAGCCCCCTGAACTAGTCCACTATAATAATAATAATAATAATCCTTGCATTTGATATAGCGCTTTTCACGTCGGGAGGACGTCCCAAAGCACTTCACAGAACACACTGTAAAGTGAATTGACTATATTTGTGGGCGAACGTGGCAGCCAATTGCGCACAGCAATGTCCTACAAACAGTCGTAGATTGAAAATGACCAATTTATTATTGTTTTTGGTTTTGGAGGGATTATTATTAGGCTCTGTGTGGAGTAAGGAAACTTGCCCAAGGTTTCGCCCTCTGCCTGGAATTGAACTCAGGACTCGCTTGCAAAGCGAGTGCTCTAACCACTGAGCTACAGGACTCCACTCTATGTAAGTCGGTAGTGCGTTTCCAGGTTTTTGCTCCAAACAGTGCTGCCCTGCAAATTATGTAATGTACTAAAACTGACAAATTAGTTACTTTTGTTGATAATGAGGCATTTAGCTTAAAATAAATTTTGGATTTGGAATGGACATAAAATTTAATTTAAAGTCTTTTTTTTAAATCTTCTCCTACTTGTTAGTTATTTTCTTTGATTTCCTTAGGTAAAAGAATACTTCCCTACAGATTCACTGACAATGGAAACGTACCATTTGTATGTGGAAACGTGGGGTGAAACAGTTGTGATACCATTCTTAGCAGAGTGCATGAGTGCACTGCAACATCAGAACCAATAAAGTAATGAAAAATTCATGCATAATAGACACAATACCTCAATAAGACGTAATCTGGAAATAAATATTTCCAAGTTTGCAAACACAAGATGTGAGGGAAATGTCCAATATTTTACTTCTTTATCCTAAAAAGTAGAGAAAACATATTTTTTTATAGCAGTTATATCAGAAATATTTAATATTATTATTTTTTATCATTACTTATACATTTATATTGTCAATATATAGAGTTGAAATTTCACCTTTGGCCAACACCTTTACCACAAATCAACAGAATTTCAAACCCTTTGTTTATTTTCTGTCTGGGCCACAGAAGATTACACTATTATAATATTTTTTCCTTGCTAAAGTCAAATAAATCTGTTGCTCAACAATTTTATATCAGTCATTCATTTAATTAATTTAATGCTAAATTGTTCAATGTGAACACTTCCTGAAAATATAAATACCTTGAAGAAATTATGAATGTTTGATCGCACAGCATAATATGAATGCTGAAGCTTTGTTAAGATAGTAAGGCCTATTGTTACAGTTTCCAGTGCCTCATCTATTTCTCCAAGTAGCCCTTTCATCAATTCTTCTGGGTTCAAGTAGGCACAGGTCTATTGAAATTAAATAGAAATATTAATGGCAAAGAAATAAACCATGAATTGGATGTTTTAATTATTGTTATTTAATTCCTGTTTGCTCAGCAAGAATATTACATGTATTTTACAATATAAACAAAGTGCAGGATCCCATTGTAACACTAAGATCTGATGAAAATTCCTGATGCTGGACTATTTACATTGAAAACACTGGTTAACAACTGTCACCGGGATTCAAAATAAAGGATTAAATAAGGAAAAAACATGATCAGCTACTATTTAAAGAGTGTAGAAAAGCTTCCTTTCAAATACACTGATATAATTAAAATAAACTGAAGTTGTTTTTCATACCATCTCAATGAAGAGGTTGCAGAGCTCTTGTAAGATCACTATGATCCTTCCAGGGGTGTTGTAATACTGAGAATTGGCCCAGATCAAACAAACGGTGTGCATTACCAAATCAATATGGGCTGATATCTATAATTATACAGAAATTTAATAAAAGATGGTTGTTGCAATATTTACAGTCAAATAACATTTTTTTAATTTCGAACTGTTTGTTACAATAAACTTTTCTGCTATGTACTGAAATTCCATTGCATAATGATTTTCAAAGGTTTTCAAACTACATCATGAGCACTAAATTCTATGAAAACAAATAATCAGAGGAGCCCAGTCAGCCCATTCCACCAGATTTTATAATCCTATTTCCCTGCACAACTTCATACACTTTTTAAGCAGCTTCTTATCCCGATTGATTCTGTCTGTTATAGGCTTCTGAGGGAGGCAAATGAATCATCAAATTATACGTGAGCAATATCAACATGGAGAATGTCGACAACAGTATTTCTCACATTGTGTAGGGGACCTGTCTTACCTCTACATATTCTACTTGCTCTAATTCCTCTAGTAGTCTTTTGAGAGGTGTCAGGTACAAAACAATATCGCTTGCTTCTTGTAGAGCTACGCTTGACAAAAACACAGCAAAAAACTATGATTAAAATATGCTTCTGTCTTGTAATTAAATAACTCATTGATGAATAACTCCCATATTAATACGCATTTTTGAATAATACATAACTAAGTCTAAGTAACATTTCATTTCTGAATTGAATCTTGGTGTTGCTTTTCCAGTTCAATACCTGCAGTGATGTCAATATATATGCTTTTCAGAGCTGGCCAGTAACTGCTCTTGGATCTTTCTAGAACCTCTGCAATGGTACGAGCTTTGGGTGTCCACAGCTGAAATAATTTAGTAAAATAAATTCTAAAAATTGTTTCAAATGGCTCAGTTCAGTAAACATTGTCTGACACATTTATGAAGGAGGTTTTCTGAACAGTGTAAATTTATTTCAAACATTTGATTACAAATAACAGCTTGAGCACCTGTTCATTGATGTATTCTAGGTCTATCAGCCTTGCATCCCAGAACTCAATCTCTATTTTAGGCAGAGGGTTCAAGCCATCCAATAAAGGTTGTGCTGAATCCTTGTTCAGTACATCTTTAACTTGATGACTCCAATCGATGACAATAGATTCAATAGCATGCACTATAACTCCATCTACTGGCAAAGTGGGGCTGAAAAAGAAAAAAAGGTTGAAGAAAGAACACAGCAATAATGTACAGCGATCACATTTTCAATGTAGAAGACCCAATTGATAGACTTGGTGTTTCCCTGATGACTGAGTGTATCAGAACTCACGTATAACTAAATATTTTCTATATATATATATATATACATATACATGGGAATATATAGTATATATTTTATATGTTAGGAATATATATGGTATTACACATAAGGGTATATATATTAGAAAATATATATTATACAGTAAGGAGATGGTGTTCGACAATCTAATGTTAAAAANGCAGGAAATAAGTCTTGCAAATAAAGAAAAAGTAACAAAATACACATAAGATTAAGGCAGTATACCTTTCTCTGTCTGAGTCATCTGAATTTTCCAAATAATCGACACCTTTTGGAAAAGCAAGTAGGGTTTTCCCTTTTATTTGCCCACCAACTACAAACACTTCGTTTTTAATCTGTTGGACGTGCTTCATCACATCCTCAGCGACCACTTGAGGCCATTTATTCATGTTGTCATTGTTCGTGAAGAGTTGGCAAACCACCTGAAAACGGAAAACGGGCGCCAGTTGTTTTGTTTTCGGAACCGCTTCCGATCGCACACGAGAATAAAATCAGAAAACCTCCACGTGCAAGCAATATTGGCTATGTTTCCCTTAAAAAGGGAACGGTTTGGCAGTTGGAAGCGTGTGCAAGGTCAATCGCTGTAACATCTGAATGGATGGGCAGGTGAAGCGGCAATGTATACGACTCGCGCTTAGTTATGGCAAGTCGTTCACACGGAAATGACTAATAATAATAATAATAATAATCCTTGCATTTGATATAGCGCTTTTCACGTCGGGAGGACGTCCCAAAGCGCTTCACAGAACACACTGTAAAGTGAATTGACTGTATATTTGTGGGCGAACGCGGCAGCCAATTGCGCACAGCAATGTCCCACAAACAGTCGTAGATTGAAAATGACCAATTTATTATTGTTTTGGGTTTTGGAGGGATTGTGATTAGGCTCTGTGTGGAGTAAGGAAACTTGCCCAAGGTTTCGCCCTCTGCCTGGAATTGAACTCAGGTCTCTCACTTGCACAGCGAGTGCTCCCCCTGGAATCCACGAGAGACAAGAGAGAGGGCGAAGGGAAAACCCTCCCCCTGAAGTTCTCACGCACCTCTTCTATCACCGTCACCAGCTGCTCCACCGGTGAACTGCCGATATCTCCGTACATCAGTACTTTCTTAATGTTGTCTTTGGTGATCGTCGTCGTCGTCTTCTTCACGAAGTAAATTCCCTTGGACTTCATCGAAGTGGGGAAGCCCAGGCTGGACACCAGCTGGGACGCGTTGTTGAGGTAGATGGACAGGACGAAGATGTCGTCCGTGTTGAAGAAGTCCAACACGATTTGCCGGCTCTCGTTGATGGAGAAGAACTTGGACCACTTCTCGGGCTTGATTCGGAGCAACATCAGGGTGACCTCCTCCAAGAGGTGGAACCTCACGTCGTCGGTTCTCTCCTCGTGTTTCTCCTCGGTTTCCATTTCTGGTCTCTTCTTCCTTTTTTTTTCCCCCCCCTCCTCCTCTCTTGTGCGGCTATGTGCGTCTTTTGGAAAGTGTTTTTTTTTTGGGGTGGGGGTGAAAAACACCCACCTGACGAAAACACACTACCGATTTAACCGCTCGACGCCACTACTTTTTTTCCTGAGAAAAAAAAAGAAGTCGTAGTTAATAAGTTAATTCTCTCTCTCCCTCTCTCTCTCTCACACACACAATGTTTTCGACCCGTCTTCCCAAATTCAAAGCAACACAGTGATATTATATATATATATTATTTTTTTCGGAAGAGAAGATAAATTCGACGCCCACTGTTTTTTTTTTTGGGGGGGGGAGGGGGAGGGCTGTAAAGTAAAATCGGGAAGGTTTTCAACAATAAAGTCACTTCTTTTTCCCCGACCCCCCCACCGCCACCACCGAAAAACATATTTGACGAATGACAACGATATTATTATTATTATTTTTGAGGGTGTGTGTGTGTGTGTGTATGGGGGGGGGGGGGGGGAGGGATAAATTGGGACGATTTAAATGACCTTGTCGGGTGGGGAGGGAGACCCGGAGCCTCCCGCTCGCTCCATCAAACCACAACGCCCTCCGGAGAGGGGGACGACGACGACGAAGACGTGCGCGCGCGCGTGTGAGTGTGTGTGTGTGTGAGGAACCTTCCAGACTCCCAACGGTCAAACCCAACCGCCACTCCAGCGCCTACCATCACCGAACGAGCGAAGGGGGGGGGGGTTAGTTCACAAAGAGAGACGTTTATCCCTCCAGTCTTTTTTTTTTGGGGGGAGATACTTTTCACGATCTATTTTTAGATCGATACTCTGGCGAGTCTTTACTTGACGGTTAATGAGAACGAGTTATTTGTTTGCGTCTTGAACCTCACCCGCCCCCCCCCCCTCCACCCACGAGCGTCCGCTGACGTGGCACACAGTGGCAGACGCCCGGGCGGGGCGCACGCGCACTCGCGTCGTCGCGCGTCGTCGAGAGGGGCGAAGAAGCTGAGGGGCCCCCGGGGTCCCGACTGCGGTAAGATGGCGGTTTTTTTTTCAAACAAAAACCTCGTGAGGGGGGAAATACCCGGTAAATAAGGGTCAAATATTCTAGGCTTCCGTTGCCATGGCGGCGAACACCGACCGTCAACGTTCTTCGCCGACGGTCAGCAAAGAAGGAGAGAGAGAGAGAGAGAGGGGTGGGGGGGTTTGTGGGATAACGTAAAACCTTTTTTGGGGACAGGACACCGCGTTTGGTGCCGATTGCTCAGCTTTTACTCCCTTTTTTTACACACACACACACGCACACCTTCCGACAACCCAAACCCACGCGGGGGCACTCGGTCGGCGCATTGGTTGTCCCACCGACACCAACCCACCACCGCGCCGCACAAACTCCACCTGTCGCCGCCGCCTCTCCTCTTCCTTCTTCTCCTCCTCCTCCTCCTCCTACTCCTCATTCCCAACCCCTTCAAATAAACTTCTGAAACTCCGGGGAAAACAACAATAGTAACAATAATAATCCTCGCATTTGATAGAGCGCTTTTCACGTCGGGAGGACGTCCCAAAGCGCTTCGCAGAACACGCTGTAAAGTGAATGGACTGTGTATTTGTGGGCGAACGCGGCAGCCAATTGCGCACAGCAATGTCCCACAAACAGTCGTGGATTGGAAATGACCAATTTATTATTGTTTTTGGTTTTGGAGGGAATATTATTAGGCTCTGTGTGGAGTAAGGAAACTTGCCCAAGGTTTGGCCCTCTGCCTGGAATTGAACTCAGGTCTCTCACTTGCAAAGCGAGTGCTCTAACCACTGAGCTACAGGACTCCTCTGTCTGGGCAGGTGGACGTCTGTCGTTGAAGTCTCTTCATTGCCTTGGTTTTTTTTCTCTCTCTCTCTCTCTCTCCAGGTTTGCTTTTGTTTTCTGTTTCTCATTTGAGCCATTTGCACAGTCCGCTCACTCACTCCACTCCACTCCACAGTGGAGCCAGAAACGAAACTGCTTTCATCCCAATCTGCCCCCGCTCTCTGGAGCTGCCAACCTGGATTTCCCTTCACCCTTCCAAGGTTCATTCTCAAGACATTCCTCTTGTCATCTTCCCCCCCCTCCCACCCACCTGAATCCACACTTCCGCCACCTCCCTCGCCTCCTTCAAGACCCATCTCAAGACCCTCTTCGACTGATTGTCCAGTGCTTTGGGACGTCCTCCCGACATGAAAGGCGTTATACAAATGTAATTTTGTTGTTGCAGTTTGGGAAAACATTCGTGAAGGAAAAATTCTATTTATCTTCATCTATTTATTTTAATTGAACATTTAGGCTATTTGGTTAGCGTTACTAAAGCAATGACAATATTTCTAACAACAACAAGATTCCATTTATAGAGCGCCTTTCATGTCGGGAGGACGTCCCAAGGTGCTGGACAGTTGAGTCAGGACCTGAGCAGGGGGGAAATGGTGAGGGGAGGGAGCGAGGAGGGGGTAGAGAGTCGAGAGGGGAGCTGAAGGCACGGTTGAAGAGAAAGGTCTTGAGACCGGCCTTGAAGGAGGAAACAACAACAACAACAAGATTCCATTTATAAAGCGCCTTTCACGTCAGGAGGACGTCCCAAGGCGCTGCACAGTTGGGTCAGGACCCGAGCAGGGGGAAATGGTTAGCGGAGGGAAGGGAGGGAGCGAGGAGGGGGGAAATGGTCAGGGTGAGGGGAGGAAGCAAGGCAAAGCACTGGGGGATGGATTTCCAGAGCCTAGGGGCTGAGAGGCTGAAGGCCCGGCCACCGATGGTAGGGCGGTTGGGGCGGGGGATGTGGAGCAGACCGGAGCCAGAGGAACGGAGGGTACGGGCAGGTAGGTAGGGGGATAGTAGGTCAGAGAGGTAGGAGGGAGCAAAGCCGTGAATGGCCTTGTAGGTGAGGATGAGGATCTTGAACTTGAGTGGTCTCCAGTGTACTACTTGGTAACTTACGCTAACCAAAGCTTGAAATAGTGACATTACCATGACAGTATTAAAGTAATGTCAGGGTCTCAGTAATCACTTTGTAATTGATGAGGATAATGTTTCACACAGGTTGACACAATGAAGATGCACTGATGTTGGTTATATAGAGTTTGATTTATTTGACCTGGTTTGTCAGTACTGGATTACAAGTATGAATGGCAATGAATGAAAAAATACTGACACACCGATTTACCATTACAAACGTAAAACCAGCTGAACAAATACAAAATAATCGAAAAGGAAATCTATACATTAAGTATATACAGCTCTGATAAATAGACCAATACTGCTTAGTCATCTTTTTTCTGCAATTGTCTACCAGTGCATTGAAATATGGCAAACAGAATGGGAAAGTAAAATTTCTATTAAAAAGATTGCAATAGAAAATCAACTCAAAATGTATTTATTATCTGATGGACAGACTATTTGTTTTGTACAATATTCTCTGTAATAATATGGTTGGCTTCTCTCCAGGAGTGTCTTCACTTTGTAAATGACATGTCACCAAGCATCTTCTCGCTCTCATCAAACTGGACTGACTGATCGAATGCCTTTGTATCCTCCCGAAGCATGATCACAGCCACAGTTCCACCATCAATCAAGCTTTGCATTGGCTGTGCTGACGTCGCCAACTTCCAGTGATGGACAATTTTCATGGCTTTCCACTCACTTTACCAGAATTGACATGAATATTCAGTGATGGCAGTCCCTCATATATGGCTGAAAGAATCATAAACCCTTGCAACAAAAATGTTAATTAAAATCAAGAGATTGTTGACAAGAATGAATATAAAGCTTTGAGGAGGTAAGGTAGTGGCCCTCGACTCCACAATCAGACCAGCTGTGTAGAGGGAAATATTGAGAGATTGCTGAATAAAAATTATTTCCTCATTATTTGAGGAGTAGGTAACAGAAGGTCAGAGGAACCTTCCAACTTTCAGCACATTCTCCAGCACAAGCACATAGGTAGCCCCAGAATGCACTGTGGATATTGACACCCAAAAATGGACCTCCTTAGGTCACTTGGCCAATGTCAGAAGGGTATTAATTTGATCCATGTTGTATGCCATCCTCTTAATGCTTCTTCGTTGAGGAAACTTTCTTCTTTCTTGCTGCTAGCATCTCATAAAAGGGGTCTCTACTGATTGCAGCTCTAGAAGTAAAACAAAGTTTAATCAAAAAAAGGTTTTAGAAAAAAAAATCTTATTAAATATACAGAGTTTGAATATAAAGGTTACCCAACACATTTAATAAAAAACTAAAAACTGAAGAAAATCTCAGGTTTCATGATTTAATAATTGAACTTTTCTCTTGTTTAACCCAAAGCAGTCACTTATGGCATTGTCTGACAGGCTTTAGTATATTGATTAAACGTATAAAAAATGCTTTAGATAAGGTATATCTTTCATGTCCTATTAGCTAATGTCAAGTGTTGACAACTATTCCAGTTAAATTAAATGTTTTTATTTCACAACCTTTCACAAACTTGTAATTTCATTCCACTGAAAACAGTAAAATACTGATTGCTTTGCAATAAACATACAAGGCAATAAACAGGTTCTGCAGTCACAATCATTATTTACAGAAGCCAGCAATCATTTTTAATTACTACAGGTTGATTTATATGAATAAGATTGCAAATTATTATAATATTTCAATACAGTAAACTTAAGTTTCTTTACAAAGCTTCCAATAAAAGAAGCTTTTCGTGGCTTTATTTGAAATTTCATTCATCCACTTAGACAAAGAGTTCACAATTTGGTGAGATGAATACATGAGAAGTTGTTTTGTTCATTTTTATAATCTGATTGCATGCAAGTAGTCAAGTTGTTTGCTTACTTGATGCATTTCATCCACTCGTCTTTCTCCTCTGGGGTTGGTGCAGATATCCTGTAAAATGTATGATTCCCTTCCACCACTCGTCCATCAGCCTCAGTTTTGCAAGCTTTAATAAACTGGTCTTTGTTATCTGGAATGTAGAGCTCAAAGCAATTCTGAAATGAAACAAAAGGGCATTCAATTCCAGTACAGTATTAAGAAAATGCTGAAGATTAAATTGGATTTGAACAATATTACAGACTATTACAGTTTGCTATGTTTGTATGCTTTGAAGATCAATTCATAATCATTTCAATTGTTTTTGTGTTTAGACATGTAGCGTAACACACACTGATTTCTTAATATGGCACCAAAATGAACTTGATATTTTTGTTAATAGTATAATTTAAAATAATCAATATATAACAGAACGACTTTTATTTCTACACTATGGCAGTACTTATACATAAACTCATCTGAACATTTTTTCTGATGATTTTCTGCAGGGTACAATAACCAGTTGAACTCACGGGCTTTTTGGAGTCTTCCACCTCTCGGATGCTAAGGTTTTCAAGTGGAATAATTCCTCTGGGTTCTTTGTCCTGTAAACATACAGTCATTAAATTGAAAACAAAATTCACTGCACATGTTTCATAGTACATTAATGCAACTAGGTTTGAGGATGAATACAAATTTGGATTCTTTTCAGATCGTTATGCATTCAAACTCAGAGCATTGGGGATTTTAAGGTTCACTGACCATTCATATTTGGAGGAAACATGACCATAGATTTGTTCATAAGCATCTGAAATCCAAGTTATGCGATGCAGATCATTCATAAAATAACAGTAGCCATTTCGGTGGAAAGACAAAAATTTTGCCCCAAATCTTGAAAATACTCTAGTTGATTTAAACATGAACAAGTTGCAACTCAGGACAGCATGGCCGGTATTAAAGTGTTTCTTGAATGAAATAAAGAGCTGGTTAGCTCTGGATGGAAAATACTAAAATCTATTACATCAACACATAGGATGCATTACATTAATTTATGTCTTGCTGCCATAGGCATGAGGCACAAGACATGAATGCAAAAAACCCAAAGTCACCTTTGGTTTTCCCAACATCTGGTGTGCACAAAAAATGTTGCAACAAATCTCAACAGATGGTGTCTCAGCTGAGCTATTGGAGGACTTGCGGACTCGAGGCAATCTGCCTTTTTTAAAAAAATCAGGGGGTGCCACATAGGCTACTTTTACACATCTAGCAATTAGTATCCAGAGGAGGGGATAACAAAGGCATAATAATAATCCTTGCATTTGATATAGCACTTTTTGCGTCTTCTCGATGTCTCAAAGCGCTTCACAGAATAGACTGTAAAGTGAATTGACCGTATATTTGTGGGCGAAACGCTGCAGCCAATTATGCACAGCAGTGTCCCACAAACAGTCGTGGATTGAAAATGACCAACTGATTATTGTTTTGGTGGGATTATTATTAGGCGTGTGGAGTAAGGAAACTTTCCCAAGGTTTCGCTCTGCTTGGAATTGAACCCAGGTGTCTAAAAGCAGGCTGTGTGTTTCTGCCAGGTATACAGAGTGTAATAATATAAGGAAACTTCAAAAATTTATTTGTTAATTATGCAAGTTTCCAAATACAAATGCATACTTCCTTTATCTTCGTATTCAATGGTCGTAAAGTGAAGCACTTTATGACATCTCTATATATACATTTCACAAGATATCAATCATCAAGTTTGACTGATGTCCAACCCAGTCAAATAGCATGGCATCAAGACACTGGATTTAGCTCCAACAAAATGGTGTTGATCAAAATTCAACATTTATCATTTTTGCGGTTTGCCTATATCTCCACAATTGGAAACCAGAAATGGCTGTTTTGGCCGTCCAAAGCTGCTCAACAGCTCCCTACTTTCTGTAGAAACAAATCAGGATAATGCATAGAATAACTAAAGTCAACGTGAAGATAATAGTACCATTAACTTACCGTGGTATATTCAAAGTAGTACAAGCAGTTGTCAGTCAGAATAAACCAACGTCTTTTCCACGTTTTCACTCTTCCACCTGTAGTTTAAATTAATATTTGGGAGAGAGAAAATAAAACAAAATCTCAACAGTTCGCGAATAGCTCATTACTTCTTAAGCATAGCATAACCTTTTGACTGTGTCAGTCTCAATAACTATATGTTTCTTTCCCCCAAATTAATTGCACCCAATATTGCAGATTTTCCAATTCAACTATGAAGTTAATTCTTAGCTGGCCAAATCAGTAAGTGTATGGTGAAGTACTTTGAGAGGAGAGAATGACAAACCAAGACAAAAGGGCAGTGCAATGCTTGGAGGTAGCAGCATGGAATTAGTTTATTTTTGTACGCAAAACGTTATGTGCTACGGTTTAATATATTGATTGTCAAAGGCTCTCGAATCATACTGCTATTTAATGTGAGAGTAAACTATAACAATGGCAAGACAAAATGCGAAATAATGAGATGCTTAGGAATGATTTGGAGGACAGCTGATTTTAATTAATGAAAATAGACGAAAAAGACAAAAGCAAAGCATTTTATGATCAAAGTATTTAAAGCAATAACCATTTTTTCCTTTTTAATATTAATAAGGAAAATATCCCAAATATGAGTTGGCATGTTTTACCCAGTTTTAATTCAATCAGATTCCAAATTTTCTACTGAGGCTCAGATTCTGCTAAGCAGAAGGGAGGAAATTACCTACTCATGTATGTTTAAACCCTATTAGAGGTCAATACTATTAAGTCAATAAAATAAAACTGTCTACTTTCATTAGATACTAGCCATGTTGCCATGTGCTAAGAGAATATGGGAAAATGCATGGCTCAAATCATCTGCTGCCCATATTGGGTGACATAAATACCACAAATTAAATGGAGCAAAACTGGGGGGCAGGTAATTATGAAAAAATAAAATCTAAACTCTTAAGATATTTAATAAAACGTAACGATGCTCCACACAAGATTCCTGATCGAAAAATTAAAGCAGCATTAAACAGGTATAAAGGCATCCCTGTACCAAAGCATATGCTTTGAAAGTCTGTGGATCACTATCCAAAAATAAACTAATCCCTTAGACTGTGCCATGGTGCACATTTATCTGATGATCTTAATTCCATTCACAGTGTCTCATGTGACAGACTGAAAGAAAGTCATTAAGATAAAGAGAAATTTACATGAGACAATTTCAAATGAAGCTCTTGATTAATATGTTTAATTTTAATAAGTCTCATCAAGTATTTATTAGAACACAATGTTATTTGAATTCAGGGAATTAATTTAAAAAAATATGCATTATATCAAAGATTAGACCAATGTCAATGCTGTCGTGCGATAATGATTCTGTACTATCAAATGGTCCATGATATTAAATCTGAATTCTGAATGAAATAAAATAATTTGCTAAAATACTTCACCTTATTACATTTTACAAGATGTCATGTTGACAATTAGAAATAAATAAATCATATGTTGTTTATCCATGTTCAGCTGCATGATTTGAAAGTCAAATTAATTATAATGTTATGTAAATTTCTACAACAGCATAAGTAGAAACCACTCAATTCAAAAACAGATCCTATTTCACTTTATATTATAATTGAGGAGGGTGAGTCACTATTGCTGTTTTAGTGAATCTTCCAAAGAAAATTATTTAATATTGAATCAGAACAAATATTATTTCGGCATTATAAAGTCTGGCCAACAGAATTATACATCATCCTACAAAACAGTATTGGTCTACCCTTGATATAAAGCAGCAAATTATTTAAACAGAATTTATTACTTTTTGGAATTATCCAGAAAGGAAATTCTGAATTTTAGGTAGTGATAAAAGTCACATCCAACTATGAAATGTGAACAAGTACTGCCATCAAAAAGTTCCTTTGAGTGACATGGCAAAGATTACAATCTCCCAAAATGGCTAAAATGCTACTGGTACATCTCAGGAAAAGTATCAGCTTCGAAAAAATTTTTTAGGATACAAACGTGTTTTCTATAATGTTGTTTTTACATTGGTGAAGCTAGCCATGAACTTTTTTTGCACGTTGCTACAGTTATAATCACTGTTTATTCCACTTTATTTTGGAAACTGCTGTGTATCCTTCACATTTGGGAACTTTTTAAACATTTAAAGTAAATGCTCGATTTCTGCCAGCTCATTATAAATTGTCTGCGACCTTGAATTGGAATGAACTCGGCAGTTTTCGTGGTATATTGCTGCAAACTAGTAGATTGGCAACAAATCAAAAATTGTCTCAGACTTGGCTTTTCGTTGTTTCACATTGCTTCGGATGCACTACTTAGGTGTGTACTACTTTAGAAAGAAAAATCTTACTGCTGTAAATACTGCTGTTTCCTGGGCTTCATTCCTTGTTGACTAATTCTATGACTTCACAAGGTGACACCTGACAATGGGTATACTGTATTTTTTTTTTAAAAAAAAGGCTTTCATGCTACTCAATTTATCAATGTTTAAAAACAAATGTGAAAAAAAAAGTGACACAGAGCAGCAGATCCATTTCAAACCTGAGATTCCCTATACGATGAGTTAGTGATCTCAGCTGAAGCTGTCTTGGGAGGGTTCCAGTAGCGGTGAGGCATGTCTCCAAAGGGAGGGAGCGAGGGAGGGAAGAATCAAAAAGGTAGAGTTGATCTACGTTGTTCAGATACATTCCCTACCTACCACCTGATAACAAAGCAGGTTTGCCAGAGCCTGACACCAAATCACTTATCACCTCCTTGGTCTGAGATGGCATTTTGATGTGACGGATTAAGGCAAGGAAGGGGGTAGGGGTGTCCTTAAGTGGGGGAAGAAAGTTTTTTCTCTGGGAGGGGGCAATTGTAAAAGAAACAAAAAACATTATATGTAAAATTGCATTAAAAATCTTTCTAACTTAATCATCAAAGAATGTTTTTAATTTGGGGTTGAAATTGCATCTCAGTTGCTTATTGAATGGGACTAGCGAAGCCTGAATAAAATTCTTTCAATAGTTAAGATGCATAGGTGTCACTGCTGAACGTATATTTTAAATTACACTGGACGGTACATTTAATCTAAATCAAAAGTTTAATTTTAAAAGATCGTCAGTCTGGAGGTATTAATGTTTGACAAATCTTTCGTGCCAGGCAGACTAAAAAGGTAAATAAATCTACCATTAATTACAGAATTCGGTCTTACATTCTCAACAATGTGAATTTTATAGTGAAGTTAATTCGGGTGACATTATACTGTAATTCTCGACTTGTTTACTAAGGCATGTGTGCGCACTCTCATCAGTAACATCTCTGGAAGAGCCATTTTTAAAAAAACAACAATAAGTGTAAGAAACCAACTTGGGGTTAAATTTCTCGTGCTGCTATGGTTTGCTGTTTTGATAATGTACACTTATTTCTCACCCAGGATATTTTCAAATTGAGATGGTTTCCACTTGCACAGGAAAAAAAAGTAATGCAACTACATTTAAAATGACAACAGCAAAGAATAAATTTCTATCATTGTACAACAACCCTCTACGTTTAATTTCAAAAGTCAAGCTTTTATCATATTTGTCAGAACTTTTGATTAATCTCCACTAGTCCCGTCACCAGGTATTTCCACTTGTTCTTTTAAGCTATAAAACACGCAGGAAGTCAATATACGTAAGGGTTGGCAGAGCAAAAGCAATTGTAGCTGTCAAACAAAGACCACAGATCGATCACCAGAAAAAGCAACAATGAAATAGAGTGGAAAATTGTTAAATGCATATCAACAGTGCAAAAAATAAAATTTGCTTTTTTCTTTCCTTTGAGGAGGCAACACCATTATTTCGGATTGGATAAAGTGCGCTCAAAAGTGGGCAATGTGCTATATTTGTGCTTCTAAAAATCAGTACCGGCTGCAATCTGCGCTATTAATTTAGCGGAGAGAGTCAGAGTGTCAAGCAGCACCCCGCAAACGCCGCGTTTTGTTGCAACTCTCGCTTTTGAGCATCTTTTTGGATTTTGTTTCAATAAAAAGATTAATTATGCATTTAAGAGTGATCCACTGAACTGCCACCTCAAGCTCACACGAAGCAGAGATAACGAACGCCCGTCAATGAAAGCAGCACGCGTCTATCACCAGCTGTAAGACAAGGACCAGTAGCTCCTTGGGCACAATTAGCTACATGTCAGTATGGTACATACCTCCTGTGTGTATAAGGAAAGACAGCCAGTCATGTAACAACCAAACAGGGCGAAAAGAAAATTAAAAAGAAAACAAAATTAATTTTAGATATTAACCCTTTGAGTGCTAGAATTGCAGAAGTGACTTCATAAACTGACTTCGCTTTTTGGCATAAAGAATTAGTACAATTCTCTTTTTGCTCCATTCAATAATTTGTCATTTTTATTTTTGAAAAACTGCACAACCCCACACCACCATTTTAAACATTGTTGCATCTTTCTAAACATGTATGTGCATTTTTTTTTCTTATTATATTCTATGAGGGTGACTGATAATCTGCAGAATTATTAGTTGACATGTGGGAAATAAAAAATAATTTTAAAAAAACATATAAGCAGAAACACTTGATAATTTGAGACAGCCCAATCCTTCAGATTTCATTGTTAAGTCCTCTTCCAATCTCCCGCGTGGAATAAACAGAATATCTCAAAAATCAGGTACCTGACTATGATAACACACCAATGCCTCAACTGTTTAACAGTTATGTTCTTTCCCCCGGCTTGACGCATTGCAAATTATTTCTCAGCAATGCTCTATCCTTCAATTTTAATATGCTTTTTACTATTCTTTTCCCACCAATTGCTCTCCGATTCAAAGGGAGAATGCATCATGCATTTGGATGGCAAACTAGTCTTCACCTGGGGAGTTGTAAACCCCTCGAAAATGGGCACAGCCTCTCCATAGATACATGAACTGAGAAATGATCCAGTGGAACAATCGGAAGCAACAGGATTGACTGACTTGTTCGTATCTAATCTACCTTTTCTAAAACATCTAACAAGGGCAAGATCTGCTTCATAATCTTTTTCCATTTCATAACTATACGACACTGCAAAGCAGCTGCAGTACATATGTGAAGAGATTTAACGGAATGTAATTTATTCTGCAACCTTAAAATAAGCTGTATCGAATATAGTCAGATTACTGAGTCACAACTGTATTCTGAGGCACTTTTGCATCTTGTTGACATTAACTTTGAATACTGTATTTTTTTTCTTATATAAATCGTCTCACCAGTTGCGTGGAAAGATTCCACACTGGATCTCTCAAAGGGTTAAAATAAAGAAACAGGAATTCAAAGCATGGGTGGTTAAAAACAAAACAATTTATAATCACCAAAATAAAGAAAAATGAAGTTCATGTGTATAATAATTATTTGCTATTATTAAACTCCTGATCTGAGATGTTCAAACTGAGTAGAGTTTTGTTACTAACTTTCCAGTATTACTGTCAATGGGCAATTAACCTTTTGTCTTCAGAAACGTAGAGCTCTTACCATTGAATGTCAGCATGCTTGTAATGTCAGTTAATCTTATTACCTTGCAACGATTCGGATAAGTGACCCAAGGGTAACAAAATCAAAACGCTACAAGCTTCTAGTAATACAACTGGAATACATATTTAGTGGAAAACATATGGAATCTCTTTTATGAAATCATGTTCACAGGGGACTGTAATAAACCCACTCCCGTAACTCAAAGTAAGATAGAATCACTGCTGCTTTCAATAGCCACTATTGCATGTAAATTAGGATTTATTATGCTTGAAACCAAATTGTGGAATAATCCACTGTGTAACTCAGCCCAAAACATATTTAAAATTTAACACTCGGAACAATGACCCAAATTCTTGCTATAATTTATTTAAATAAAAACTCCAAGCAACAGATAGATAGATGTTGCTTGTATCCTGCAGATTATTCCTATAGATTAGAAAAATATCCATAAATGTATTAAATATGCATACTTTTTTCTTTTGTGGAGTAAAATGGCAGGACAGACACAATAAACTCTTAATCCCCAGAAGATCTGAATCCCCAGTTTGAAGTTGTCTTAAATCCATTATTCCAGAAATAGTTTTTTAACTGCAGACTAAACTTGTTAATTAGCTCCAACTATTAACATTATTTTACGAAAAATAAGTTACAAAAAAAATAGGTGTTACCTATACCTGCAACAAAAAGAGTTTGAGACTTAACTCTAAAGAAAATGCTCCTTAATGAGCAAATGTGCTAATCCAAATGTGGTGTAATAAAAATGTGCAGAATGCATTTAAGTCAATTTACTTATAAATTATGTATGTTGACTAAGTCTGTCGTTTAAGACTGGACTAAGATAGCAACACATTTAAAGAGTTTGTTTTGTTGTCATACTCTAACAGGGAATGCATTGAATCAGAGGAGGTTAGGGGGCAACTGGATGCTTGATGGAAGAAAAAGAATGATGGTAGAAATATTTTTTAATGAACGTCAATGTACATCTAACAATAGATGATAATTAGTACAGCATGGGGGCAAATTATAAAACAGCAATGTTTTGTTCAGCAGATTGTATTGGTTAAAGCTTTGCTTTTTCAACCAGCAAGTCTAGTTATGCTACAATCAAATTACCTTTTAATAAAGGTAATAAATCGTGCTTGCAAGTCTGAATAGTTTTGACCTTCAATTTGTTAATGTAGCATTTTGTTGATGGTTTGCACAGCGGTTATAAAACAGAATTTTATTTTGGAAAATAATTTACGATATATGCCTTCTTCTTCAACATGTTCAGTTTACAATTCAAAATAGTGTTTAAAGCAAGGCTTGAACCTCTTTCAGCTCTTCCAAACAAATCTGATGACACAACCTTAAGTCAAAGATACCTTTTTTTTAAAACATACTGTAAATTGTATACCAGAGCAGTGAGGGTTTGAAATATTATTTCTCAAATACTTGAAACTGAAACTTATAGATGGAAACACAGTGTAATACTGTGCAAAGCTTTACCCAGGCAGTCCTTTGCTTTCAAAATCAAATTACATTAGAGTGCTATTTCTGCTGTTAACTCGAACATAACAAATTCATAGTATTGTAGTTGGCTATCAAGTGCTCCAATTTTTCCCTATGCGTTTCGAAATGACTGTAATGCAATTTTAAATGAATAATTTATTTTTACATAAAGTACTAGAAGTTAAAACTACATTATAATAATTATAAATCCACAGAAAAGGTGTTCTCACACTGTCGTTACCCCCAGCAACAAATTTACTAGGTGGAGTGAATGGAACAGACCAACTCCATCAATGTTTATATTTTTACTGTGTTCTTTCTGTCACAAGAACTGGGGCCAGTAAACTAAAACTATAAACATGAATGAGTTGCTCTGTGCAATATAATTCAGAAAACACTCTTCAGCAAACTGATGTAATCCAGATTGTATCCAAATAGAAGTATTTTCCGCAGAATATCATTCTAAAACAGTCACCTAAGTAAATTCCCGCTCACTGTAATTTAGTCTTGAAAAAATATTATTAAATATTTAGCGTTTCCAAAGATGGTTGGAATCCACTTGGTGTTGGCATATGAATAGATTTACAGTTATGCTGCAGTACTCTGGAGGTTAGGTTTTTTAAAGGTTAAATCAACTCACCCAATTTGAGGAGCCAGCCCTCTCGGTCTGGATTGAAGAATGTGTGAGTCAAATCATTCCCATCATCTTCTGGAATTTTGAAGGGTTCATTCTTAATACTATCATAGAGATTCTATTAGCCAACAGAAACAAAAATGTGGAAATGATTCACACTGCACCAGGAAGCTCAACAAGTTTCAGGAATACATAAGCATTTCTTTTAGAGAGACTGCTGCTAAAGAAATGTTCCTGTTCATGATAATAATAATAATCCTTGCATTTGATATAGCGTCTTATCATGTCTTCGAGACGTCTCAAAGCGCTTCATAGCAAAGCGATTAAACTACAGAAGTGCTGTACACCGTAAAGTGAATTGACTGTAAATTTTGTGTGCAAAACGTGGCAGCCAATTGCGCACAGCAGTGTCCTACAAACTGTCGTGGATTGAGTGACCAAATTGTTATTTTTTCAGTTCCTCTACCATTTCCAAATTATTTTAAGTCTTGCTGTAAATAATTAAAGACGTTTCCACAGTAAGAATACTGAAACTGTGACAGCTGCCTTTGAAAATGCATGCACATTGCTTGATATCTGAAGCACCGAAATAATCAAACCCAATACTGACTCTTAAGAGTTCTTCTGGTAAGTCACCACCGTCATTTATTCCTCGGTTCATGAGAATGAATCTTTCCACTGTGGGCTTGTCTTTAACGTTTGGGTTGTGTAGACTGGTGTTCAACATAATAATAGCAAATGACAGTACATAGCACGTATCTGCAAAGAAAAATTATACTTTAATGTTAAAGTGTGCCAAAAAAGCTCCTTGCATTAATCTAATTAGTAAAAAATAACGCCCACAAACTGACCCATAAAAAACATACCACTCGAGATCTCACCTAGAAATCTTTCAAATTAGGTAAACTGATAATTAAAAGTGTTGAAAAGTGACATTTTTACAGTGCAAAACGCCTCGAGAGATTTGGTATCTTTTCAATTTCAGAATGTGTAATTTTGTCCATCTAGTGGACAGATGAGCAAAATACAAAAAGGGAATCGATCACAATTTTAAAGAAAGGCAAATCTGTTGTGGCAGTGCTTTCCACAGTGAACTGGGAAATTCTGTAGTTTAATCATTTATTAAATGATCTTTTCCTGGATCTTAGTCATTCTTTATTCATTTAACCAGTTGACTGAGAAATTACGTAACGTATCAGATAACATTCAGGGTAGGAGCTCCACTCCAACATAGGAACACAGGAACATGAGGCCATTCAGCCCCTCGAGCCTGTTCCACCATTCTATTAGATCATGGCTGAAATGTACCTCAACTCCATTAACCCGTCTTTGCTCCATATTCCTTGAAACCCTTACCCAACAAAAATCTATCCACCTCAGCCTTGGTCACACAAGTCTATCTCATGTGAACGTGATTAAGGGCATGTAAAATTGATAACCTTAATTTCCCATAAATGCTTCATAATTTCTTTTAAAAATCTTCTCAGTGTGCTTCTGTGCTCCCGGTCATAGTATAATGCCTTACCTGTTGATTGAAAGACTCCAGGGTTACATTGACAGTATCGCTGTGCAAAAGCTTCCATCATACGGTCAATTTTCTGTGCCTCTCCAGGTAACCGAAAGCTCCAGAGGAACTGCCTGATATTTTTTATGTAAAAAAAACATTTTTTACGACATTTAAATTTACATGTTAATTCAATTCCTTCGGCTCTTGTAACTGAGTTGAAAGAAATATTGCAGAAATGCAGACACTCCTTTGAAAAATAAATCCTCTACATCAAAGCTGTTTCCCCCCCATCCCCAAATAACATTTTGCAAGAATATTTAAGAATACAAGAATAAAATATAGAACATCTGCCTGCCTTCTACTCTTCGTAAACCAAATTAGTTCCAGATATGTAAATTGGGTCACAAAATTGCGAGGAAACAGTATCAGTAACCAGGATATTATCCGCTCTGAAGTAACACGATGGTTTAATTTATTGACAGCTGATGCTTACCGCAAGGCCTGCACCAGGTTCAAGTCCGTGAATTCATGAAGCTCTACAAATGCATGCAGTACTTTGATGTTGAAGTCATCCCTGGAAAAGAACAGATTATTAATTTGCTAGAAAGAGGGAATGTTATTCATTGTACGCAAAGTGCTGTTCTCCCAGGTCCACGCTTTTAAGCAAGCAGCCACAGACCCATGCTATAATTCCAAAGAATCAATTAAAAAATTTTTAAAACCTAATTCATACCATTATTGCTGATGTAATGCAGACTTCTGATTGTCTTTCTTGCACCGTTACATTATTACTGCACATTGCTAAAGAGCTTTATACCAAATTGGACTAAAGTATCCAATTGAATATAACTTAGCCTTCTACTTGATATGTTAACTTGCATTGCAGAAGATGATTTGAATTTATCTCATGATTCAAGTAAGGGGTTTGGGACGTGACATGATGGATACACAAGAATCTTGAAAACACAAATCAGCAAATCATTAAGACCTATACTTTTGAGACTGGCACACACCTTCAGATTTAATCTCTGATCAGACACTCTATGCAAGAAGCGATCAATAATAATCGTTGCATTTGATATAGAGCTTTTCACTTCTAGACGTCTCAAAGCGCTTCACAGAATATACGGTAAAGTGAATTGACTGTATATTTGTGGGCGAAACACTGCAGCCAATTGCACACAGCAGTGTCCCACAAACAGTCGTGGATTGAAGTGACCAATCTTCTACTGTTTTTTTCTTGAGGGATTATTATCAGGCGTGTGGAGTAAGGAAACTTGCCCAAGGTTTTGCCCTGCCGGGAATCGAACCCAGGTCTCTCGCTTGCGAGGCGAGTGCTCTAACCACTGAGCTACAGGACGCTATATAAAATCTATTATAATAATCCTTGTTACGTCTTTGAGATGCCTCAAAGCGCGTCACAGAATATACTGTAAAGTGAATTGACTGTACATTTTGTGGGCGAAATCTGGAGGACGTGTGCTCGGAATTCTCGCTTTGGAAGAACGCTGACATTTACAGGACCGATTCAGCAGCAGCTCAGCGCCCGTAGCATAAATGATGCACAAGGTAAATAGATTCTATTCTTTCGCAAACACACCAAGGTAAAAAACTTGCCAATCAGCCTTGCAAAGGAAAAAAGATGTTTTTTTAAGCTAGTGAGATCTATAGTAATATCCAAGAAATTATGATAATGAACCACTGATTTCATTCATGCTTTCCTTCATATCCTTAACGAGGCATCAGCCTGATACATTTGAAGGTTAAAGGCAGTAGTTTTAAATAGTAATTCATTTGCTCCCCATTGTAAAGCATTCATACATTAGCTTTCCTCCACACGCCATGAAAATCACAGTTGTAACCTCGAGAGCACTAAAACGTATCTCTTTTTCTCTACCCTTCGTGTTCACTGTTGAAACAGATCATAAAACATGTATTACATGTTTTGGAAACCTGATGAAAAATTAATGTTAGATTACTGATACAGTACATTACAGGGCAAGAGATGTCTAGAGGGAATAATTTCTGTTCACAATATTCTCCCCAGTCGCAGAAGAAATTTATAAAAGGCATATTTCCCTTGCAATGAGGAATTCTCATCTTTCTTGCCACACCAGGGATCTACCACTCTGGAGTCATTACTGGCGAGGAAGAGCCTTTTATGTTCCACTGTACAGAGTGCCTCCATCTGAGATTCAGAGGGGCAGGAACTTTGAGCCAACGTGGAAGAAGACTGTGCAATCCAACGCTCAGAAAAGGAGCAAAATTGTCTGGGGTCAACTTGGGAGAAAATATAAGGGACTCTTATTCACACTTTTAAAAGAATATAGACACATGTTCAACATCGTATTAGTGACATTAATAAAAACAGGATAGCATTCAGTCTACTGTACGGTCAACAGGCAAATGTCATCATGGGCACTATATCAAATACAAGGATTATTTACAACTAGATAAGGCATTACCTCTCTCCAAGGTAATCCCCAATCGCAGTCTTGTTTAGTCCCTCTCCTTTGTACAAAAACTGTGCGATGTCTTCCTGCGTGTTCTTCAATAGCTCGTTCTCAATCAGGAACTGAATCCCCTGCGGAAAGGAATAGCCGAATTATTAAATTTGAAACAGTGAATATCATCGGAGCTCCTATTTCTGTTAATAATCACGATTCCGAGATTAACTAAATTAATTATTTGGGTTAATTTCCATTGTGTTTCATCAAAAAAACTGGCTGTCTGCACCCTTCTGACTCGGTTTTGAAAAGCTACGTGTTAGGTCGCAGCTGCCTACCTCTCTGCAAACCAGTGGACACAAAGCCTTGGATATTTAACAGTGTGATCATGAACCTGGACCCCAAATAATACCATCCAGCAGGAGTCATCCCAAGCCTCAGAGTTTCCCATCGACTAATTGTTAGTTATTTGCCTTCAGTGTGGTAGGAGAACCTTTAAAGGACAGCTTGTGATGTGCCAGCCACCTTGATAGTTCTAGAGATTCACATGCAATGCTTCATATTAGGTCTACTCAGCCACCAACTTTCATCTCACACCCTTTTATCTCATAGATGTCAATAGACAAGTTGTTTGAATCGATCGCTAAGTTGCTTAGTTTTACTGCTGTAGGTAGGTCTCGTGTGCAGAAACAATACGATGGAAGGAATCGGTGTAAATATTCCCAGCGAGAGTCAGCGGCTTTTATTCGTACGCTATCACAGCTCTCGTGTTGGTTAAAAACACTGCAGTAATTGCTTGTAGCAAATAGAGCTCCCGCATGGGTGCTCTACAGCATTAGCGTGTTTCTATGGGAAGCCGAGAGCTGAATGGTGCAGCCTGATGTTCACAGAAGGGTATTAAAAGGTGTTAGACATAATAACTGCAGGTTCACTGAGAAATAATGCACAATTAATTACAGGGAGTGCGCAGGTCCAGTATATTTTGAGTTGTGAGCACAAAACATCTGCAATTTTTAGAAGTCAGGGCACAAAGCCTAAATTGGTTGGTTTCAGTCATTGGTGTTCTAAATTTACCACAGCTTCAGTTTTGCAATCGACCGTGAAAAATCAATACATCTGCCCAGAATAAAACAAACCTTAAAGTAAAATAGCCAGTCTTAAAAAAATGGTCAAAGCTGTTTAAGAATTTATTGTAACAATGCTGGATTTGTTTGCAGATTATCTGTTATGTGTCAATTATTTTGAATTAATACAGGAAGGAGTGGGGGTAATTACTGTGATTAACTTTGTTTTCCCTATATTATACAAGCTCCAGCTACGAGCTGACCGCCAGTAAAACCCAAGAAGTGTTATGATAATGAATTTCTCGTGACAGATGAGTGTGTTGTTGACAAAGAACTCAGTCAATGTCACCCAGTGTGTAGTTTCCACAGAACGCACAGTTTTAAACAAACAAATGCAGTTGAGATTATGAGGTGGACTTTTTTTTGCATCATTCATTTAGTTTTGTGCTTAAAATTACAATTGTCCTTTCATCTTCCTGGACTTTTTGTTAAGGTCCCCTCATGTCACCAACTGTTTCCTAATTAACAAGACGGCCACGCCACTTGTTCCCCATCCCACTATCTTTCAATAAAAATAATAATCCTTGCATTTGATATAGCGCCTTATCACGTCGTTGAGCAGTCTCAAAGCTCTTCACAGAAGATATTTTAAAGTGGAGTGACTGTGTATTTCGTTGGCAATTATCAATAATGTTATTCTGAATTCCATTCAGTTTTATTAACAAAACTGATTTGGAAAACAGTTCTTAATCACTACCACATCCTTCCCTGATTTATGATGGAGCCAAATTATTACAACCAGAATATTGGTAACTTGTGTGACTTGATCGCAGTCAATGTTTTATTAATGAAAGACTCTACCATTAGACAGAGGCCAGATTATTCCAGTAAGCTAGTGCTTGCAAATCGTAAGCGTGCGTCTCCTCATTTGTTATGATTTTACACATTTCAACAAAATTGTATAAATATGTAAATATTCCGGTTGAGGACAGAAGCAGCATTACGCATTTCTCAAATGCCATCTGCAGCAATTTGCACCAAATCTTCATGCATTCATTCATTCATTCATTTCCATAGTCCCCACGCAGTTAGCTCTCGATCAGATCATAAAGGGAGGTAATGAACACAGAGGCCAGGCGTTCCCCACTGAGAGGGAGAGAAAAAGTGGCAGATGAGTCATCCTCCCATGCCAGTATTTCTCATTATTGGTAGAGACCAGAGAAACAAATGGCTTTCCCATCCATCCTTCCAGACAGCAGTAATGGGGGGAAAGTAGATTATTTTTACAGAAAGAATGCGAGTGGGTGGGCAAGCAATGTATTCAAGCACAGAGTAAGTGTATTGTGTGGCTTCTGCCAACCAAAGCTCCGTCCACCCTAGGGAAGGGAGAGATAATGAGAGCAAATTGTAGTCACAATTAACCTAGCAGTTAATTTTGGTTACGTCGGTGGCTAGAGAGCAGATAGTCTGTTCACCCTCTCTGCCGCACAGAGGGGGGAAAAACAAGAGAAAATTGCATTCAAAACATCTATGGGCTTTCCAGTCAGTAAATTAACTCTGCTTTCAATACGTCCAGCAAAGGTGATCCTCAACACTTGCCAATTTGAATGCAGCATAACTCAGTATTTCTGAACTTTGTTTTAAGTTCTAAATATGAACCCAAACTACTGAACCAATTTTCAAACGGTTAATTTGTATATATAAATATATCTATGTGTATGTATGTATATATCTCATTCGCATTTAAAACTACAGTCTAACAGAAAAAGGAAGTATGTTTCACAAGATGATTAGACTACCCCCCATTAAGTCCAGAGATGGTGAATGAAAGGTCTATTATGCAAACGCACATGGCTGACAACAGAGCAGTTATATCTAAAGCAGTCACACTGTGTTAATAGATAGCTGATTTAAATAGCTATAATGAACATTAATAGGATTAGAAACTGCCATTAACTACATTTGCTGCAAAGGGGTTCAAGTGGAAAGCAGGTGATTGTTTTGCATAAAAAAAACAAAGTTTAAAGCCCTCCCTCCCACTCCCCCACCCCCCAGACTATTAAGATATATGTAGATAATTATCAAATTGAAGTTTCACATTGTTATTTTTTTTAAAAATTGCATATCTGGTTTCACTCAGCAATACTAATTGTAGTTTATGGGCATTTCTACAGTTGTGGATGTTGTGAATGGAACCCAACTAGCTTTGTTAACAGAGCACTGTCTGTACATTTGTGAATGCTGAATCATTGACTGAGTAGCTATTTAGGGATCCACCTTTCCTGCTACATTGCGAACAAATCCCTCTTTGAAGCACGGAGAACTTAAATACATCAGCGTCAGGCACTCAAGTAACATAAAAAATATCTACGAACTCAAAACTCGCAAATAGATCCACTAGAAAAAAAACATAGCGTTATACCTTCTTAGGGTCCATGTTGAATTTCTTACGGCCCATTGCTACTTGCTTATTCCGTTGCATGTTTTTTCTGGAAAACAGGTTGAAGACATAGATACGTCAGTGAGAAAGATCGGCAATGGTTACCACCGGTGAGGAAACCTGCTGTAATTCTCCATCATGGATCACAACCATGACATTGGTGACAGATGCAAAATAATAGCATTACTTTACGCTGCAATAATCCTTAATCCTTTGGGAATAAGTGAGCAATTCATTGCAGAATTCAACAGGCGATGTTCAATAACCGGTTATTAAGCACTACTTGTGAAATAGAGTTCAGCTCTCATCTATCCTCCACAATAGCTGATTGTGCCCATTGCTTAGTGTTATGTGATAGGAAACAATGACTGTACATCTACAGTTAATAATGATTTGCCTATACAGAAACTTTAACAATTATTAATTAATATTAATCTATATTTCACACAATACAATGACTAACATGATCCCAAATTGTCGTGCCTTACACTTCATAATCTCCGCACTCAAGTAATAGAAAGCCCATTACTCCTCATGAGCCGTAAAAACATTGCTAATGTACACTGTATTAGAGGAATTACAGAGTCTAATAGGTGTTCTAGTTCTGCTGAGTGTTAAACTCCAGCACTACCCTCAATGTACACTCTGAGGTCCCCAAACCCTTGCCCTTGCCGCCCTTTACCTAATACTCTCTAGAATTAGGTAACAGGGTGCAAGTCTCCAGGGAGTGAGTGCACACTCCATTCCAGACACGTGGAAATTTCCACGCGTGGTTGGCCTTTAAAAAATCTTGGCTACAAGGGAACTGCGGTGAATTCCACAGTCATATGTGGAACCTTCAGTCTGGTTTGGCTACTCTTGAGCACGGCGATGGGTTTTTCACATGCATCAAGACATCCCGCAGACTAAAAAAAAATGACGGGTTAAAATGATGACATTACAAAAGCGGAAACTCGGGGAGTAACTTTCCCACATACAGAACAACAAACTGCACATAATAAATACTCAGCTGCCTGTGGTACCAGACAAGCATCATGCTCTGCCACTCTCAAGCGCTCTGGGACATTACCCTGGGTGAGAGGCGCGATGTGAAAGCTGGTTGTTGTTGCAGTGCACTGTGGAGCATTTGGGATTGAGGCTGTAGCAAACGTGGGTCTTCTCTAAAAATCACAGCAATCGATAGGATTCAGGACAGAGTGCAAGTGTCCCTGACTGACAGAGATATACACTTTCCACCTAACCTCCCCTCTCCCCCCCCCCCCGACCCCCCACTCCACAACACTTAAAAACTTATCATATATACTATTGGTATTTATCGGTGGAAATTTTCCACCAGGAATATTCTCACCAGACGTCAAGAAAACCGGAACAGCACATGGATAGCATGTGTGGGGCTGCAGGTGATTAAGAAAAAGCCTTGAGGAAGGAACGACCTATACATCAGTTTTATAGCGGTAAGGGGTTTGACCTCAATGTAAATTGTAACCAACGTCTAGACCAGTAGATGCCTCACCTTGGTTTGCAAGCTAATACTGCGGAGATTTGGCACGCAAAGTTTGATTCCAAAGCTTGAAGCAAAACATCTGCCGTATAAATCAGGTGCTGTTTGTTAACAAATCTCCCTCATCATTTTCCAGATCCCTGATTCGGCTGGTACTTACACGTAACAACTTATGGCTCACAAGCCAGGAATTCCTGGCAACAATAACCCTTTCGCGAGCTTTGACATCTGTGCAAAACTCGTGGGTGTTTGAACGGAGCAAGTGGCAATGCTTAATAATAAAAAATCTTGCTAGGAACAGTCGAACCTATAACGAGATCTTCTGATACCGTATTCACTGCAATTCCTCTGTAGCCAAGACTTTTTAAAGGGCAGTCAGGATGTCGCTGACACGATAGTGTTACCATGCATGGTTTGCCATCTTTTGTGAATTTTTTCAATGTGTGCTATAGGACTGGATTTACAAAAAGGTAGCTAGGCATAAAGCCTATTTGAAGTTAGTCATAATAAGCTCAGAACTAAGTGCTTAAGCTAGTTGTGACAGTAAGAGGTCCTGTTTTAGTCCCATAAATATATCATTATTGATTTTCTAGTTAACCTTAAATGCCTAAAAGCACCTAAATGCAGGAGAGACACAGTGAAACACAAAGCATTAAAATTCCCTCATTTTTTATGAGCAATATTTTCACCCGGAAGATTTATTGCAGCCGGAATCTCATCACGTCAATGGAAACTCAACGATGTGCACAAAAATCCCAAGCACTGAATAATTAGGCTGTTGATGTTAAGAGATTCCAACCAGTAAAAGGCCTCCATAATGGCATTCCAGGAATTGTGTGCTTCTTTTCAAGCTGCTCCGTTTGTCACAACAGAATTTGCGCCGTTGCTAATAGAACAAAGGATTCCTCACGTTGACAAAGCCAACCTGCACCTTGCACGCAAATCACTGTTAAAACCTGAGCAAACAGAAGTGCGCCAGAATCTATTGCGCTACCAAACACACTTGGATAGAATGGTTGCGATGGCTGATGTTTTGTTTCATTAAGAACCCGAGCGAGGGGGTGGGTCACATTGTGGTGAACACCACTAAAGTAGCGCAGCAGAGAAACAAGGTTTGCTGAATATTATGGCAAACGGGATCAGCTACGGCAGGCAAGATATATTTACGGGAGATAGATATATTTCTTATTGCAAAAGGGATTAAGGGATATGGGGATAAGACAGGGTTAAGTTATTAGCTGGAGTTAGATTAGAAGATCAGTCATGATTGAATGGCGGGGCAGACTCGAAGGGCTGAATGGCCTACTCCTGCTCCTATATGTTATGTTATGTTATGCAAGGAGATTTTTTGTGAAAAGGAGGAATTACAGTAGGAGATAATGGGGCGAGGTTTCATTTCAGCTCAATAGGGATTTAGTGAGGAGGAATAGGGTGTGGAATGATATGGATAAAAGTTTGGGAAGCATAAACGAGTGAGGTTTGGAGGAGCTATGACCTCAGACGGAACGGTTGTGAGAGAGAGAGAGAGAGAGGATAGAGACTGTGGTGGTGACAGTCAGGAGGGAACTAGAGGTTTGCTAGATACTTCCCAGACAGGGAAGCAGTATTTAAGTCTCGGATGTGAAGAAATGTTTGGCACAAAAGAAGGGGACGAGTATCTGAAAGGCCGCTTCAGCAATCTAGATGTGCGGATTGCCTTTGACAAGATCGAGAGGCCCAAGATGTGAGTGGAAAGGTCGAGTATGCTTTAAGATTGCAGTCGCTGAGATGAGAGCAGAGGCGGCAGATGTTGGTTAAAGCATTAAGAAACTCGAGTGTTGACTCATTATTTGACCACAGCGGCAAACCAGATCCTGTCAACACCCAACATCAGTGTTTCCAGCAGTGATGACTGAAGAGTCATCAGGAGCAGGCAGCCTGTACCACTGCTCTCTCCCTAATCCAGAAGGCAATTGAAACCACAACTTGGCATTAATATAGCGCCCCTCATTCAGGGTAGTGTCTCTCATGTTGACAGCCCTATCTGAGATCAACTAATTCAGCAAAAGCACGAGATGGAATTGGCGGTCTGTATGCTTCACTAGAAGTAGCTTCACCCACCCATATTAACTGCTGATAATCTTTGTGGGGGTTTCTAACTGCTGTAGAATTTCAGGTAAACAGTACCTGTTTATCTCGTCAGTAATTTTCCATGGCAAACGTTATCAAAAAGATTATATTAAATGGGTTGTCACATGGATGTTTACCCTCAACGTGTGTGTTACTAAGCAATGCTTCAATTCCAGGGGGTAATTTACTTCCACGTAACTCAGTATATGTACTGTCCACATACTATGGTTATCTGCGTGTGAAAATAAAACACCTACCTCTCTTCTGTCGAACCCAGGTTTTCAATCTCATTCGTAACCTCTGCTATCTCATCCTTCAGCCGCTGAAAGAGATATCACATTCAATAGGTAAAAGCATCATAACAATCCACATTTAGTTATTGTAACCAAGATTGCCCTTATATTAAATATAATATAATATTATATAATAATCCTTACTTCTGATATTGCGCCTTTCACATGAAGAGAATGCTTCAAAACACTTAACAGGATACACTAAAGTTTATTGACTGCATATTTTGGGGGTGAACACAGCTGCCAATTTTGTGCTCAACAGTGTCCCACAAACAGCCACGGAATGAGTGACCTTTTTCATTTGAGGGGATTGTTGTCTAGTACATTGGGAGAAAATATAGTTAATACGCTTGATACTAAAACCCGTGAAAACTCCCTTCCCTTTTCGAAGAGTGCCATGGGATCTTTTAACGTCCATATGAAGCAGCAGATGGGACCTCGGTTTAATGTCTCATCCGAAGGACGTCAGAGATCTTGATCTTTGCTGGTAGAATACATCATTTTTCCCCTACCCCACCCCCAAGCTGTTCTGCGCTGATTCTGGTTCAGATGCCTGCAGGTACTCTAGTCTTCAGGAACATGAGGAAGGACAGCTCAGGTAAACACTATAATAAACTCATACTAATTCAATCCACTTGGAAAAAATAAGCACTTTTCCCCATTCAAGGTACTTCTAAACCTCTGTAATTCCTCCAACGTGTAAAGAGTGGTAGGGTTATTAAAGCAGTGACTGCTGGCGGTGACTTGAGGGAAAAGGTTCATTTCTTTGTGGAAAGTGGTTTTGATCTATAAAAACGTTTTAATAAAACATCAAATTATACAGCTAAGAGAGTTCCAACAGGACATAGGGTACTTTTCATTCCATATGGACACTGCCAACGCCACTCTAAAAGATGCCTTTTATGTCAAGCAAAAGATATTGCAGAACATACTTAATATCAGACTGACCTTGAACTTTTTTTTTNCGCGTGGAAGCTCAAGTAAAATACAAGATAGCCTCGGGTCAGCAAGTCTCAGTCATCAATTTAATAGTATTTGAATTTTCCATGAAATGAATACCCCAATCTCATCAGCCAGTGCACTTCAGGGAGGTGAGTTTTATAATATAATACAGCATTAAATTGTGCCGGGGCAAACTTTATATAATCTGATTTGTGTTCATGAATGAAATGGCTCCAACTTGAAAATTAAGAAAACCTTTAACAACTCAAAGTAGCCAGTGTATTAAGCTTCACTTACTAGGTGGGTACACACCTCATGCGGATGTACCCACCCAATAATAATCCTTGCATTTGATATAGTGCCTTATCGTGTAGTTGAGACGTCTCAAAGTGTTTCACAGGATTTACTGTAAAGTGGATTGACTGTAACTTTTGAAACACAGTGCACAGCAACATCCCACAAATACCCATGGAATGAGTGACCAATTTTATTTGGGATATTATTGATCAGGACATTGGGAGAAATTCCCTTCTCTTTTCGAATAGTGCCATGGGATCTTTAACATCCACCTGAACAGACAGGACCTCGGTTTAACATCTCATCCAAAGAATGGCACCTCCAACAATGCATTGAAGTGTCAGCTTAGACAATGTTAACCCGGTGTGAGGCTCGAACCCACAATCGTCTGATTCAGATACATCTCCCTCCTCAGCACCTCGTCTCTTGTGACTTACAGTGTGACAAGACATTTCAAAGGCTCCTAACATTAAGTACACTAACTGTTCCATGAAAAATTAACAGAACATTATTCTACATTTACTAACTGTCTTCGAAGGATTGTTAAGCCTCGGCCAGGAGCTGCTAACAGATTACAATATATACTCTGTTAAAAAAAACTTACATTAATTCACCCAGAATCTGGGTGAATATATGGGTCGGACTAACTCACTAATTCCCTCTTCTGTGCCCCTCTATTCCTTTGTCTATTATGTACGCATTAAGTTTCCTCTTAAATACTTTGATGCTTTTTGCTTCAACTTATTCCTTCTCCCAAGCTATTCTGAACTTCTCAGTCAGGCGGATTCGTCAGTCCAACACAGATATTCTTGCGAGCCTCAATGCTGTTTCATCATCATGAAATTACTCTAATTAGTAAAGAGAGCAAACCCAGGCCCAGCGCACACCACACAGCTGACCAACATGCAAGGTTCTTTCTGCGTCAGTTTGTAAAGTGCTTTCAATCCGTTTGGATTTCAGTTCAGTGCAGTTGCTGCCGGGTTAAGCCAAGAGGGAATTGGATTTCTATTTGACTAAAGAAGTGACCTGAAGATCACGAGAGATGGGTGTGCGGATCCCAGTTCTCTTTTTCCGGTCCTGAGCCCTTCTATTTTTTCTCGGGATGAATCCAATGAAAACAATCCGTGTGCCCAAATGCAAACGTCAGGTGTCTAGTTGATTAACTTGAAGGTACATGACGGATCTGAAATTGACAAGTCACTCTGGTGGAATACGGACAATGTCCAGTTAAATCAACCAACTCACCAAATGTTATGCTTGGTGCTTCGTTCAATGTTTTTTTTCCCCCACCTGTTTATATAGTCTACTGTCTGAACAAGAGCAGGAGTCAGTTGAAATGGGTATTAATATAGATCAAACTATTAAGTACATTAATTGCTTTTTAAAGACCTCTAACATGTTGATGATATCTCTCAGACCTCAGAGGTCCAAACAATCAGCTTTAAAACTAGTGCCTTAAAATTTAGGATTGCACAGAACTTTGGAGAAATTCTTAAATTGAAGTCCTAATAATAGTAACAATAATAATACTTGCATTTGATATAGCGCCGTATTTGAAAGCTGGTTTACCGCAGTTTCCTAATGCAAACAGCACCAGCTGTTTCACTCTTTTTCTCAACAATTCTTTTTGACCTAATTCTACACCAGCCACAATTTTCTGCCCTAGAAACTGCCAACTGTGCGATCTGAACAGATCAAGCCTTCACTTCCCTCAGGCTTTTCAAGTCTGGTTAAAAAAGGCCACACTAAATCCTGCTCAAGGCAAGTTAGGTCCTCAGTCAATGTGACTGTCCTAGTTACCCTGATAGTTACTTTATAGTGACAAGATTCAATTGCACTCCACCATGGCATTTTGTACTGCAGTCTCACAGGCAGGTTTTACACCTCTGTAAATATCCTGACATGTAATAGTAATTACAGTATTAGGAGTTGTCACTTTGGTATTAAAACATCCAATTAGTTTCAAACGTTCTCACTTTGTTCTCTAAGCCACACAAAAAAATCTTGGGAGCTTTAAAATAAAAAGATTTTAGCTTTTCTTTTAATAATTTGGCCGCTCAATCCACGACTGGCTGTGGAGCCTCTGTTCCTTGGCTGTTCGTTCTCCAGGCATCTTTCCCCTTTCATAGATGGAAATCTAAATTGATTAGGGGTGGCTTATTTAGTCGGATGCTCACCCAGTTTGCTCGGTGCACATGCTCGTGTTATTTCAAATTCAATAAACCACTGATTACCCACGGAAAAAGCTCAACGGGCCACCAGAAAGAAAATTAATGCAGTCCCCAGGTAGCTTATCCTGAGTTACAGTAGCCAGGAGCACTGAAACAGCAGCTGTTGTCAATGCCAAGATTCCTCTCTGTAACTATACAAGCTGCAAAATTACTACAATTAATCGTGCCAACTGACTGGGATAGAAAAAAAGGGAGAGAGATGCTCCCCATTGCCAATACCAGCGTAGGGGGTGGTGGTGGTGGAAGGGGTGGGGGGGGGGGTTACTCACTGTATTGAGAAAGCCACGAAAATCATCACACAATGCCTTTTCTTTGAAAAAAAACACTCTCACCCGACTGCATGCAAACAAAATGGTTTTCCTTGGAAAAGCTGACCTGCAGGAGTTACAAGGTGCCATCAAAATTAGTTGCCAGTTTCGCTGTTTCAAATTCAATGAATCACATAAACCCCTTTGGGGATTTATTCACTGTGCATTTTCCAGCACACCAGCTACGTTGCTGAAATAACACTATAATGAAAGGCGATGAAAGGTTTGCTATGTGCCTGTCTCGTCCACAAAATATACAATCAATTTACTTTACAGTATAGTCTGTGAAGCTCTTTGAGAGGTCTCAATGACGTGATGAGGCGCTATGTCAAATGCAAAGATTATTACTACTGTTAAATTCAGTTCTTTCTTCTGTCACTCTTTACTTGATCTCCAGGTTCTGTGCACCGTCTATGAACGATGGGGCTGAGGGGCAGGTTTCTGTCGATGAGACAAATGAGGCATCGCCTAACTTTGGGTCTGATCATTGCAATCGCTCCAATCACTGAGTCTCTACTCACTACAAAATTGCGATGGTCATCTCCAGCACCTGAGCTCACAGTCTGGGCTGACACTGTATTTCCACAAGCAGCATTCCTCTGACAAGACTTTAAACCAAGGTCCTGTTTGCCAGTTCACTTAGGCATTAAAGTATCCCAACGCATTATTCAAAAGGAGAAGGGAGTTTCTCCTGACGCCCTGGCCAACAATCCTCCGGATAGAATTGTGTGATAGCTGTCGGTGGAACATCCCTGTGTGCAAGCTGACTGCTACGTTTGCCGACAAATGCGCAGTAGCAACACTTGATAGCAATTACTTATGAGCTGTTTGAGACGTTTAGAGGTTGCCTAAGCGCTACATCTCAAATGTAAGGATTGTTAGTATTACTGTGCGTTTGAATTGCAGCCAGCAATTGATCTTGGAACAGGTGGAGCATTTACACAAGAGCAGTCAGCCAGCACATACATTACAGAGCTGGTTGCCACAGTTCCTACTGACTACAATGGGCAGGAATGCATAAGCACTGTTCTTTCCAGGAGGGTGATTTTTTTTTACCCTGACCTGCCAGGCACACCAACGATCACACGTTCTCTGATTTCATTCACACTTTGCTTTTTAGAAGCGCACCAGTGCATTAAACAAAGAAAAACAATCAAATAATAATAATCCTTGCATTTGATACAGCGCCTTATCGTGCCGTGTCAAAGAGCTTCACAGAAATATATTGCAAAGTGAATTGACTGTATGTTTGTGGGCGACAGGAGGCAGCCGATAGCGCACAGCAGTGTCCCACATTTGTGGATTGTGGGACAAATTTCTTTTTTCTTTGAAGGGATTATTACCCCCAGAAAGCGATCCACCAATTGACTAACAACCAGGTTCCTACTTACAGACAGGTAAATTGAGGCGTGTGGAGTAAGGAAACTTGCCTAAGGTTTCGCCCCACCTGGCAATAAATCCAGCAATGAAGGCAGATCTACTTGCACTACACCAGCGGATAATGACTCAATTCTTCCTACTAAAACTTAGTTCTGAGCCTTTAAACATAATTCTGGAAGGTTTGCAGCAAATTAACTCATTTTAAATGTATTTCATGTTTGCTGCAGTTGCATTGCTATATTTAAAATGTAATTGATATCATATACATGCAAATATATTCAGTCTACAACGAGTTAGGAATTGTGCAATCAACTATTATTTGGCAGCCTTCACTGTGGTAGGAATGTAGATGCCAGTCTTTCCTTTGCATTGCTATAAGGCTTCCAATTTAAATCCTCATTAAAACGTTGTTGCTTATTAACACAATGTAATGAACTTCATTATTCCTAGCAATTAAAATACAACTACAAACAAAGAATTTGAGGGATTTTGCACCATAGTTCTGTCCGATAGATTATTTCTGCATCACTATTAAAACCAACTACCCTAAAAAAAATTGGATATGACAGACTGTTTTAATGCACACTAAAAGCTCTCATTTCTAGAACAAGTTTAATAACCAAAAGTAGTACATATGGTACAAGTGCTATTCAGTGACTGTTAAATCTGTGCGTTACACCAAGAAAACATGTTTAATGCATCACAAGCTAATTAAAGAACAACTTGCACTTATCTTTAATGTAGGATAATGTCTCTTTGCTGAAATAGGAGATAGAAAACTGATTAAAACTTTAAATCACCTAAAACATCATACCCTGCATATTAATTAGTAGTTGGCAGTTTAAAATCTAGTTCTTGGAGTTGTTCGGAGTTGCTGGCTAACATACATCTCATAGATTATTCACCACAATCATTTAAAAAATATTCCCACTATTAATATCATTGTCATGTTGTAGGGTGGAGCATTTTATTCTTATTATGGTCTATAATCCCTGACTGTCCAGTGCCTTGGGATGTCCCCCCGACGTGAAAGTCGCTATACAAATGTAAGTTGTTGTTGTTATAAGTTCCTGCATTTTACCGGATATACTATAAAGTGGGATGATTGTGTACTGTGTAAGTGAATGTGGCAGCCAATTATGTGCGCAGGAACGACCCACAAACTGCCTTGAAGTGAATGACCTATTTTATTCCCCTTAAAAAAAAATGTTTTAAGGTTTTCCCCTGTTATTCTTTTAAGGTATCGGCAGGGAATTGCCAATAGTAAAAATAAAATTGGCATTTCCCCTCCAGAGTTTTGCTATGGCTGACTGAGCTGAAAGGAATGTTCCTTTAGATTCCCACAGTGGTTAGTTGAGACGAGACAAAAGGAGGTGAAATGACAAGATCAACAATGTACATTGTACATCCAACAGAGACAACTCTCACACTTTGTTTTGAAGCAACAGACGAAATGGTACGTCAGTACTTCATTGTGAATGAAGCCGAGTTGTCCCAGTATTGAAATAACTTTCCCTCTTTGAGACTATGGGCACCACAAATCAGTTTGCGTGCGTTCCATCCGGATGACTACTTTGTTTCGGCCTCTGTTTCCTCACCACATTCAATCTGTTTTTAAGGGCTACGGTTCGCATGTGGGAACCGACCATGCTTTGGACAATAATAATAAGAGTTTACTAACACCGTGATACAATTATAATAATATTTATTATAACTGTGTACTATGTTACCAGATATAATGGAAAGTTATTAGATTTATGTTACTTCTGAATAAGTTCTTTTACGAAGGGCTATTAATACTGTTGGGAGAAACTGTGTTCAAGGATTGCCATAATTTCGAGGACATAGTTTTCCGAGGCTCTGGAAGCTGGAGAGAGAAAAGGTGACCAAATGTGCAGTCAAAAGGATAACAGCTAACAGGAGACTTTAAATGTGGTTAGAGGGAGGGAGAGAGGGAGGGGATGATCGATTTCCCACAGCACCCATCCACCCACAGTGCAGAGCACTCGCTTTGCAAGTGAGAGACCTGAGTTCAATTCCAGGCAGAGGGCGAAACCTTGGGCAAGTTTCCTTACTCCACACAGAGCCTAATAATAATCCCTCCAAAAAAACAAAACAATAATAAATTGGTCATTTTCAATCCATATGACTGTTTGTGGGACATTGCTGTGCGCAATTGGCTGCCGCGTTCGCCCACAAATATACAGTCAATTCACTTTACAGTGTGTTCTGTGAAGCGCTTTGGGACGTCCTCCCGACGTGAAAAGCGCTATATCAAATGCAAGGATTATTATTATTATTATCCTTCCTACACCATCAAGCTGCTTCTTATCCGAGTTCAGAATAGGGAAAGTTTTCTTTTGCAAATGGATCATTGACGGACTATTTTAATGAATAAAATGCTGTGGAATAACGGAATGGCATGATTTCACCCGCTCCCATTACAGTAATTGCAGATTACTTACCCTTAATTATTGTGCCCGCAGAAGTGAGCACAATTTGCGACCTTAACAACCGGTATCCTAACAATGCAGTAACGAGGACTATTAAATGGAGAAAACGAAAAACACACACCCCATGCCTAAAAGTGACTGTCTGCAAATTTGCATTTCAAGAGAGAGAGAGAGAGAGAGAGACAATTGGCATTTAAGCTTCGGTTGTCCTTGGATATGAAATGAAAGAGATACATGTAGCTCGCTATGGAACACTTTATTGCCTGATAAAAGGACGGCAGGGCAACAACCACTGTGCTTGAATGATATTCCCATACATGCATCTCCCAGCACGGGGTTAATCATCTTCTAACCCGCTCACTTCAATGGGAATTTCCCAGACAAGAGTGACAGCAAGAATTTCCATGGGAGGGGTGGGGGGGGGGGGGAAGTCAGCTCAGTGAGTTTTTGCTGCGGAAACACAGAGAGGCTTCCAAGCCAAGCCTCCTTCACAGGTACCCCACACTCTTACAACCCTACTGCAAAGTTCAGGGCTTCCAAATGACATCGTCAGCTTGATACACATCCTGTTCAGAGATCTCAACAGGTTAATGTATCCCACTGGTGAAAAAACACGCAGAAACAGTGGCTGCAGTGATGGACGACTGGAATCACAAGAGGGCAATTTAGAGAAACAGACGCGATACGCTGATGATTTTGGTTTCTATGGGCTCAGCATTTGGAAATCTAGGTCCTGACGTAAATGCACAGATGTCATCCGTGCGTCCACCCAAATGACAGTGAGATTTGTCAGTCTTTCCTGAGCTTCTCTGGGAGGGAACGGAAACTGGGTGGAACCTGAAGAAGCAGGAAACTCTTGAGGGAAGTCCTTTTTTTGGTTCAAGTTTCATGTAGCGTTTGCCAGGATTATTTTCTGCCGCCCAATGTTGAGAGAATCGAGAGAAGGGCGCAGATAAATGGATACTTCACACTATTGTTGGTGCAAAACCAAACTCCCCCCAAAATGATAATAAATATAATAATAATAATTTGGTCATTAATGCCGTGTTTCGCCCATAAAAAAATACGGTTAATTCGCTTTACAGTATCTTCTGTCAAGACTTTGAAACGTCTCAACGACATAATGGGGCGCTATATCAAAAGCAAGGATTGTTACTGTTATTATAAAACCTACTGCCTTATGATTTTTATTGTAATATTCAATTTGATAAAATAGAGGCTTCTGCAGCACAGTGAATAGGTGGTCTGGAATATTGGTTCTTGTTGAAGGAGGTTTTCCCTAAGGATTGCTGAACAGCTGAATGGGCTCCTGGCTTTCCAGCACGTTTCCTAGAAACCATCTGTGTTACTATTTTGATTCGTTTGCATTAAAGTATCGTGATGGGAAAATCCTTCCTTTAAAAAAAAACTCCAATAAACGTTACGCTTTGGACACACAACACGTGGAACAATTTGCACTTGTGGAATGCCTTCACCCACAAAATACACAGTCAGTCCACTCTAAAATATATTCTGTGAAGCGCTTTGAGACGTCTCAACGATGTGATAAGGCCCTTTATCAAATGCAAGAATTATTATTGCTATAATAAGACTGTTGAGAGATTGGACAAAACGTTCAAACTACAGTGATTGGGGGTAGGTGGGGGACTGGGGGTGGGGGGGGTGGAAGAAATACTGAATTGTCGGAGGTTCCGTCCTTCAGATGAGATGTTAAATAGAGGTCCCGTCTGTCTGTTCAAGTGGAAGTTGCGGATCCTGTGGCACTGAACTGTCTTTTATTTCGAGAAAACATTGGGTATTTAAAAATGGCTACCGCTTGAAGTGAAAGCAAGAGGCTGAGAGAAAACTGCTGTCTTTTTACCTGAATGTCAGCCAGGAGCTCTTCCTTGCGTCGGCGAATGTTTGCGAGCTCTTCCTGCTCTTCTGGAGTCAGGTCGGTGGACACTAGAAGCAAAGACATGAATGAGCACAGTGATTTCCTGAGATCAGGGCTTTGCAGCGCGGTGGATGGTAAAGAACGACCCTTCACCATCACCTGACACCAGTTTATACCAGTCAGAAACGTAGGTCACAAGTCCTGCGCTCTTCCCTGTCACACACACTCTCTCTCTCTCTTTCTCTCTCGCTCCCCCTCCCTTCACCCCCAACCACCCACCTCTCCACTAATGGAATTTCATTATTCAACTCTGTCTGAAGCAGATCATTGTCTGCAAGCAGATGAGAAAGCACGATAAAGTCAGAAGTTTCCAACTGAATTGGCCACTGTACACACGCTCACGCAGAGATTAGGCACAGCCAGCACACACTTCAGCCCCGCTGCGTTAGATATCTTTGCATGAACGCACTCCGCCATCCATCTACCGGCTTCCGACGACGAGTGGTCAAACCGATCCGAGACAATACTCCACATTTCTAATTAAAGGTTGGCAGCGTCGGTCTTACTGGTATATAGAGGGTAGGGTTTGCCAACTGGAAATTGCAAGTTAAAGCGACAAATCCGGGTTGCAAACATCACATTTCAGACTCAAAACGTACTCACAGAGCAAGTACTCAGAGAACCAGACACAGACCGAGAAAAGATTCTTCTTCTCTGGGACACTATGCTGCATGAGGGGCGCTATATAAATGCAAGTTATTGTTCTCTGTCCAGTTACCACATTGGAAATAGTCTTTCTAGCTGACCTGATTTCTCTCCAAAGCTTGTTGATTCAAAACTCTGCCTGTTGTTGTTTTTCTCTCTTGGATCTGTTCTGCTTAAAAATCTTCCATCGAAATGTCGCATCTCTGGCTAAACGTTCTTGACCTCTGTCTTTGTCGCTCTTTGTCCCAATTTACTCTGCCTCTTAATCGTTCTCAAAATATTCTCTCAACCACACCCCAGCACATCACAAGACTTCAAGCAGTCAGAAACCGCGATTTGAAACACAGGAGTGAGAGGTTACGGCTGTTGCAAATGTCAATGGCTTCAGCAGCACATTTCTGTGTGTCGTGGGACCTCTTACTGGTTTAGAATCTCTATAATCTAGAATTTAAGTGGCCGTTTTAGCACAAATTTCACTGTGTTACACATCAGAAAAGGGCAGTCGGGTACATTACTGCTCGGGTACACTAGGCAGCTGTCACGTTGACAAGTTTGGTCACCAATAGGCGGAGGTGTGGGACGGGTTACCTGTCACTATGGTGTGGTGCGGTGCAGCAGAGGACTTGTATAGTTTGGAAAGTAATAAAGAGTGACAAAGTGAGTTAAGATAATCGTAGGCAGATTACGATCAAATCACCCACCCCCACCGCCTATGTCAACCATGACTTCCCTAAAGTCATGGGGGCCTTAAGCCCAGAAAGTTGGGGAGCCCCCATTATAGATGAATGTATATAAATTTCTCACGTAATCATTACCGCATGACGAAGAAAAATACTTAAAACACGCTCGTCATTTCCGTGAATGCTTTTTACTTTCCATGTCTCAGGCAGGAACTTGATAAGAGGAACTGTAAACCACTCTTACGTCGAGTGGGTGAAAATAGATTTGTTCATCTGATGCTCAGCCCCTCTTAGGGAGGGCGGGGGACTGGATCTAGTAACTCTAAAATGACTGCATTTCTAAACCCGATTTGCATTACCATCAGTCCTTGCGTAAACAAAGGCGTTTTGTTTAGCAAAATTACTTTGGTATTTAACGTTCTGTCACTCAGACTCCCCCACTTCTATTTAATGAATTTCATCAGTTTGCAGCAAGGATCGATTCTCCTACATATTGGACCGACATCTCAAAGCACTTTACAGAATACACTGTAAAGTGAATTGATTGTATATTTTGCAGGCAGAACCAGGCAGCCAATCGCACACAGCAGCGTCCCACAAACAGTCGTGGACTGAAGTGACCAAACTATTATTATTTTTTTAAACGATGTTTGTTGTTGAAGTGATTATTACCCTCGGAAAGCGACCTGCCAATTGACTATCCACCAGGTTCCTGCTTACCGCTAGGTAAACAGAGGCTTGTGGAGTAAGGAAACTCCAGCTAAGGTTTTGCCCCCCGGGTCCTTTGCTGGTGACGCAATTTCTCTAACCAATACCCTTACAGAACCTGAATCTTCACAACACCACAAGAGGGGTTTGGATGGAGAAGGTTTCTCATTTGATCTCATTCCTCCAGAAGACTCCAGCCTATGCAGTTTCTTAATCGCACCTTCAATTTCTCAACTTCCCCTCTGCTTTGTTGACGTCTACAGTTACACCGGGTGAACCGTCGTACATTCAGTGCTTACAGGAAGGGCCTGAACGAAAATTACAGCAATCGCAAGGAAGCAGTTAATGATTAAATCCATCGAACTGCGTTGAAATGTGCAACACCAGCTATACTGCTTAAGGCTCTGGATATATTTAGAAGGAAACGTTAGGAGAATGTCTGCAAAGTCTTTGCCATGGCAACATTTGAGAAGAAATTCAACAGGGGAAAAACAGGGGCTTATTACATCTAACATATAGGGAAACGTACACATTCTATATTGAAGCCCTATATATTTAAGTCATGTGATAGCATTAGTCATTCTAATATCAGCAAAATGTGGAAATATTTAGCTACTACTCTACGAGGCATATTTAAGCCATTATAATAATAATAATATAAGGGACTTGTATATCCGAATTTCTAAATGCAGCTTAAATCCCAAAGATTGCTCCTTCTGATCATGGCTGCCCCATTCGATGCCCATTCTGGTACACAAATACAATGTGCCCGGGTATCCCTTCGCGAATAAGCAAAGTGTTTCTTTTAAGAACATTAGGTTAGACCCAGCCTTGCAAAAACGTTAACACCCAGGCCTCGCAAAAACCACTTCACGTGGGTTCACATCGACGCTGCAATAACGGCCGTAAACAAATGTGCTGCGACTGTACATTCCGAGCATTATTCCCTTTGTGGCCCACTGACCAACAAATGACAAAAATGCTGACCTCCTCACACAGCTCCAACCAGCCTAGAATGGGCCTCTAAGTCTTCGCAGTGGCTGCAAGGAGGGGTAAAGCAGATTCATTCCTAAGCAATTAACGGGCGACCTCCGCCCCCGGACGGACAGAACAGTAAACTTCTGTTGGATAAAAGCAGATTTTTTTTTCCCCAGCCGGGGCATCGCAGAGAGAGGTCGCAGGCCTTTGTGCTCGTGGCTGGATGCCGTCTCCAGGTTTGCCCACAACACGGAGACCAGAGGCAGCCCGGGAACCTCTGAATCGACGGCAATTTATCTGGGCGTGTGTCCCATTGGTAGCCTCTGACTTTCGAGAGATCCGCTTTTAAAAAAGAGCTTGTCTGACTGGAAATGGCCACGCAATCTTGTTGCTGGGAGCGTGGCAAGGTTCTGCATTAGACTATCACATATCAAACATTCAGGCATCGCGTGCAAATGTTGTACATAGCGTGCAAATAGCAACAACATAAATAGCAACAACTTTTAAAGTCACCACCAGTAGCTTAGACACATCAGGACTCCCACAACCATCTGCGATGGCAAATGTGTCTTAATGGGGCAGGTGGGATATAAATAGGTTTGTTGGTACAGATGAGAACCTTGGTCAAAAAAGGTCTGGCTGCATTTCCCCAACGGCTTAAGCCCACTGATATTTCTGCAGGAATAATTAAGCAGAGAGTTCTCCGAACTGTGCAAACACGAATCACACCAGTGACCGTTCGCCACAGCAAATAATTCTGACTCTCCAGCAGAAAGCCCAATGAACTGAGAAACAAAAGTTATTTCAAGAGACTCGGGGAATTCTGTAGCTTGACGGTGAGAAATTAAATCATTCACCTCCCTCGGGGGGTGGGGAGTGTGGGCGGAACTCGATTGCTAATTGTCAGGTCACAATGATGCCACGTACGGGTGGCGCTGACCAGAAGGATGACGACATTTGGGGTGAAAAATGTTTAGAAAAGTAATGTGCTGCGTAATAGAATTACAAAACCTCTACAAGATCCCTTTTGGCTGTGAAATTATGGATACGGGCATTTTTAGGCAATTTTCAGCTGCTGTTTGCGATTGTCTCTGTGAAGGGAACAAGGAGAAAATAATAATTGCCTCAGGGGAGTGTGACAAGTTTGCTTCAAATGAAAACCTTTATCTATGATTTAATAACTCATGCACTTATCAGACAATGCCATCAAAGCTCCACAAATTTCCTAACCAGCAACTAGATTTACAGAGCAAGGAGGTTATCAATGATTAACTCTACACACTATTCCTATTTGGTGCTATTTTGAAAAAAAACCTGGGAAAGATTAGATTCTTAATTCAGGTCAACGGTGAAAGCAGATTCACTGACAAGTAGCTGACAAGTCAAAAAGCGACTGGTTCATTTGAGTACAGCGTGGGTTTGGCGCTGTTTCTGCACCAGCAAATAAGAGACACACCTGCCCTGCATCTCGTGCGGCTTGCAAGGACGAGCCTTCATTTAATTTAATTTAATTTATTTAATTTATTTAAGACCTGACATTAATTGGCTGCTGTGTTTCGTCCACAAAATACACAGTCGATCCGCTTCACAGTATATTGCGTGAAGCTCTTTGAGACATCTCAACGATGTGATAAAGCGCGATATCAAATGCAAGGATTATAATTATTATTGTTATTATTAACTGTAACCCACCGCATGATCAATATCATTTCCTTCCTCATCAAACAGCATTTCACAAAACGTACACCAGGACTGGAATCTCACCTTGATCTTTACCCTCCAGTTTCTCATTTACTTATGTTGTCCACATCGCCAAGGTCCAATGCTTTTTCTGGACAATCGTATCAAAAGCTTAGCAACCAGCAAATTAGAAACTGAAATGGGAATTAACCAAAAATGTTTCTAAAAAATCCCAGGGAATTTAATTCTCTCCTCCCACCGCTACCCACCCACTCAACCATCTTCCCCAACAAGGGTATAAACATTGACAAACAACA